TTTACATATGATCCAGATTACTTTTGCATTTGAATACTACAAGTATAGAAAGAAAAATGGAAGCCAACTCATTGAAATGGAAGGAAATGGACATTTAATGGGATTTTTTTTTTTTTTTGGTTACATATAATAATAAAATAAAATTTGGACATACCATCTCATTATTATATGATAATTTCAAAAATAATAACATAATCAGTTTATAAAGTAATTAATTTTGTAGCTTAATACTTTTTTTTTTTTTTTTTTACAACTTAAGAAAAGAAGGGAATTGTGCAAGTGGGAGAGCAGTTTCTTCACTTTGTTTTAGTGAAGTACGGTAGCAGCAATTTATTGGTCAATGTCCCAATTGCAAACTTGAATTGTCACAATATTGATCGCCTACCGATTACTTGTTGTGCATTGAAATTAACCTACACCTCAGTTGCATAGTATGATAAATGAAACCTAGAGAAATGGAAAGCCAACTTCAACGATTTGAAATGGGAAGGAAATGGACCATATTAGCGATTGGGGAATTTGTTTTGTTTGATTATGTTGGTTGATCATTTTAGATTATAATAAGAGATACGAAATTTGGACATACTCTATTATTATATGATAATTTTTCAAAAATAATAACATAATCAGTTTAAATAAATGTATTAATGGTTTTGGTGCTTGAATGACTTTTTCTTTTTTTTTTTTTATACCACTAACTTACATTAATTGATTATTTTTTTTTTTTTTTTTTACAACTTAATACATTATTGATTAGGTCTCAAAATATAGTCAAATATATATAAAATAAGGATTAAGAAGCAATGATTCTCATAACTTAGTTATATATATCCAACCCAAAAGAGTTGAATTAGGTGATTTTTTTTTTTTTTCATGATGACTTTATGAAGAGAAACATATAATTAAGATTTTTGTTGTTGCATTGCAAGCTTTAATTGATAAGCTTGACTACTTTGGCTTTAATCAATTTCCATTCTTTTTCACACCAGCTTAAAATCTAGTTTACTCAAAGAGAAGGAGCTTAATTAATTAATTAATGATTAATTAATTACCCAACACTACAATACTACGACTAGATTTTTTTTATTATATAGTACGGAATTTATATAAATATATATTACCATTAATCGTAACATTTAATAGAAAATAATTGGAACACATTGATTTTCTAAACATACATAATATAATGTCTAAATTGCGCTTTTTTAAATTTAAAAACTCTCCATTTAATTTTACAATAAAACACCTAATAAATATGGAAAAAATTATTATTCCTTCAAAATTCTAAATAAACACTGAAAATAAAACAAGCTAAAATGCGTATTTGTTATTATTAAAGTGGAATAGATGGAGCATATGTGATTTTTGAAAGTAATTAATGGTTTGATTAATAAGTGATGAGTGAGGTGAATGGGTCTGTTAATTAACTGGAAATGCTATATATAGTCAATCCCTTGTTAGAAAAGGAACATAGTCCAACTACTCACTTAGGAAATTATGGCATTTTATAGGTCTTTTCTTGTCTAAGGATTTATTATAATCTTGTCTTAGCATATTATTTTACTCATTAACTTTTACTTTTCAGTTAAATTTTTTCTTAGATTAGATCAACCTATCCATAACAATGACTTAATGTGACTCATTCAATTCATTGAACTTCTTGTGCCTTTTATTTTATTATATATATAATTATATTAAAAAGAAAAAAAAAACACTATAAACAATATTTATTTGCCTAGTTTACGAGAAATTCTTAACTACGTCAATTATAGACCCATCCAATAAAATAAAAACAAATCAATAATTTACTTTTTTTTTTTTTTTCTAACCCCACTTCAATAACTCCTCAACTATCGTAACTATTACATTTCTTATCTCTAACCAACAGAAACATGAAAGAATTAACAAGAAATAATCTAGAAAAAAGTAAGTAAATTGTTGATATGGCTTTATTTTATTGGGTGGGTCTATAGTTAAAGTCGTAGATCGAGTTTACCTAAAAATTTATCGTATTTAACCACTAAATCTTTTTTCTTGTTTTCAGTTCATCCTGCTTAATTAAATTCTTGAGGAGGGTTTACGCAAGAAAATAATATTAATTAAGTCAAATACAAGATCTTTACTTAACCTAATACGGATATGAAGGCTCAGTGATCTCATCATGTATGCATTAATTTAAAAAAAAAAAAAAATAACACGACACAAGTTTTTGAGAAATAAATATTAGGATTTTATTACTCAAAAAGATGATAAAAGTTCTAAAACTTTATTTATACAATTTTAATATAAATTGTTGAATGTTAAAACAAGAATTATACTTATATGTTGAACTATTTATTTCTTGAAGTAGTTTAATTTTATTCCGTTTATTTCATATCTGCAACAATAATTAATTTAGTATAATTCGCTCATCTTGTGCAGGAGGCTGCAGCCATAATTATTTTATTTATCAAAATTAATACTAAAAATAAATCTTTATAATCATTAGTTTTTTATTTAACTTATATTCATATAATTTAGCGCGTTCATCTAATTCATTGTTCCTAGAGGTGTATTTTTATTTATTTTGAAATGTATTATTCCTATTCATGATTTCTAGAACAATTTGTAGACAGAACTGAAAGTCAATAGTTATAGTTGTATTTCATTTTCATACAAAGTAGATTATATGTATTTTCAACTCTTTCCTTTCCTGTACGGTAATTCTTCTTATAGGTTGTTTTCTTGCGAGAGGGAAATGTTTCTCTTTTCTTTCAGTTAATTTGGCTTCACACTAACCAAAAAAATTATTCCCTTGTCCTATTCTATTAGTATGGTTTGATAAAACACGTATATTAAGAATTTAGTCAATAAAAATTATTTTACGTTTTTTTACCCTTTAACTCATTAAAATATTAATAAAAGTTATTTCCCTTGTCGGGTATTCTCATTAGTATGGTTTGATAAAACACGTATATTAAGGAATTTACGTTTGATAAAACACGTATATTAAGAATTTAGTCAATAAAAATTATTTTACGTTTTTTTACCCTTTAACTCATTAAAATATTAATAAAAGTTCTTCCTTCATTGAACAATTATAAAGGTTATTATGAAAAAAATAACTGTTACATATACAAATTTAGAAATATTATAAACATTTTAGGATGTCCAAAAAAGGAATAACATGCAAACTTGTGTTCGGCTTAAATAAAAAATATGGAAATATCAAAAGTAGGATTACCACTAATTATCTCCAATTGAGAGTATTGCACCCATTACATTAACATATTTTTTTTTTTTTAAAGAACTCTATATTAGCTAACAAATTTTCTTTCAGAAATAATGGCTCATCATCATCTTCCAAATTGTAATGAAACCAATTAGCTATAAAAAACTCAATAAAAATTAAGATTATAATCAAAATTTAAATATTAATAGGCAATTTGATCAATGAAAATGAAATACATCTTTAGGCGAACTTTACTTACAAGGTGAAGATTAAAAGTTTGAAATTTTCATCACTGAGAGGGTTTTATTTGAATACTAATGTAAAAAAAGAGTGTAAATCCAAAAATAAATAAATAAAAAATAAAAATTAATGAATTTTCTTTAAAATTTATATAAATATACTATCAATTTCATTTTCTTCAACTGTTTTAAATTTTCTTTAAATAAATACTATCAATCCTCTTTGTTTTGGATTCCTCCGAATGACAACTGTTTTAAATTTAATGTTGATAGAGCAGCAAAAGGAAAATCAGGGCTCGCGGGTTTTAGCTGGGTTTTACTTAGCATTTTTCGAGTTATGATAACTATCATAACTATGCCCACATATATCTAATCCATGTAAGAAAATATTATAGAAGCACGAAGGATTGGTGCACCCGGTAGTTAATTTAGCAGTAGCAGCAATAAGTCGATTTTCATGGCTAGTCATAAAATTCCAACTTTGGAGTGTTTCCTAACTACCTGGGGGTCCCTCTCTTATCATTGAAAGATCCTTTTACGTCACTTTTTTGACATGATGCTTTGGTCAACCCTCTCTTTTCTTTTCTCCCTCTCTTTAATTAAAATTAATTAATTAAGATCATAAATTAACTAATTAAGAAACAGAATTAATCACATCCACACTTCTTCTTTAGCTATAGAGTGGTTGGTTTTTGTAAATCAAAAAGGTTTGGTCAATGACTTGCTTCTAACTTACCCATTTTTTATTTTTTATTTTTTATTTTAATTTATAAATTAATCATTTAATTAGAGAATAATTTCTATACAGCAAATAATATTTCCCCATGTGTGAACGTCAAGACTTCTGCATGCATTTGCTTACCAAATGACCTGTAACCTAGCTATATATAATATATTTAATCTAAAGGTTTTTTTTTTTAAAAATATTTCTAATTTAACTAATTTAATTCTGTATTGTTTGATTTTTTGAGTCACCCCATTTATTTGTAATTTTTTTTCTAAAAATTAAGGAATAACAAAGAAAAACTCACTGCAATTTCTTGGCAATTATATGTATACATGATGCTAATTAATAATAAATCAACGAAGACCAATTGGATTGTCAACACGTTTCCACTTATGACGAAATAAAATATTATTAAATAATTAACAAATTAAAATAATTAATTAAGAAAAATCATGACTGTCAAGTAAACAAGTAACTAATTATATATGCATGAAAAATATGTTTCTTAATTTGTTTTCGCAGTCCACCTGCCTTGAAATCTTGATTGATCATATCTTCAGAGCAGTTGAAACTCTATATTCAAGCTTAATTATAATTATTATGATTCTAATTATAACCTAATGGTTAAGTACAAAAAATATTTAAACTTAGATAGGAGAAAAATTAATTAATAAAATCATTCTTATCTTTAGAATCACACATATGATAATTAGTTGGTGATTATCAACTAATTAATGAAACAAGTTTTAAATAATAACCAAAAGAAATTTAATTAATCAGAAACATGCATTTAATTATATAAAAAAAAGATATGAAATACCTATTTAATTCTGATGAGTGAAGAGTGCAATGTGTACATAATATACAGAAGGTTTTATATATGTATATGTGCTGTAAATATTACAAAGTGAAGTAGATATGGGTGCAATATGAACTCCAAACCTTTTTCACACAAAATAAAATAAAAATAAAAATAACAAAAATTAAACTATGCAATCTCATTAAAGAAAGGGTCTTCAAGTAGATCAAGACCTTCTCATTAAAGAAAGGGTCTTCAAGTAGATCAAGACCTTGCCAAACTGTAGTACTACCTTCCCCTCCATAGCTTGAACTGCTATTCATGGAAGAACTCTGTGTTAAAAACGGTGCCGTGGCCGAAACAGAAGTAGGGGATGGAGTGGTAATTGTTGATGAAGATATTGAAGGATTATTATTAACCCATGTAGAGTTATTATTAGCTGATTTAATATTTATATGATGATCATCTTCTTGCCTTACCATAAACTCATTGGGTGCAGCTTCAACATGTAAATCAGGCAAATGAGAAAAATTAGGTATGGAATCAGTTAACCCTGGAAGAGAGGTTGTCGTTGATAAATCCATTGAAAGTGAGTTCAAGAGATTGAAAGCTTCAATCTCATTGAAAACAGTATTGGGTATGTTGATATTTGAGGTATTAATATTAGAACTAGTAGTTGGAGGTTGAAGAAGACACTGTAAATATTGGAGTTTCGCCATTTGAATAGCTTCTGCTTGTAGTCTCATGGTATGTTCTTCTAATGAGTGGTGATCTATAAGCTCTTTTAGATTAGCTAAGGCTATAAGATGAGGTAAGGTTGCAAACATGTCGGTTCGAGGCCGGTGAGTCATCGGATCATATCCCATCTGTATTAGCTTCTTCTTTAAATGGGTGTTCCAGAAATTCTTGATTTCATTATCGGTTCGTCCTGGAAGATGACTGGCTATTGCTGACCATCTGTTAAAAGAATAACAAGAGTATACAAAAGGTTTAACTGCAAGATAAAAAGAAAATTAGAGAAGAAGGTTTAAAAAATTATTACTTGTTGCCAAGAACAGAATGGAGATTGAGAATTGTTTGTTCTTCATCTTGGGAAAATTTTCCTCTCTTAATATCTGGTCTTAAATAATTTGTCCATCTTAATCTGCAACTCTTTCCACATCTATTAAGGCCTGCAAAAATTGATCTGCTTTTAGAGAGAAAGGAGACAGAGAGAGAGAGAGAGAGCTAAAGAGAAAGACTGAAAGAGAGATATATATAATTTACCAGCAAGTTTAGGCAGAGCTCTCCAGCTGCCATGGCCATGTTGTTGGATAAATTTGACAAGTTTTTGATCTTCTTCAGGAGTCCATGGACCTTTCTTGAGACCACTTTCATCACAACAGGGAGACCTTCCCATAGTTTCTTTTCTGTCTAAACAACTGTATCTCCTTCCTTTCTTTCTTTCTTCTTTTTGGTTTTCTCCTCAAGATTTGGTTGCCTCCCTCCAATCCAACCATTAACTGCAAGCTTACTATTTATAATACAATCTTTGATATTGTCCCATTAATAAAAAGCCCAAACAAAACAAGTAGGTTGACATAGTAGCTTCCTATTTGCTAGCATAACAACTATGCCCTTCCTTGTTTTTTCTTTTTATTTTTTTATTTTTTTAAATTACTGATAAGGTTAGCTTTTCCCATTCATTTGTGGAATAGTATCTCATTTTGAATAATTTTTACTAGTATGTTACTCTTTCTCTACCTTTGACAAGTAAAATACATAGAATATGTAATCTTACTGGTAGGTTACAGCATTTGGACTATTTAATGGATCTGCTAGTTACATTCTTATTATATATATTTTTAAAACTTAAGTATGATAAAAAAAATTCATTTTCAAAACAGAGCATAATTCTTATGTTTGGTATAGTAATTAAGGAAAACCAAAATGGATTTATGTTAAATCCGGAATATAATTTTTTTAATCTCTTGAGCCTTGGTATGATTAATGATTAAACAAATTAATTAACAAGTCTATAAGTAAAAAAAAAAAATGTATACACCAAGACATAATCTAATGGTAAGTGCATATACGACCTAACAATAGATTCAAGTTTGAATCTCCTCCTCAATACTCAAAAAAAAAAAAACGCCATTGTATATAACATGATAGGGTTAATTTGGCTATCATAAGTGTGACCTTATATGAGAAGGAAAATTATAACATCAATAGCACATGTGTTCTGCATAATCTATTGGGTGTAGATTCTGGTTTTTAATTAACGTCAAATACAAATAAAAAATTCTTCTTTGCTGATAAAAAAAAAATAGCACATTCACTCTAGCATGTTCTTTATTTTGACAAATTTGATTGAGAAATGCATATATATTATAAGCTATGTAATAAATATAATTCTTCAAATTGATAACACTTTATCATAATCGTTAATGGGAAGATTCAATTTCAAAACTCCCATTTCTTTCTCCCCTAAAAGGAACAAAGGAGACTGATCAAGTTACTCTCGAATCTTTGATTGGTACAATAAACAAAACAATAACTATAAATACGGAACTACAGTGAATTAATAATATGGAAATAATTAATCATATATGATCAAGGTTATGATATCTCTTTTTTTTTTTTTTTTTTTTTTTTTTGGAAATAATTAAACTCATATATGTAATACGGTTATGATATCTCTTTTTTTTTTTTTTTTTTTTTATTAATCATTTTTTTTTTTTTTTTTTTTTTTTATTAATCAGGAGGTTTAATCTCCCTCGAACCATAGAATATAAATATTTTTGACTCTCTTAGATAAGTGCGCTTCTTAGAAATCGATATACGTGTTGGTCATACATTATTTTGGTCAATAGGAATGCAAGAACCTATAGACAAATAGGAAAATGTGCGTTGAACAAGTGGGTCCTTTTAGCAAATTAGATGTGTGCCGTGTAATGCACGTTAAAAATATTATAGCATGTGAAAAATAAAGTTCAATAGTAAAAAAAAATTGTTTTCATTATAAAATCAAGCTTTTGGGTAACAATTTTAGAAATTTCATTTAACATAAATTATAATACATATTGTCATAATTTGATGATATTGAAAAGAGATTATAAAACTCCCAATATAATTAAGCACGTTTTTATCTTGTTAATTAGAAATTATTAATTGAAATTTAATTAATTTAAAATTAATTAAATCAAATTCTGAAATTCAGGGATGTCAAAACAAGTTTAACAGTTTTATATAGAAATGAGAATCTGCCGAATCAACTAACATATAAATTATTATTCTTATAATATTTATGAAAAAAATAAAAATGCCGAGATTTAAAATATAAAAAATTTTTGTAAGAGAATGGAGTATGTGATGATTGAATTGATGCAGCTGCATATACTAAAAAATAGCCACGCTTAATCCAGTTGAACAAATTATTACAAAATGTCTGGAATAAAACAATTTGAGATTCGTTTTATTTGCAAAATTTACTAATTATAGAACTTATTTTAAATATAAAACTTCACCAAATTATACTTAAATTGGGATGTGGGATTGTCTATCTCCAATTTTCAATTGCACTACTTATTCTTGAGCCCATCAAAAATTAAAAAATAATGAAATCAAGTCAGCAATTTTTTTCTATTTTACAATAATTTGAAGCATAAAAAATTAAAATTCAAATCTTAATAATTAATTGATCAGGAAAAAAAATTGGGGAAATAGTATTTAGATCGAAAAGGCCTATGGAGAGCATTATTGGAGCTGAATTAATGGCTGCTTTGCTAAATAAAAAAAATAAAGAAATTGGAAATTAATTAATTATTATAGTGAAAAATAAAAGGAAGAAGCAGTCAGCATGAGGGGGAACAGGTGGCACGTCGCAGGTGGCCATTTGGAACCTATGCCATGCACGCAACATGGGGATTATTTCGTCACTGAATGCATGGATCTCCTTTTTTTAATATATATATTTTGTAATTTTATAATCTATTATTATAAATTTATTAGATCTTCCTCACCAACTTCCCCAGCATTAAAGACCCACTTTCAATTTGAACCACTTCTTTCTTTAGCCTGCTTCACTATATATCATCAACATATATTTACTGTAAGTATATAGTCACGAAGCTGGAAATTAAAATTAGGAGGCTAAAAAATTTGAAGAGATAAGGGGAGTAAAATTGAAAAAATTTATTATTTTAAAAAGTACAATAAAAATTTTCAATATTTTATGCGATAATTTATTTTAAAAAAATTAGTTAGGGAGTGGGGGCCACCTCTGGCCCCTCCCTTCGTCAATGGCTGTATATATAATTTACAATAAATTTAAAAATAATAGTTAGCACAAACAAAGGTATATATGCTTTTTCACTCATAAAAAAAGAAATTATAGTCTTATCGATAGGAGTTGGTCTGAGTAAAAAAGACTCAAAGTCCTTAACGTAAGAAGTCAAGTATTTGATACTTGTAAATAAAGAAAAATCTTATTCAATACTTGTAAATAAAGAAAATCATCGTTAAAAGTGAAAAAATCCTACTCGATATTTATAACTAAAGAAAATTCTCTCTGAGAGCGTTTTCCCTATAGGTCTGACACGATGTAAGCTAACACAATAGCAATGGAGAAGGGATTTTGCACTCTTGATCCTATAAAGACAACTACGTTACATTATTCTTTTTAAACAAACATTACATATTTTTAAAAATTTGTCACCAAATTCAACTTACAGCTCACCTCATGATCAGGAAGGCTCTAGAGATTTTGTAATTTAAATCCTTTTGCTTATCTTGAGAGGGACGAAATGCACTATATATATATAGTAATATAATATATATATATGATATATTATTATACTATATATATAAACCCAAAAAATGAGGACTAAGCATATAAACCCAAATAAATGACTAAGCAGAAGTCTTTTTATTTTAAATAATGACAATAATAATGAAAGCAATAACAATAAAATAAACTTCGATCAATGTTAAGCTTTAACAATAGAATTAATACTCCTTGTAATAGCAAGTTCTATTCTAGTTAGGTGAAATTTTGAGATCATATTCTTTCCAAATAAAGCTACTATAAAAATTTCTACATGGATTTATTTAGGTAAAGAAGAAATCTGTGGAGGAGGGAATTAGGGAACTCTTGCATGCCAAAAGAGCATCTAGATGTACTAATTATTTATGTTTTTTTTTTTTAAATTTATTAAAATTTTCAATGAGTCAAGATAACATTGCAGACTACACTATAAATAATAATCCTCTCTTTAACTGTCAAAAGAATTCAAATTTAAGACTTTTCACTTCTCATAGTAATGAGAAGGATCGACCAATTCACAACTAATTGGCTATTAATAATTTATATTAATATATAACAACAAAATAGTTTAACAGAATTAATGCAATCAATAAGAATGTGAATTTCATTTTTTTTTTTTTTTGATTAACTAAAATTTAAAATTACTGGGAGCTGGCTGTATCTCAAGTGGTAAACACTCATAAACAGGATAAAATATATATATATATATTAATGGGAAAGCTAGATGATGTTTAGTTGAAGGTAAGTAGACCAAGGAAGTGTAATTCTGCATATAATTAAAGTGCTTGTATTTAGTTCGTATTATCAATTCTACCTCTTATGAAGTAAATCATTTAACTTTCATTAACCAAGTGAAGTAAGTTCCTTAGAGATGTTTAGGGAAGTTGCACTTTTCTAACTTAGTGTAACGAATTTATCAATTTATTTATTATCTAAATGCTCTTGAAGTTATATTATGGTATTTTGTAATTTGAAAGCAATTTATTTTCTAAGAAATTAATTTACATATCAAACCACATTCAAAATATATTACCTAGAAAATTATTTCCTTAAAAGTGTATTTTGTCGTGTATTACCCTAATCTCGAATTGGGGCATTCCTAATAATTCAATTCTAAAAATTGGAGTCTCTTTCCACACGTGTGCACAACTGATTTTGCATTCTAACCAGCCACATTGCTCATAGGCCACCTTTCTCTCTCCCTATCCCCACCTCTACGTGTGTGTGTGTGTATATATATTATCACAATTATGTGAAACCCTCTATTATTTATGGTGCCTTAGGGTTTGAAAGTATGCTGCAATTTAAAATCTATACCCAAATAATGAAAATATATATTGGTAAATTGTGATAATACATCCTTGTAAAATGAAAATTTTGCATCTTATCTTCTCCAAAATTCTTTGTATTCTTTGAAATTAAATTATATTTTTACTTGATCCAAAAACTTAGGGAATAAATACCATTTAGTCCACCAAAATTTGCCCTTAGTTACCACTTTGTATCTCTTTTTGTAATATATCGATCTATTTCCGAGATTTTGCTCCGTTGATTAGTTCTTACATTTAAAATGTATAGTTTTTATTTTTAGACACCCTGTGTTATTTGATTATTTGGTCTTTTATATCTAATATAATGATGCTATTTAGTCTTTCACATTTATTATTTTCATTTGAACTTAATAAAAGATGACAATTTTTCAACGGAATGATTAAATAGTTTAACAAAAGAAAATATTAGGGCGAATAAATATATTTACCAAAAAAGGAGGGACAAAATAATAAAGAGGATAAATTCTTAGAACTAAACGGTATGAATCCTTTTATAGGAACTACTTGTAATTATTATAATTTGAGTTAATTATTTTAAATATTTCTAATAACATAAAAAATAATGGATTAACTCTAAAAATTGTTTTCCTTAGAAAGCATTTGAAAAGAAATTTTTTTTTTAAAAGAAAAAAAATTACCTAGGCCGACAAAAATTGACGATAAATAACTTTCAAACAAGCTATATACTGTGCGTGAAAATTCCAAAACATTGAAATTAGTTCTAAAAAAAATAATAATAAAAAAAAATAAGTTTGAGCAAGAGTGTATGATTAAAAAAAAATGTAGTTGTCAAAATACTTGGTCCAATGATCAGAAAATAAAACTTACTCAATTCGAAAAGGACATGAAAGGAGGTGATGATCCATTAATTTGACCATTGAGGGAGAGAGATGGTTAGAGGAGAAGTTGGTATAGCAAACACTGAATTTCCTTCTTCTCTTTTAACCCCTCACAATGCATTTATTGGTCTCATCGACACTGTCTTCTTCTTCCTTGTCTTCTTTCTGTTTATGTATTTCATACCGGCAGAGAGAGAAATTTCATCTGATATTTTCCAGAAGGATAGGAAAACGAAAAATACATCATATTATAACATTGAAAAGAAACTTTTAATGCAAAAGGTGAAGGAATATGCAAAAACAAACAATCTTAATGCGGTTAGTTAAAAAGAAATTTTCCATTTTTAGAGAAAAGCTAAAGACAGTTTCATATACAATCTACATGTTTCTCCTCGCATTGAAGCAAAGGTATTTTTGTTTATTGCCAAAAATTTTTAAGAGAGAAAGTTGTCGGGATTTAAATCTAATCAGTTTCATGGACTATAAAACAACTACTCTATCTTTGGGTTATTAGTCTAATCTAATCAGTTTTAGCTATTTAATTAAAAAATCCCATTAAGTTCTTTTATTTCCTTAGGAAAGATTATACCCTTTTTTTTTTTTTTCCTCGATCTCCTGTAAGTATTTTCATACTTTTTTTTTTGAGTACGAGACCTTTCTCGTTCCGAAATTTGTTGCAGTCCCTTTCTAAATGTGTTTTTTCTAAGAATTAAATTCCTATTATTCGAAGAACATAAATGTGTATTATCACTTCAGTCCGACTAAGTATAATTAAAATTATGAGATTATAAAGAAATCAAAGAGAAAATTGATTATATATAGGATTGCAATTGAATATATTTACTAATACGAAGAAAATGAAGTTTTACGAAAGGTTAATGTTGTATATAGAATAAAAATCCAGGGTGAGGTCCATCACAATGATATAATTAAAAGAAAAATGTCATTATCTAACTTCATAAGCTAGCTTAATTATTCAAACCTAAACTCATAACAAAGCATCACATCAATGTGTAGAGTCAAATTAAAGTGAGAATCCCATTAGCGTTAATTTTTTATCTTCACTTACCTCATTTAGCTGTCGGCACAAGTTTTTCACGGAAAACAAACCAAACAAAATTCTCAAACCTTGTAATTTATAGAAAGTGAAAAAGAAAACCCTAATGTCACCTTCTTCACGAAAACTAGGTGAAGGTTTTCACATTGCTTCTTCAACTAGGGTTCCTTGTCGGATGGACCACCAAATGAAGCAGGTTAATTAATAATTATAATTATTATTATTAATTATATAATTAAAGAATCGAGAGGGCCAAATGGCGTCACCTAATTAAAAATTATTAGAAAAGATCATAGCTGTAGTGTCAGCTAAACAACTAAATTGCTTGCTCTGTTAAGTTTCTACCCAATACATCTAAACTCGGACTTTCTTTGCTTCTTTATGCCACGTATATGGTTCTTGGTCTTTCTATTCCCATGCAAAATGAAAATTAATAAACCTTAATTTCAATTAATTAATATTAATATTTTACTTATGTGTTTGATTTGACTTGTAAGTTAAGAAAAAGGAATACGTAAAATAAATCAAAAGTTTTTATAAGTTTTTGAAAATGTTTACACTAAGTACACTTATTTTAATCAATTTCTTAACTTTTTTTTTTTTTTTGTCATTTTAACAAATTAAGTTACAAGAAAATACGTATTAACCAAATATTTAAACTATTTAATCCTAATCCAATGAATTGGAGATACCAAAAAAAATATATTTTCAATAATTTTATATATAAATGCGCATCAATCACCATATATTAAAACGGCATATATAATGTTAAAATAAAAATAAAAATAAATATTATAATGTATTGTTGTAGGTCTTTTTGTACGTTAGAACCTAGATAATTAAAATATATAATTAAGCTAAGATTAGCTTGGAGTAGTACTGAGGTTGTTCCTAATATTAGTGACACTGACAGTTACTCTAAACATCGTTAAGCACTTGATTAAAGAAACACAAAAATTAAAGCAGAAAACGAGATCAATTAAAACCATTGACATATAATATAAATTAGTATTACGCCCATTACACGTGAATCGTATTTGAAAGCATAATACATAGATTAAACACCAAATTAATTCACTATTTTCAACTGTTAATTGCCCAAAAAACCCTAATTTAAATCAAAATTATTTTTTAAAAATATTTCATGTGGGGTACGCAAAGTCCATGCTAGTTTCGTCATATCTTTACCATTTCAATGATAATTACGTGTCCAAAGGTTCATTGTTTCTCTTGTAGTTCTTTGAACTTAATGGTCTAATCACTTGATTAGCAAGAAACTTATTTAATTTACTAGTAATTAATTACTATCTTAAATTATTTAATTTATAATCAAATCTTCTCATTTACACCTCGTTTACATTAGCATCATGTGGGTGATATGGGATCAAGTTTTCTCAACTGTTATAACCAACATTATAGGTAAGGAATTTGCATATATAATTTTTTTTTTTTTTTTTGTAAGATTGATATTATCATGAGAACATTTTTTTTATATATAATATTAAGTTATATGTGATTAGAATTTTATTTTTTGAAAAAAAAAAATTAACGGATCAGCTTTCTTGCATTGTATTATAATTGAGTCCATATTTGTAATCTAGTTAAAAACAAGTCATTCGCCCTTAGAAAATTTGCAAAGGAGAAAAATATATCCGAGAGAAAAATTAAATTTTGGTCAATAAAATGGAAAGCAAACCTAATTATCAACTGACCAAGCTTACAACTTTATGTAATAATTAGTATTTTAATGAAACAATTGTAACTCTGTTATATTAATTAATTGTTTTGGGCATCAAAATTAATATGTCTTATTTGTTGGCTAAAGTTCAGTAGGCAAAATGACATCATAGTTTACAGCTAAAGATAGTGAAAGAAAATGAGACTGACAGTTGATATAAAAAATAACGGATCAGCTTCTTGCATGTTGTATTATAATTGAAGTCCATATTTGTAATCTGTTAAAAACAAGTCGTCGCCCTAGAAAATTTCAAAGGAGAAAAATCATATCCGAGAGAAAAATTAAATTTGGTCAATAAAATGGAAAGCAACCTAATTAATTCAATCTGACCAGCCTGTACAATCACTTATGTAATATCTATATTTAACTGAACAATTTAAACTTTATATTAATTAATTTTTTGTTGCATCAAAATTGCAATATGTCTTTATTTGTTGGCTAAAGTTCAGTAGCAACAATGACATCTAGTTTACAGCTAAAGATGTGAAAAGAAAATGGAGGACGACACTTGATATAATATTAATATAATATATATATATATATATATATAGCTTATAATATATCTATATATAGTTATGTAATATACATAATAATTGATATATCAAATTAAATATAGAATTCATTTTACCAATCATCTTCATGTTACCCAATACTTAAATTGTAATCATTCCCATCAACTTCTCAAATTACCATGTTCTTTATATATATTATAAATTATATACTAATATATAATATATTATGAATTATGAATTTTGAAATTATTAAAAATTAATTAAGTATATATTATAGATATATATATATGTAGTTGTATTTTGAGGATGACCCAGTATAATTAGTAAAATTAAGATTATAGTTAAATTTTGCGAAGACTTATTTATTTCAAAATTATAAAATTTTGTAATTATGCATATTTATATTATTACTTGGCAATAATAGGTTAACAAGGATTTTGTTTTTTTATATAATATAATATATATATGTAGTTGTATTTTGAGGATGACCCTAGTATAATAGTAAAATTAAGATTATGAGTTAATTTTGCGAAGACTTATTTTATTTTCAAAGTTATAAAATTTTGGTAATATTGCATATTTATATATACTGGCAATAATAGTGTACAAGATTTTTGTTTTTTTTATATATATATATAAAATATATTAATCATATCTAATTATTAGTTAATACAACTTTTGAAATAATAACTTTCAAATATTTCAATTATCTAATAAGTGTTTAATTAATGCAATATTACAATTTAGAACATTTAAAAGAATGGTTTTGCAACTTCAAGAGTTTGATGGATATAATTTTATTAATTAAAGTGTTTAATTGGTTAAAGATATCATAAGATTTTTCACGAAAAGTACATAAGCAATTATATACATTTAGTCTATGATTAGGGTTGTAAATGAATCAAGCCGAACCGAACTCTGAATTGTTCAGGCTTGGTCCGAGAAATTTTTATATTAAACATCGGCTTGTTTGAAAAATTTGACTATGATTAATTTTGACCTAAATTTTGTAATTATTTGATTTTTCTTTAATTTTTCAGAGTTAAAACCCAATTCGCAGACTCACTCATTAATTGGCTAGAAAATAAAGAGCAATTAGGATTTAATTGATGGGAATTTACAAAGCAAAAATTGCAGAGTTGAGAAGGAAATTGGTGATGAAGCCAAATTAAAATGGTGAATGAGGTTCTAAATCCCACACTAAATTCTAAATTGCAAGTCAAAGTCATCACCAAAATAATACTTACTATATAATCATAACCATAATTGAGTAAAGACTCATAATAAATATTATTATTCCTTCTACCAAAGCATGCTCAATCCATTAATTTATATATATACATAGAGAGAGAGTTCATAGTATTTTATTCATCCAGATTGTCTACATATAAAACTCTCTTATGATTCTTCTTTTCTTTTCTCCAAATAATTTCTCTTTAAAAATTTCATTTTTGAAAAATTTATTGTTCAATACGAGAAAAATGTATAAAAAATGATAAATATAACAATTACAGGTTATTGACAGTGGTGGCTACCGGTAATAATTAATAGATTAATAAATGTATTTACAAGCTTATAATAAATTTATTAATGTCTGCAAAAAAAATTTTCACTTTTGAAATAAGAAGTTACTTTTCCTTGGAAATAGCTTGATTTTTCTTTAACCAAGACAATATTTTGCATTGCTAATTTTAATAAAAGACAATTAGATTAGAATAAATTAAAGGTTGACTGACACACCATCCTGAACCAAACCCATTTCAGAAACTATGAAAAAGACTCTCATGGGCTTAAAAACTTGATGGTATCTAATCCATCCATAACCAAGTTCAATTAAGACAGGCCCTTTTTCTTTCTTAACGCATAATAACTGGTCTAACCCCTCTTCTTAATCCTACGCAGTCAGTTAAGAAAAGGCCCTCTGTTACCTTCCCTCAATGTCAATGCAGAAGATCAAACGACAATCCAACTCAAGCCTAGATTCAAAACGACACCTGATCAACATCTAGTTTTATTTCAGTAATAATTGTTCAGTTCTAGGATTCTCACGAGTTCCTAATTTAATCACTAGATTATTTTTAGTTGCAGATATTCCCTTTTTAACCAGTTTTCGAGTTCCTAAAAGTGGGATTCCCCATGTACCAAAGAAATATAAAAATAGAGAGAACATATATTACCTTCACTCTGTTGCAGAGAAAAAACATACCTTGGCTTTGGAGAGGAAGCTTATCCAGAGGTGACTGGCCAAGGATCATGACAGCAAATATTGGTAGCTTAACACCTGAATAGCAAAACTTTAAGACAGGAACCAAATTAAAATTTCAGTAAATGGTTCAGCCAAGAGCTACTTTACATCTCTCTCTCTCAAGTTCCAAAGGCACAACTAGGGGCGAGCAAAGTTTGGTTAAAACCAAAATACCTGTCCAGTTCGGTTTTTTGGATATTTAGTACGGTTTCAGTTTGAAATGTTAAATAATTTTGGTTTTGGTTTTTGGTTCGGTTAAACAACATATGTAATTTTCGCCCAAAACCATTAACCGAACCAATGAGTTTGTTCGGTTCCAAACAATTTTCTGGTTTGAGAAAAAAGGAAAGTGCAGTTTTTACGGATCGATTCAGTTCGGAACCGAACTGCCCCTTTGGATACCCCTAGGCAAAAAGATAGAAGCTAAAACATTCAGTATGCACCAGAAACATAGATCTAATCGCAACCATGTAAAAAAAGCTATCATGTTCATCGACATGGTATCATAATAAACATCACCAGGGAAAAAATGTAGAACCACCATTCATACAAGAAATAAACGTGGAAAAGAAAGTGAGAAAATTGTACATCACTATAAAAATATTACACATTGAATGATTTACACCAGTAAAATGATAGCAAACCATACCTTAGCAGGCTACCAATTGTCTTAGTCTCTGCAGTCTGCACCACTCAAATATGTAGAAGATTAATTTTACACATACAAACTTGCAATTGTCTTGCTCTTCATACGACTCAATCTAGGCTCCTGATACAGCTCGATACCACAAAAGAATTGAGGCAAATATTATCAATAGACACTTTAAACATACTTTATTACCATCATATATATTTTCCAAAAGAAAAATTTTGGAGAGGAAGAGGCCAAGAAAGGTAAAAGTAAAATCTGTCTTCTGAACGTTTTAGTTGTGGAATCTGGAGCATGAGAAATGAGAATCAGTCAAAAGTTCAAATAATGATGTAGGTAAACAAGTCACATGGTCAGAGTTGCAGATGGAAAGAATTGTATCATCAAGAACAGTGCTATAAGATCAAGTCAAAGCTTGAAAAAGACGTTGTGTGCAAAACTGTGGCTCAGATAATGAGAGTTGGCGAGTATGGATTAGAAAACATTGTACAACAAGCTAAGCTAGCATTTGAGGACACAACTGCATACTTTTGTGCTCTGAGCTTTCATGCTTTCATACTAAATATTCAACTTCACATCCAAAACTTCTTTCTGAATTAAATATAAAACTTGATTTCCTGGAAATGTGAGGATGAAACTATAAGATATTCACTAATGAAAAATTGAGGGTCCCTGGTACACCCACTTTTAGTTACTTGTGGAGTCTGATGAGTGTAAGACCCGCAGTATGAAAAAGATTACTTCAATGTGAATATGTCATGATCCGATGAATACATTTGGAAAATAAGTATAAAAAATATTAGACTTTTAAAAGAAGAGTTCAAAAGAAACATACAATAATGCCATCTCCATAATCAGACACTGAAATGCAGTTATCCTTAGGCTGGCAAGTTGAAAATCTGTTCAAGATTCCATTACTTGACTTTTAAATAAAGAAAAAAATATATATAAGACTTTGTGTTAGTGAGAGTTGCTGAAATTGTCCCTACTCCAAAGCCAACTTTTGACCATATTGAAAGAGCAATCACTAAACTCTTGACAAAATCCAAATGATGCAATTTCATCTCTATATAATAGTACCACTAAGTTGAAACCATCAAAATAATCTTTTACTTCATATTTGCATATAAGCAAATTAATAAGGAAGGCACCTGTCTTTCTGACAAGCGATTTTTAAATTGGTATTTTTATGGTCAAACTGTAAAGATTCCATCTATGAGACCAATGCCATCAATAAAGTCAGAGTGGGTATCATCAATTGGCCAATTGGTCTGAACTACTACTAATATGATTACCCATTAAGATTCCACATCTCATACACTTAATAACATCGACAAGCTAGCCAGCACCAGAACAGTAATAGATCAAGCAGTTGAGGCACCTATGCCCAAGAACAGTCCAATACTCATGTTCAAAACAAATCTTGCCAGAGTTTGCAGTATACTCAGAGAAAAATTTCCCTAAAAAGAAAAGAACTTTTCAATCATCTCCTAACCCTAGTGAACAGGTTCTTCACGTTTCCCAAAACATACAGAACAGGATAAACAGTTCCTGAAAACCAAATGGAGGTTCAATTGCCTGCTAATGATATTGCACAATCAGGGAACAACCACTTCACATTATCAAACATACGAATTGAACCATGCATTCCATGAAATAATCACAAATTGAGTTTTTTACATGAGATTTTGAGCAAAAGAACGAAGTACTTAATTTGTATTTCAGAATTGTTTAAAACATCCAAACAAGGTTCCTTCCCCAGAATCCGCAGCAGTTGATAGAACTGAATAAATCTTAGTGTTTGGAGAAACAAGTGAATGAAAATAATATTCACGACTAAGGTCAACTTATTCATTGCATAGCAAGATGGTAATAACCATTTGTCCCCCCAAGTTGTTATCTGCAAAGTCCAAAAGCTGTAATAGAACCAAGAGACCGGCTTTGCAATTGGCATGGTGCTAGAGCACTAGGTTCAAAGCCCATCCTCCTGTCAACCAACAAACATGATCATCAAACGTTCATATATGCCATGTGAAAGCATATCATCAATAGTACGTGCCCACATAAAGGTCGGACCAAATAAATCAATAAGAAATAGTACGAATCATAGCCAGAACAGCAAACACATGCACACATGTCCATGTGCAAGGGTCAGTGAAAGAAAGAATGTCTAATATGTATTGCTAATAACTTTTTGGTGACTGAATTGGACTATAAATGTCGAAGTATTGATCATTAAAAGTAAAATTTGAATTTGCAACTGCAACTGCAACGGAAATAACATTACTTGATATGATAATACCTTGTGACAACTATAAAAGGCTACAAAAACCTTGATTTGAATGCAAAGGAGACCAGTACCCATGCAACTAATTGCCAAATATAGTACAGTTCCATGCAAATTTCTGCAAACTAGAGATCTCTACATGTGAATTATTGAGTTAAATAATAATGCAACTTTAATAAAATGATTGCAAAATCCTGATTGGTATTCTAACAGTAACAACAAACTCTATGACTTCAGGAGTCATAATATCTGTTAACAAACAATAAGGGAGTCATAATATCTGTTAACAAACAATAAGGCAGCCCAAAAGGACCCAAAAAAAAAAAAAAAAAAAAAAAAAAAAAAAAAAAAAAAAAGAAAAAAAAAAAGAAAAAATCAAGTTTAGACATTGTTAAACTCATCCATGATCCTTGGGGTTTGAGGCGGGGGTTATATGCCAGAAGGCTCAAGTCTTGCCAGCAATTTAGCCAGAAGCAAGTTCGCCTAGCACCAATGTTAAGTTAATGCTTCAAAAAAAAAAAAAAAAAAAAAAAAGAAAAAAAGAAAAAATCAATTTAGCATTGCTTAACTCTCCATGCTCCTTTTGGGGTTTTTGGGGGCGGGGGTGGTTATTGCCAGAAGCAAGTTTGCCAGCATGTTCCAGAAGCAAGTTTGCCAGCATGTTCAGTTCATCGTTCAATTGAACTCCTATTTGATTGCGTTCCATAATGTTCAATAACATTCTACCAAATATGTACTAAATTTAAAGGTCAAACCAAGCATCCTTTCTAAGTAATTACCTTCCACGTCCTGGTCCCTTGCTCTTGCGATGAGGTGAAACTTTCTGTTAATATGGAATGTAATAATTGCTTGCTTACTGCAGTGGTTTGTCAATACACATAACCTTCAACTCAAGCAATAAGGAAAGCGGCCACTCCTTGCTATACTAAACAGATCAATCTTCATCCATTAGCTTAAGCTAATAGTGATATAACTTGTAAAAACACCCACAGACAGAGAAGCGAAAAAACATCATAACCTGATCTCTGAATCCCAAACATCCAATCTATCTGACTTTATTGGTAAAATCAGAAGGGAAACACCAATTTCTTTTCTTTTCTTTTTTGTTTTATAGAATAGTTAAGAAATCTCAAGTTGCTGTTATTACTTGTTACAATGTTCTAAGCAATGATGAAAAAGATGATAGAGATGTAAGTTAGTCCAGACTCTGATATAGGTTTATAGGTGCTCTCAAGGCTCTATTTGCAAACCTTCATGGCTGTTACTGCCACCACATTGAATATGGCTGCTACAGCCGTTATGCAGGCCGATTGCCTTCACATCAGATCATTGTTACGAATCATGTTAGTTGCTTCATTCTCTTGGCTAACCCAGGAACAAGTTTATCTCATGGGTCACCTCAAGCTCCATTGGTGCACCCTTATGACTACTGCAACAACTAAATTTTGCTCTGTTTCTTTTGCTTTGTGGTAGTTTGGGACATTGGGTCATTATGGTTATGCTGTTCTCTGGCCCTTTATACGCGTCCTGGCACATCCTCCATCACTCCTCCACTAAGGAGCCTCACCAATCCGATAGTTAATCCGCAAAGCATTCTGGTTTATCCCTCATTAGTCCTCCCCTCTGGAAGTTTAATTAATTTAATTTGCAATGCATCCTGATATATATTTCATTACTCCTCCCGGCAGGGAGTTTCATTAATACAATAGCCAGGTTGTAGTTGAGTTTGCAATTAGCATACAAAGCACAACCAAACCTTAGGCCTTTCGGCTTCATGTTTCTTTTACAATAGTCATGAAATCTCGAGCCACTGCTATTTCTATGTTCTTACATAGGCTTAATGATGATGAAAACGATGATAATAGAGATATAAGTTAATCCAGAATTGAAAAAGTTAACAAGAGAATCATCAAACTCAATAAAGTTTTCACGAAAATAAAAGTATGGTCACTTAGGTTTGCCAGTCTAACACATTGCTGAACTTGATAAAATAAGGTCAATCATATGACTGATATTTGATTCACAACAATCTATATGGAAGAAACAGCTCCATTACCTTCCAACTGCATTATTAATTTCATCATTCTGCAGTTTAATATCACAGTGACCACAAAGTTAACATTTCAAATTACAATATTTTCAAAGGGATAACAATTCCAACCTGAATGGCTAAATACTACTGTTACCAGACCTAGCCTGAACTCTCAAATTTTTTCAGGCAGCTCATTATCCAACTAGAAGAGTTTGTTTTTCCAATTTCAGGTTTGTTTTCAGTAAAAAAAATTAAGCAACCGCAGAAGTTATTTTCAGAAATTTCAGATGCACACAGATTCTAACAAGCTTCTTTTCATATCATTCACGGTATGACTCTTTTATACAAACTACTCCAAAAGTTGTGACTTTAAGGTAAATTACACATAAATGCAGCTGTACACGCAGTCACTGAAAGGAATCAGGCCTCCACCAGTAAAATATAAGCTATCAGTATCTTTTTAGGCACATTGGAATGAAGAGAATTTACAGCTACCTAGGATTGTGTGAGGATAAGGTATTCAAAGACCGTCATCAGACACTGCTAGCCATTTTTCATCATTCGACCAACATGTGTAGGTTCAAAATTATCACACATGCATAATTACATAAACCAAATATGAAGAGCAAAATGAGAGAGAAGAACCAATATGTGAAAACAAAATTTCATAAAAGGAATTAGTTCATTACATCTGCTAAAAAACAGGATATTACATGCATGGAAGTAACAAAAAGCACACTAGCTAATAAAATTGCACTTGCCTATCATCTCCAAATCCAATAACACAGTAATTGAAACAAATCCAGTATACAAAAGATCACTAACACTAAAAAAATTGCAAAAACAAAAAGGTTACCTGAACTCAATTTGGCATATCAGAACATCAATTTCACCATCCCACAACCCTAACTCCTTCCATTTTCACTCCCATCCTTGATCTCAACACCCTCGAGTCTCTCACTCACCTCCAAAACAGACCAATTAGGAGACTGCACAGCTCTCAACCATTTAAAGTCATCTACATTGCTCCAGTTCCCAGTCTCCTCCTCCAAACCTGCTTCCTTCAAATCTTCCTCAATTCCTTCATAACTCAAACAGTAAGGCGCAAATCTAACACCTCCACAATCTTCAATTATCGGCCTGCTCCTCACTCTCAGATAAAAATCACTTTCTCTCGCGTAATGTATCCTTATCTGATGGGAAGCCAAAACAAAAATACTGTTTTCAACTTCCTCAATCAAAATTGAACCTATAACTGGCCCTGCATAAACCTTACAATTCCTTAAGCGATTAACAAAAAGCGCACCAATGCAACCAATTAACCTAACTTCACATGAATCCAAATCCGATATCGTAAATTCACCAATCTCCGATCCTCTAAAATTCTTTGTTAATATTTCATTCACTTTGTTCCTAATTCCTGGTGAATCCTTAATTGTGAAAATCGGTTTCGGTGTTTCGGGTTTGGCGATTTCGTTTTCTTTAGGTTCAGAGATTGGGGTTTTGCTTGTAGATTTGTTTTTGAAAGAAAATTTCTTTTTCGGGACAAGCTCAGAGTGGAGATTTTCGAGAGATAGTTTAAGTTCCGCGACGGTTTTGAGAGAGGAGCGAAGTTCATAGGAAGGGAGAAAGTAGGAATTCTCGGCGACGAGTTGTTCGAGGGAGGAGATGGAGTTGGAGATATTGACGAGGTGAGATTTTAGGCGAGTTGGATCGGTGCTGGCGAGTTTTGATGACTCAGCGAGTTGGAATTCAATTGAGCGTTTGAAGTCGGAGAATTTGGAGAGGAAGGAAGCGGTAGAGTCGGTGGTTGAGGAGGAGGATTTGCTGCGCGTTTGATGGCGGATAGAGAGGCGATCGAGCATTGCTTGGTGCTTTTTTTGTAGGGTTGGGTCTAAGGCTTTGGTTGAGTTTGAGATATCTGTTGCTACCGGTGTTGGTGGAGCTGTCGTCGTTTCTTCTTCCATGGCTGTTTGCGCGGCCGGAGCAATCACCAGTTGGGCGGGAGTAATATGATAGAAAATAAAAATATGATTTTGTTTTTTTTTTTTTTTTTTATTGAACTGAGGGAAACTGGTAATCTGATCGGGCTAAAAAAAAAAAAAAAAAAAACGCGGGCCCGGAGCAATCAACCAAGTGGGCGGGAAGCTAAGTAGTGATAAGAAAATAAAAATGATGAATTTGTGTTTTTTTTTTTTTTATTTCTTATTGACACTGAGGGAACTCGGTAATCTAGATCGAGCTAAAAAAAAAACAAAAAAAAGATATATGCATGTACAAAAATGGTACGCCAGGCGTTTTTGTTCTTTATTGCTTGACTTTTTAATTTTTAATGTCCCATAATTTTTTAAAACAATTCTAATTTTTCCATGCGAGTGTCTCTCTTCTAAGTATCGAAAATTAAATTTTGTATTAAAATCACATGAAATAAGGTATGGTGGTGATTGTATAATGGCTTCTGATATTTACATTTCACGGTAATCAAGCAGTTAAATTCTGTACGACAGACTGTAAAAAAAAAAAAAAAAAAAAGGCATGATGTACAAATGGTACGCCAGCGTTTTGTTCTTTTTGCTTGAATTTTAATTTTAATTTTCCCATAATTTTTTTAAACAATTCTAATTTTTCCATGAGTCTCTCTTCTCAAGTCGAAAATTAAAATTTTGTATAAAAATCCATGAAACATAAGTATGGTGTATTTACATTTCATATAAATCAAGCAGTTAAATTTGTACCGACAGACTGTTAGATCAACACTAAAATGAGCAAAGTTAAAAGTTTTACCTGATATTACCCTAACTCTTGTCTAAGGATATAAATACTGGGAAAGAGAGAGTATATACAAACCAAACATTTAGATTTGTAATTCAATTTCTCCTAAATAAATATAAATCCATGACATTTGTTACAAACACATGAAAACAAGTTGGGCTGGTCGCAATCTGAATTGTTACTTGGAGAAATTTCAGCTTTAGAGTTGAGCTTTTCATGAGTAATGAGGTATATTGAGCAGTGTCAGTTTTTTGAGTCCAAATTAAATTCAAGCTGTGGTGTGTGTATATATATATATATAAGATCCTAAAAAGGGAAAGTGGGGAAACTTGAGAACCAAAAACCAGACATGAAATTATACAAAAATGGTCTAACATAAAAAGCTGAAAGTTAAGCAAAGAAATGAGCAGTCCGTATCATGGAACTACAAAATGCAAACATTTACTTATGCAGATTTCTCAGCTTCTGCAGCTGCCTCTTCCTCTTGCAACTTCTTCAAAGATGGAGGTGGTCTCACTACAATGCTTTTCTTCCATTGTCGGTCTAACTTTCTTGACAACCTCTTGTTGATCCCCTCCTCAAGCTCTCTTTCCCGTTTAACAGTAAGCATGCGAGCAATCTGTTATTAACAAAAACTCTCATTAACATGATACTAAAACCACGGGTCTTTAGGATATGCATCTATAAAACCTTTGTACTAAAAAGGCTCACATGTGAGTATCATCTAATAATAAACCAAGTGATGAATTGTTAGCAGAGCACAGAATCGACAAACTGGAAAAATGGGACAGCAGGCACATGGAAAAAAGTAGCAAGCAGCTTACTAGTTATTTCACTAGGTCAATGAGCAATGATGGCAAGTTAGCAACTAAAACGTTATTATGGCTGCTAGCCTACTACTTCGAAAGTAATCCTAAGTCCCAGCAAGTCAATAGTCGTTTGCAAGGACATAATGATGCATACAATCAAATGCCTCTGCATTTTGAAGGCATATAGTCATATCTATAGCACATTAGGATGCTGAACTTGCATCACTTTGGATATGCTCTTGGATTTATACTCAGAAGCATCATTGTTCAGTTTTATGGTCCTGTCACTACTTCCACTCCCCTCATTCACCTGAACCTCATTCCAACCATTTTTAGTCAACTGGTCAACACATCAATCCTATTGTTTGCCATTTTGCATTTCAAAGGAAAATCATTTATTAGAAGCCATCAAGCGATTTCCATCCCTACCTTGTGTACAGTCAGCAGCCTTAACCAAAACCAAAATCTCATCAACCTTAACCCCAAGTGTCCATTAGGCATTCAAAGAATCACACTCAATATCACATTAGGAGGCTATATAAAATAGCTTTACATGTGTTATAAGATGTAATGAACTTCCATAAAGTACTCACTGCTCCTGATTGGGTATTGGATAAAATATACAGCTCCATCACTCTGCCATTGTCACATCAGTTCAAAGTATCTTATCAGATGATAACCATAACATACTAACATTTAGTTTAAGCCATGTTATATGACTTCAGCTAAGTCACCTCACAACAGCAACTGTTTTTGGTACGTACCTATAAGTAGCACTTGTCAACATATGTGAGATTATTCATTACAGGTTAAACAACGTTATTCACATCCATGTAAAAGTGTTGGACACAATTACTTAATCGTAAAGGCCGGCAATGGGCATGAAACCAACATTGCACCATAGAATAGACTCATCTCCACACTCTAGATAATGTAATTAATCACTGAGGTGTGAAGAAAATAAGAAGTGAAGAAGTTCTCCATATATTCAAATAGCAATTTAACAACATAGATGCTGGCAGTCTTCTAGGCTCCAACCAAGTTAAAGATATGCTATCAAACACAGCACCCTAAAAGATTTGAAATCTTTGTTTGAAGCCTGAAGTTGACTGAAATTAAAAGCCAAAGAAAATCCACAAATTTTAAATCTCAATCGTTATCAAAAAGATGCCTATTTCAAGAAAAAAATAATGATATGAACATACTTAATATACATATATAAAAAGAGCACACTTAGAAAGCCATGATCTTAGGCCCTCCTTATTGTCAATACTATGACACATACAATTAGCATAGGGTTTGCAGGCAGGTAGATAGAGTTAGCAATGTGATACAAGAGTGTGAGAGAGAATGAAGATGCTTCACCAAAAGTGGATCTATGCTTTTGTATTAGCGAGGCAACTGCCCCCATTCAAAATTTGAAAAATGACAAATGTTCCATATAAATTCAAAGTAGCTTGAAATCCTCTTTAGTTTGTCCCCACTGAACTTTTACCATTTTTTGGGGTCAATATGTTTCTTTTTCTTTTTTCTTAAATGATCAATGTACGACTATTTCAATTTTGCTGATATTACACCTCACATTTTATGCATCTCTCCAAGGTTTAAACATTATTAATATGTGGAGAGGTTAATATGAATGAAAAAACTCAAATATAAAATATTATGTTCCACGTTTTCATGGTTCCAAGTTAATATCTATCAGAATTCCTCTCTAATCACCACGCACAGTTAAAAAAAACAATAAAATTATAACAGAAGCAAAAGCTATCCAATTACACAATTCTCATCATTGGTTATTCCAACCATAAATGTAATCCACTTATTTTGACAATGACTGCTAGACAACTAACCCTATAGAAACTCCATTGAATCAAAAGCCAAAAAAACATCTCCCACCTACATTATCAATCTCACAAATAAATTGCAACAAACGCTCACAGTAATATCATTTAGTGAAAACTATTTCAAGCATAGCACTGTAACTACAGCTTTAAGGAAAAGCCATAATTCCTCCCTCAAAAACGGAGATAATTCGAGCAAATCCTGAACCAAAATTTCTAATGTAATGAATTTTAACTAATAATAACAAAAAACATATGGGAAAGATACCCTTTTGCGCATTCGGCGAAATTCGCTGGACTTGAACTCGTTGCGGGCCGATTTCTGAAGCCGAAGCATAAAGAGCTCGCCTTTAAGATCAATTACCTCTTCATTTATTTGCTCAGTACTCAGGCCTCTGATTTCCTTCAGTTCTTCTTCTCTCTTCGCCATCATTACTACTGCGTATCCAGAAAACGACCGTGTCCTTTGAGCAGGTACTCGAATTGGAAGAGGACATGTGTGGCGGATTGGAATGCCGGAAAAGCTTGATTTGGGGATTGCAGATAACGGCTTTGGGAGAAAAGTTGCGCTGGAGAAACTCAACATTTCTGCTTTCTAGTGAGCAGGCGCTCTATAGAATTCTAGCGAAGTAGATAAGGCAACTACTAGCTGACTCTGTACTCGCTCTCCCTGAGCCAATTTTTCTTTGTCTGCAAATTTTCACTTTTGGCATAGAAAATTTGAAAAATTCAATATTGACCCCTTATTTTTACAGGGATACGAACAAAAGCTACCACCCGCGCGTAATTGCTTTGGGTATTAGGTTTTCAAAAAAATTATATACTAACCCGGATAAAAATATTTCTAAATTCGCCATAGGTTAAAAAATTTCTTCTTGAAGCTTAAGGTTTCTTTGTTAAAAATTTTGGGTCATATATTAATGCATAAACCTAATTATATATTTTTCCTTTACTGAAATATATTTTATAAATATATAATTAAAACTTATACAGTGGTATGAATTTGATTTGAAATTGTCTACGGAAACTTACGAGTGCACGGATCATTAAAATAATACAAAGTTAGTAAAGTGTTGTTCATACTAGGATTAGCTTTGAGTATTTAACTATTGTGATTTTCATTATATTAACAATGATTAATTTAAGAGAAAGATAAATAAAATTAAAATTAAAATAATTAACTAATTAAATAAATCACAACTACTCTTCAAATAAACAAAGGGTATAAAACTTCTTAAATTTAGGTTTCATCACTCTAATCTATCTATGGTTAATAATTTAACTAATTTAATTTAGAAAATACATATTTTGAAGGTGAGAATTTCTTAAGGTAATTTAATTCTCTTTCAAGGTATAAAAGTATATTATAATTTAAATTTCAATCCTTGATTTCTCGACTATTCAAATTAATTTAAGATCTAAGAAATCTTACCATAATCCTCAACTAAATGTAGCTTATGTCTAAATCTAAATAAGATTCAATTATTAGCTTTTTAAATTTTAAAGTTCACCTTTCGATTCTTCAGTTAAAATTTACAAATAAAAATATTAAATCAAATAATTAAAATAGTAATCATAATAATCGCTTTGGATCAGGCCAATTCTATTCCATACTAGATGTGAAATGAAGAATTTTCAAGGAGATCACTCATCCTAAGATTTCCTTTAACTCTGGTGTTCTTCCAACTTTCCAATTCATTGCACCAAAAGGCGCCTTTGTTTTCCCTTTTTTAATATATGATCCGATTCATTCTTGTGTCTCACATTCCTCTATCCATAGCTAGCCTGCAATCCTAGAAGCTATGTGAAATTTCCTAGGAGGTCACGCATCTTAGTATTTCCTTTAAGTGAGCACGCTTAACTTGGAGTTCTTCTAACTCTCTATGTCATTCTATCAAAAGGCGTATCTTATAATTAATTTTTCCCTTTTCAATCTATGATCAAATTCATTTCTGTGTCCTGCATTTATCTACTCATAACGAGCCTGCCGTTCTAAAAATTAGCCAGGAGTTTTGCTTTACACGTCCTTTTATGATCGCTTTGCCGGATGAAAATGTTGTAAATGATTAAAGTATCAAGATAAAACATTGAATTTTAGATGGAATGGATAATAAAACTATATTGTTGACTTCAATGGAGGCTTGATATTCTGCACTTCAAAAAATCTCCTTCTTATCTTATAACTTGTTGTAAATTCATTGCGAGACAGTGATTTGATTTGAAGCTAGCTAGGCTCCTTGGATATGATTTTATTTTAGTAAATTATGCTTTTATAAAGGTTTTAAACTCGTCCTTAGACAGAATGGAGCCATATCAAAAAGGAACTTGGAAAATCAATTGGAGAAGTTTTAGAATGAGAAGCACAATATAGAATTAAGAATTAGAATTAGAATTAAGAAAAAGCAAAAAGAATTAGAATTACGAAGGTTATACATAAATATGCGATAAATTTAATTAAATAAATTACATGGGAAGAAATTAAAATTAATGATATCGATTCATACAGATATAAAAATATAGAAGAAGAGGTTATCTATTAATTCAAACGCAAAGTATGATTCATGTTGTGATTTGTGACTTATAAATGACTTGAATATAAATTAAAGAGTGAGCATAGCTTGGTGGTGAGGATATATAATATTATCAATATAAAATATTGGTTAGCTTATGAATAATTTGTTACATTAGTAAATTGGTAAATGTTTGATTTAGAAAATGACCAATTGGTTAACCTCATTAGTTAATATTTATTAATATATTAAATATAATATAATTACCTTTAGGATATTGTTTACTATTCAGACTATTTATTAGTTTAAAATTTTCGGATAAAAAGGAAAATAAAATTTCTGATTATTCATAACTTAATCGAACCAAGAGGCTTGTGAGATTGACCTAGGGGTAGGGGATTCCTATATGATTGAATTGCGAAAACTAATAATTTCATTTTCATCTACCAAAATAACAGGAAATGTTTCAGGAAAAGTAGGCATACGACGTACAGAAAGTTCATATCCTTCTTTATCTCTTGACAGGATGTCCTAATCATCTAATAACTGTTTTATCCCCGTTGTCCATTGAGCTTGCTCTCAATCACATGTGTAAAATCTTCTTTAAAAGTGATTCTTTTATTGAATAAACTTAGGGTTTTATGAACGTGTTGGTGCATTTTAGTTGCGATTATAGCAATTCATGGCATAAATTACGGTTATAAAAGATTAGGTGTTTATAGCTACAATATCAAAAGTTGATGGGCAAGCCTTTCTATAAGAAGATCAAATATGTACATTGAGTGACTTTTCATTTTTTTTTTTTCTCCACTCTATTTTAGAATATAATGAACACATAATCTTGGCGCGATGTGTCGGTTAATTTAAATATAATTTTATAAGTTGTGTCATAATATAATAGAATTTGAAATTTTATAATAAAAGTGTATGTGATACTTCATATTTATTAATTTCGTACATAATAATTTAACTTATAAACAATGTTGTAAATGTTATATTGACATTATTATGTACATGTAATTATATAATAAATCATGATAGCATCTGTGCAGTTTGATAATGTTATTTGTCAAAATATTTGTTATCACACAGATACATATATTTTTCACCAAATAAGGTTGAAAAATTTATATATGTTCGTTTTTGTTTTTGTTGGCACAACTTTTTTATAAATTTGTCAACAATACAATTTTATTGTCAACCTATAGTAATTTTTAAAATATTTTTTAAAAATAAAAATAATAATTAATAAAATTATTACAGCTAGCATCAATAATTTAACTTATAAACCAATGTGTAAATGTTATATTGACATTGATTAATTGTACATGTAATTTATAATAAATCAATGCATAGCATCTGTATGCCAGTTGATCATGTTATTGTCAAACAATATTTGGTTATTCACACCAGATACAGCTATATTTTTTCAACAAATCAAGGTTGAAAATTATATATGTTGTTTTTTGTTTTTGTTGGCAAACGTTTTTATAAATTTGTCAAAAAACAATTTATTCAACCATATAGTAATTTGTAAAATATTTTTTTAAAATAAAATAATAATTAAAAATTAATTTAATGAAATTCAATTTTCATCTTAATGTTCATTATTTAAACATAATCGACCAAAGATAAATTTATATTCCCATAATTTAATTGAAAAAGTAATAATGAAATCACTATAATACAATAAGAACTTTTTTTTTTACATTTATAAATAAGTAAAGATTTAATATATTATCTGTATTTAGAAAGCTTTTTTATTTGAATATATGCAAAATAAAAGTTTTTAATGTCAATCATATTATATATATAATATTTCTCAAATGAAAATAGACAATTATATATTAAATAAAATTAAAAATATTTGTATTAAGTTTTTTTAGCTTTAATTTTTATTAATTTTTTTATCTTTAAATTTTTAATTTTAATCAATTTAGATAAAAAGTCAAAAAAATATAAATTTATATAGATATTATTTTTGAGTTTAAATAAGATATCAAATATTATTATTTTATTGATCGGACTAATAATAGAATAAATAAATATTATTTTAAAAATATTATTAGTAGAGCTTTATATAAGTTTATAATATTAATATTCAATTTACTTGAAAAATTTATTATCAATATTTAGTAATTAATATTTAATTGATAATTGTTTATTATAAATACAAATATTAATAGTATTTAATGTTATCAGTTATATGTATGCACGTAAACCATCAAAGGTTTCAAATTCTAATGATTTCTACTTATGAGAGAATATATATGGCATTTATTTATTAATTGGATCTAAAAAAATGAAAATAATCAAATTAATGAAAAAAGTTTTTTTATAAAAATCAATGGCAAATCAATTTTATATATTACAAAATTAACCATTCAATTTATGCTTTTTAAAAAATGCATGGAAAACTCATATTCAATTTGCTTATATAAATTTAGAAAAATTTATTTAAAAAATTTTAAATGAATAATTATTTATGTTATGACAAGAGTGTAATTAAAGAACAATAAAAAGGTTAAGTGAAAAAATAATATTGGACATAAATCTAATTAAATAATTATAAAAGCATTAAGCGGGATAAAATACTGTTGTGGCAAGAATCTAACTAAAGAATAATAAAATTATTATATGATAAAAATATAATTAATAAAAAGTAAAAGGGCTAAATGGGACACGCCGCTTAGATAGTAATAATAATATAATAAAACCTTTAAATTATATTGAAATTAACACTTTAAGTCTTTCAATGTTTTAGAAAAATAATTATAAAGTTATTAACTTATATTTTCATCTCACAAACAAATCCTTCCATCTTAAAAAGTGAGTTCTTTAATTACTGTTAGTTAAATATACTTTTTAACTTTTTTGATGGAATATGCTCACTTTCTAAATAAAATGTGACATCCTACCAAATCGAGTCTTAGCATAGAGTTGAGTAGTTGAGTTGAGTCGAGTTGAACCAAACCCGGTTGGGGTAGAATGGGTTTATAAGTGGAGTTACTTTACGTTGAGTGAGAGAAAAAAGATCAAACATAAGTGATTAGATTATTTGCACTAAACTACAGCTTGGGTCACTGTAAGTTTGTAACCTTCTAACAATTATGGTCCATGTAGCTTTTACCACACAAAGTTTATGGATCTTTAGAGCTCCGTGGCATACCCATTGCACTATTCCCTTTCATGTTTATCTTCATCTTCTCCTTTCCTCTTCCACCGTTCCTTTCAATTTTACTATGGTATCTAGTTAAGCCTTAACTTTCAACTTCTCTTTTATCCAAGTAATGTAAAACGGTCGTTGGTGAAGTTCATAAATTTTTGAATCATTGTGCTATTTATTTTAGAATTCATTAATGGAATTTTCTTATTTATAGGTGAAGGTAGTTCAATAGGAGTTAGAAAAAGAAGTTTTTGTAAAGACGAGCTCTAAAGCTTTTGGGCAAGTTTATATCTCTGTGTTAATGTTCCAATTTCTTTGTGAGGAATTGTTGTGGTGTGTTGTAGGTTGACAAAATATTGCTTTCATGTGAGTGGAAGACTGGAATGCGTGAGAAAAGGAGAACAGCGGGAGGAAGGGACTAAATGAAGAATTATTGATTTATGTGAAACGGTTTTTGCTGGAATGTACCAGTACTTCACTCTGATTTTGACCCATTTAATGATGGAATTAGGAAGTTCATGTAAGTTTTGTTGCTCTATGTTAGCTTACTGGGTTTTTGAAATCATCCAAATCGATATTATTGAGAGATATGACCAAAAAGAGTACAGACTTGCAGGCTGGAAAAACAAGCACGCGCGCGTCGATCGCATGACGAGCTCGCGTTAGCCTTCTCGGCGCGTCCTGCGATGTTTCAAATGCGCGCTCCGCGACCTTGTGCGCTCCAAACTTCCCTCTGGCTCTCATTTGGCATCTTTTTATCCGCGGCTCCGACTTTGAAGGACCGCGGCTCGTCGTACTTGCCCTTGGCCGTACTGTTAATACGCTCGCGAACCTTTCATCGCAGCGGCCGCGCGAATTTGGCCTGGGAACTCACTTGTCTCTTCTTTTGGCACTTTTCGCGTTTTTTTTCTTTTTTTTCGCGTCCGACTTGCTGTCCCTTCTCACTCTCTTCATTGTGTTGTCTTTTTACGCTGCTCTCGGGACTTCAAGTTACGCGCTCTGCGGACTTGGTTTTCATGCATTTTTGGACTCATTTTCAATGCAATTGGTATAATTCCTTTCTTCATCTTATATGCCTCCAATCTTTTTACCATCAAATACAACATTAGAAATCATGTATCAAAACAACACTGCAAAGCATGCAAATTAGTTGCAACAAAAATGGTAGGTATCATTATGATTTTTGAAGTTATAACTATATTATAATTTATGTTTATTATTGACATACCTTAGCTCCTTCCATTGAGCGTTCAGGTTGAAACATGTTGATAATGGCTATATGTTTCTTGGCTATCAGTAGTTGATAGCAGTTGTGCATCTTTTGTGATACTCTTTGCTACAGGCCCGTTGAGGGTTTTATATATTGCATTTAGCCAGCCAGCATACCTATATTCATCCCTTTAGCATTACACGTTTCTTATCACGTTTTTAATGGAGCCAAATAATATCTTACTATTAACAATTCTTTATAATCATACAGTAATAATAGGGTACAAAAGTCTTTTTGGTATCATGAAAAGTTATTCATTGATGTTTTGTGCTTAATGCTTGCCATATTTTTCATGGTTTCTTCTTTTAATACTTTTATGGATTTCTTTATTTTGAAGAATATCCCACTTGGAGCTTTATATTGCTCAGCGTTGATTACAAATTCAAACTCGCAGGTTTTTTTTGAGATCGGACTTGTGGTGTAGTTAGGTCATTACAGACTTGTTGCAGATTTTCATACTTTCTTCATTCTGTAGAATGACCTCAGTTCTTTCAGTCGTTTAGTCTACTCATTTAACTATGTATCCTTTTTGATTCTCCGCTGTTTTATTGGCAATGTACAGTTTTTTTTTTTTATTTGGGCATCTAATATGTTGTTGTGGTTCTCATTGTTCATTTTTGACACTAGTCTCTGTTTTGTTTAATTTAATAAAGTACTGTTATTATTATTAAACAACATCAGCATATAATTATATTCAATATACATATTATAATTTCAGCATTAGGCATTTCAGCATGTCAGGCCATACAGTCAACCAGTTTGTAGCGTCTCGGTTCGGTTCATTCGGATTTACGGGTGGACCGGGAAGGGATGTTACATAAAAATAGTTCATTTTTCAAATAAAATAATCTAATAGTGAGATAAAATATACGTTAGAGAGATTGTAATTATTTCTTATTTAGAACTCTAAATAATAATCATAATAATAAACTGATTAATCATTTTCCTTTTAAGTGTAAAAATACATTGAATTTCGGATGTTGTTACAATTTCATCATTTCAATTATAATCTCTAAGTTTAATTTTAAGTTAATACTTATGAAAAAGTTAAAAATGTAGTAAAACTATAACAAGTTGCAACAATGTTTATTTCCTTTCTTTTTTATTATCTTGATTTGCTAATTAGCGAAAAAAAAACATCATTGCAGTAATTAATTAACAAACTGCATGAATAAAATTTTAAGATTAATTATATTGTATTATTCTATTGGAAAAATTTCCACTGGATTGGATATTATTTTTATATATTAAATATATAACTGACTCCAGCTAGTTTGAGACTAAACTTTAGTAGTTAAAGTTGTTATATAAAAATTAAAATCATTATAATTGCATAATTATTAAATTATTCTCTCAATAATTCCAATAATATAAATTTATATATTATATTATTATTATTATATAACAATATATATATATATATATATAATATTATTATGCCATTATAAAAAAATTATATGCCATATAAAAAATGATTTGGTAAACTCAATCAGATAGTTTATTAGCAAAAATCATTTGTAGGTTGATTACCATATTATAAATTTAATTTCTTGTAATATAAATTTTTTCGGATCAGCTCATTTATATCCGAGGTCGAGTGAAAATTAGTCGGATCTATCTACAGGGAGACGATATGGAAGTATAAAAGAAAAATGATTTGGTAAAATTTTAACTCGTACCTATTTCTTCTTCCGAGAATGAGAAATTTCTCGTTATTAGTTCATTAATCAACGAACAGGCATTTTGTCCCTTGGGTAGTTTGGACTTTGGAGCACGTCAAACAGCAAATACTGAAACGATGCAGATGGTTTTATCGCGTGAATTATTATTATTTTTTATAATTTGGTAAAACTTATAAGTTAGAATTTTTATTTTTTAAAAAATATTAAATAAGTAAATTTTTATTTGTAATTTAAGAATTGTGAAAAATAGAATATATAAAAAGTTAATTTAATTTGATATTGATTTAAACAAGAAATTCAAAATTTTGTTAATGGTAAAATTAATATTTATTATAAATTTAATGAAAATTAAAAATAAAATGACTGTTTAATTAATTTTTGAAAGTAAAAAATTTTCAATTTGCAAATTTTATTGGATTAGGATGCTATGAATGCCGAATCGAATTAAGATACTGTGTGTTGTACGCTAACTTTTTAAGTAGCTTTCACAAAACATTAGAGGTTAGAATCAAATTTTATTCAAAGACTAGTTAATTGTATTTTATTTTATTTTTAAATAATTAAATTTTATCTCACTTCATTATATATTTTTATATTATTTTAATATATATATATATATAATATATAATTCTTTAAAAATATAAATATAAGGACAGAAAATTCTTCCCCTTTGTATTTGCCTTGTCATATGTTTCATTTCCTAGTTTTACTCTGCTGATATATATATAATTCTTTAAAAATTATAAATATAAGAGACAGAAAATTCTTCCCTTTGTATTTGCCTTGTTCATATGTTTCATTTCCTAGTTTTACTCTGCTAGAACGAAAAAAAAAAAAACCCTCGTCTCGTTCTCGTCTTTGCTCCATTTCCTGCAAAATTTCCATTTCCCAAACAAACCCTAAAATCAATCCAAACATTAACCGATACGACGATACAGAGACAAGACGGTGCAGACCGGGAAGAGTCTTCGATGGAAATTGTTGAATCGCTGAGTTGAATTGGAGGAGGCATAGAGAGAGATCTGAGTCAAATCAATTGATGCACTAATGGGCGCTGCAGGCTCGAAACTGGAAAAAGCTCTTGGCGACCAGTTTCCTGAAGGCGAACGATACTTTGGCCTCGAGAATTTTGGCAACACTTGCTACTGTAACAGCGTCTTACAGGTTTTGTCAAACTTTCGATTGTAATAGCTTTTCATTTAGTTCTTAATTATTGTTAAGTAATTATCGTTTTTGTGCTTATCCTTATCGTGTGGTTTTGTTTTATCAAATCTTTTGTAGCTTGTTAGTTCGTGAACTGTTCACCATTTTTGAGGGAATTGATTTTTTCTTATGGGCGCTTTTAGTTGGATTAGATGTTTCGTGTAGAGTGCATTTCTGTGACATGTGATTAAACAAGATATGTACTGATATTTGTATAGAAATGGAGATTAAGGTTAGGATTTAACATTAGTAACAAATATATGTGTTTATTGCTTTTGCAAAAGGTTGTATAGTTTAAGATTCTGGGTATTTAGTATTTTAAATTTAAACTTGATAGATATGATTGGTTTAAATTTTAAGCTGGAAATTATGAGTAATTATTTGGCAGGGGTTTATGGTATAAGTAATTAGTGACTAGAGATTCATGTAATTCATATGGTTACGTATGAGGTGCTCAAGTTTGTTACGTGTTATTAGCCTCTGATTTTCTTGACTTGATTTTTTTTTTTTTTTTTTTTTAAATGGGAAACAAGATTTTGTAGTGTGATATTAGCAACTGAATTGGTTGAAATAGATTTGAAGCAGCTTTTAGGAGCAAATTATATGCCTTTCTGGCCTGTTCATTGAACTCTCAACTCTGCACTTCCTAGTCCGTGTATTTGCAAATTACTTACACTATCCTTACTTTGAAGGATTTATTATATGCATGCATCTTGAGATTCTGTTTAATGCATTGTTAATTATAAGTACTGTCAGTTTCTCAAATTAGCTCCGATTTTATTGTCTTTACTAAGATATGTATCAACTTCTTGAATAGTCATTCAATGTAATTTTAAGTAGCTGAATTGCATTCATAATGAACCCAAAATGAATTATTGTCATCTATTTTTCAATTTTTTATCTATTTGTACCTCATCATGCCTTACTTCTATTCGTCCTTTTACAATGCAGGCACTTTACTTTTGTGTGCCGTTTCGTGAACAACTACTAGAATATTATGCAAATAATAAAAGTACTGGGGATGCAGAGGAGAATCTCTTGACTTGCTTGGCGGACTTATTTACACAGGTAAACAAATCCCTGTAAACGTTTGGAACTTTGATTGTTACTTTGGATGTCAAAGCAAGTGAGATTTATCATCAAGTTCATTTCTTTGTCCTTTTTTAAGTGCTTAAAATTTTCCCCTTCAACTTTCTACATGCTCTTGTGCTATATAATTATGTTATAATAATGTTACATGAGCAGCTGGGATTATTATTTTTTTCTGAATATGTAATGGGTTTACTTTGCTGCCTATTCCCCTATATAATTATGATATAATAATGCTCTTGTGCATGCTTTTATTTATTTTTACTTGTTTGTTCATTCTTCACATTTTCTTTTATTAATGACAGTAATATTTTTATTAGTTATTTTTTTTGGTTGTTATTGTGGTATGCTTCTTCAAATAACATTGTCATAAATAATCTAGTGAACTCTTATCTCAGAAATAGGTTAGAGATTCATTTAGAAGTTAACAGCATAAGATAGTATGTTAGAATGTTTTTCTCGAAACCAATTTTGGATACGATCAGCTGATTTATTTGTTATGCAAAAAGGGAGGGGGATTCATCTAATTCAGTGTGTAGTGTGTTTGTGTCCTCTCTTATAATTTCCCTTGTCATCATGCTTGGAATTAAATACTCTATCTTTTCTTTTTCCTTTTTTTTTTTTCCGTTTCTTTTTCCTTTTCTTTTTGGCTTTCTAAAGTCAGTTCTTGTGGAAACAGCATCTGATAACTATATAGGTATTTACCTCCTTTGTAGATATACTCATCTACATCCACTTAGCATTAATGTAAATGTTCTTCTCCTAAGAAATTGAGCAAGTCAATGAAACGCGTTTGCATATATTTCCACAGTTACTTGTCCTCGGGTTTTACTGGCAATAGCTTTAGTAATGTCTTCGGATATTGCTGCTTGGTGTTTGTCCAATTAAGTGTTGTATTCTCAAGATATTAGTAATACATTCTCAGCTAAAGCACTCTCTTATTTTTTGGAACCTTAGTATTTTGTTCATAATTTATTTTTATCTAATGCAACAACTACAGCAACAACTAAATCCTGAACTTTTTATTTTATATGAATTCTATGCCTCAATTCCACTCTGTTTGTGGCTAATCCAAACTAATGCCAAAAAAGAAAAAAAAAAAAAAAGAAATCCCTTGCTTGTTACTCTTGTTTAATTCACATGTTTTGTTCTGTGCATTTGTGCTTTCTGCTGATTCACTTCAGAAAGGAGCAAAAAAGAGTTATTGTGTTGCAGAAGATATGCAGGGGTTATTTGTTACTGTTTCAGCTATGTTGTTGGGCCCAACTGTGATTATTCTTGTGTGTAGATAAGTTCACAGAAGAAGAAAACAGGTGTAATTGCCCCAAAGCGTTTTGTACAGAGATTGAAAAAACAAAATGAGCTTTTCCGCAGCTATATGCACCAGGTATAGGTTCATTTGCAGTAATTAATCATATCAGTCTGTTTGACATATAGATTTACACTGGACTAAGAAAAAAGTTTACAGATGAATAAATGTTTGTCTATTTTTCATGCAGGATGCTCATGAATTTTTGAATTTTTTGCTAAATGAACTTGTTGACATATTGGAGAAGGAAGCCCAAGTGGCAAAAAGTGATCTGGAAAGTTCATCCACATCTGAAAAGGTTGCAAATGGTCCAAAACATGCTCAGGCGAATGGTCTTTCAAAGGAACCTTTAGTGACCTGGGTACACAAAAATTTTCAGGTGACTTATATTTTTGTTTTTGTTGTAAGTTATTTGCATAGTTAAATGTCAAACATTCTAAATTTTCTTCATTATTAGTTTATTATTTGCTTTTGCCTATACTTTGTTAGATAGTACTGGCAATATGCTTTTTCCCTGCATAATTTCCCTCCTTTCTTGCCTTTCTCTCCAACCAGGAGGAAAAATTAAAAAAAAAAAAAAAATGAAAGGAAAAGCAAGCATCTCATGACTTGTTATGCATGCTTGTATCAGGGAATTCTTACCAATGAGACAAGGTGCCTCCAATGCGAGACTGTTACAGCAAGAGATGAAACATTTTTCGACTTGAGCCTTGATATTGAGCAGAACAGTTCAATAACAAGCTGTTTGAAAAATTTTAGTTCCACAGAAACTTTAAATGCAGAGGATAAGTTTTTCTGCGACAAGTGCTGCAGGTAGGTGATTTTGTTGAATTGTCATTTACCATTGGCTTCTTTTTGTTGTTATTTATAGTTGAGTTGATTTATGGAATTAGCCTTCTAGTGCTGTTCTCAATAGTTTGTGCAACACAGTCTATTTAGAGTCTTGCCTGGAATTATTTGGTCCACAGTTTCACTCACTAGAAGTCTAGAACTCTATTTTTGTTGCTGGGTATGACTCTTGGAGAGCTTGGATTGGCTTTACAGGCCATTTACCAGATCTCCTCTCCCCCACTGTACTTCCGAAAGGATCAAGGGGGAGGGGTTTCAAGGGTGTTGTGCATTGAACCCTTTATCTCTTGTATTATTAGACAGGAATTCTATCACTGGGCTGCTAGCCCAATGGCAAAAATTCATTACAGAGCTTGAAAACAGGTAATTCTTTAAAGCAATAACAGTTTGACAGTTTATACATTTGTAAATTACCTGCAAAAGGCGGATCGATGTTTGAATGCATCCACTCATATCAATATTGAAATGCAGCAATTCATTAGCCCATCTAAAATTGCATCTTTTTCAAGGGTTTTTCTTATATTTATCTGATTTTTATATTATTTATAGTTAGGATACTTAAGCTGAAGAATTAACAACACAAAGCCAAGTATCTGGTTGTGGGATCAGTTGCTATTTGCCAAATATGTTGATGAAAATTTGCCAAATATGTTGATGAAATCTTTAGTAAGTCATCAAGGAGGGGATCGGTAGTGGTGCTAGCCTGTTGGGCCTACTGCTACTGGGCACACAGGAAGTACCTACCAATTTTCATTTAATTTCTTAGTCCATGGTGAAGGTATAGGGACATGGATTTCAAACTGGATAGGTGTGAGATGACCTAATAATGGTTTACATTGTTAGTACATTGCTATTTTGTGTGTTTTTGTAAATATGATAAATGTAACCTTTCAAATTGCCATGTTTTACACAGCACTTGTTTTAGTCGGTTGTGGTAGTTGATTTTGAGCATTCTTGAAAATTTGGATGATTGTTTGAACCTCCATTATTAGTTACGTGTTTCTGATAGTTTGGACAGGATCAAACATATCATGTTTAATAGTTAAATGATAAAAATCTTTTTGTTCCAATTGCAGTTTGCAAGAAGCTCAGAAGAGGATGAAGATAAAGAAACCTCCTCACATCTTGGTCATCCATCTGAAGAGGTTCAAATACATTGAGCAGCTGGGTCGATACAAGAAGCTATCTTATCGAGTTGTCTTTCCACTTGAGCTGAAGCTGAGTAATACAGTTGAAGATGCAGATATTGAATACTCGTTATTTGCAGTTGTTGTTCACGTTGGAAGTGGGCCCAATCACGGACACTATGTCAGCCTTGTGAAAAGCCACAATCACTGGCTATTTTTTGATGATGAAAATGTGGAGATGATTGACGAGTCTGCTGTGCAGACATTTTTTGGTTCAGCGCAAGAATATTCAAGTAATACAGATCATGGATACATCTTGTTTTACGAGAGCCTGGGTGCGACTAGCAAGAGTTGAGAAGAGCAAGCTTTGGTTTTACAAGTAGGTAATTTTAATCATTTGGACTGGAGTCATCTTTTCCTCGACCATCTGTTATATTTTGTTTTTCTTCTTTTTTTCCCCTTTTGTTCTTCAACCAGTGGGAAAAGCTCTCAATCATAATGATATGGGTTGTGAAAAATGTATACTTGGTTTGTTTCCATGTACAGCGGATAATGGAAGCACACTGTACTTTTGTTTTTTTTGTTTTTTTTCCTCAGAATAAGAAGAAAGAAGATCAGTGTATATGGTGTGAGGGAATTACACAGAGACACTATGTATTCTTCATGGTTGAGAACGCTTAATCAGAACATTAGAAAATGCAATCCAATTGGAATTTCTAGGAGCACTCCTGTTACTCAATTCTGTTGTAAATAATTCTTAAATACTGTTCCGTAAGGTCAACTATGCTTATTTTAGGAGGTTTCGACCTGCAAATTTTTGTTATTCTTCGTGTAAATCAGGCACCCATTTGAAGCTCTTAATCCATCAAAATTATCTGGAATGGCTAATTTTAGGCATGGTTGCTAACTAGGGTTTTTGGTGAGCAATGTTTGGTTCAAGTTTTCACTTTTTACCTTGTAAGTACATTGGATAAATTAGTTTAATTAATTCCTACGGTCAGGCAAATATTAAACTATTACCAAATCCAAAAATCATCATAAACAATCAAATAATAGAAAAAATTTATATTTAGTATTTGCCACAAATAATTCATCCAAAATTCAAAGTAGGAGTGTAAGTTCAAAGTAGAATTAATTCGCGAGTTGTTTGAACTAGCTCGAAAAAAGTTTGATTTGAATCAAATTTGAGTCTAAAAAACTTTCAAGTTTGTCGAGTTTCGAGTCGAGTTAAATTTTGTAGAGCTGAAGTTCATTCAGCTCGGCTTGTTTATACAGCTAGTTCAAAATAGAATATATTAGGATCAAGTTGCTTGATTTAAGTCCAATCTGTAAATAGGGGTCAATGGTTTTCCTTTTTGACATGTCCAAACTACCAAATGTGTGAACCCACGAACTGTAAACGGACGAGATCAAAATAGAATTATATTAGGATCAAGTTGCTTGATTTAAGTCCAATCTGTAAATAGGGGTCAATGGTTTTCCTTTTTGACATGTCCAAACTACCAAATGTGTGAACCCACGAACTGTAAGTCCAATCTGTTAAACATAAGGCAATGGTTTTTAATTTTTGACAAAGTTGCTTGATTTAAGTCCAATCTGTAAACATAGGTCAATGGTTTTTATTTTTGACATGTCCCAACTACCAAATGTGTGAACCCACGAACTGTAAACGGATGAGATCTGAATAACGTAAGCTACGTATATCAAATAAATGATAAATAATATAAATAGTTTTAAATAATATTTAACTATTTAAGAAAAAAAACCGATAAAATTAAATATACTTAATAACATAATTATGAAAATTTTTTCACAAACTACAATATAATAATAATATTAATAATCAATAAAATTAAAAATATTGACATATATACAACAACACATTATTTACGGGTTAGGTTGGATTGCAGATTCACCAACCCAATCCGTCAATCATAAAGCTAATCAACTTAACCTAAACCATTGTATTTTTAAACTCGTCAGATTGAATTGAGTTGAGCCAGGCCGTTGAGATTGGTAGAGTAAAAACAGATCATGTGCAGCGCCAGTTCAAAGCTAAAGAGATCGAGTAAATTATTAATCTGTAGGTTGATATTAGATTATAAAGACTAAGATGTTAGGAAGGAGCAATGCCAACTACCCATAATGACACATTGAAGTTCAGCAATTTACATTCATTCCTATGTTGATTACACGTTGGCAGTAAGTAAATTGTGAATATGGCTTCAATTGCTTCCATTGGTTCAACTATTAAATCCCCTTTTAGCAAGTAACAATTATAAGCAGCAAAGGGGACATTTACAAATGAATTGTCGCAGAGCCAAAGAGGAGAACATTAACCAGATATTGCCTCAGGAAGCTGTAGGCATGAAAGTGTCATCATCCAACAATGCATCAAGATCAATCAGGTCATCAAACTCCGCTGTTGCTTCAGAATTGTTAATGCGGTCAGACAAAATCTGTAAAATCAATTGAGAAAAAGAAAAAAAAAAATCATTACATTATCCAGATTAATATAGTACATCAAACAAATTTACAAGGCAAGAAATCATTCAGACCTATTCAAGTTATCGTTCAAATATATTAAGAATGTAATTCCCATAACGAAAATAAGATAAATGAGCAACCAGATACCTACTTTGCATAAGAGATCAAATTTATTCCGAGCCTTTTAAATCAATGCTCAATGAGTCATCATTTGATGCAAACAGTTAGAAATAACATTCCATCTAGGCAAAACTCTACAAAAACTAACTGCAGGTTCACAGATTTAGGCATATAAATCCCTCTGTGGTTCATGTCTTTAGTATATTTGGACTTTATATGCATGTCCCAAAAAAAAAAAAAAAAAAAAAAACCCCAAAAAAAAAAAAAAAAAAAAAAACACAATTCATGAAGACAAGGCTATGGTTTCATGCCTCAAGAGCTCCCACAATGAGTCTACTTGCAAGTATTTTAGCGACGTTCTTGCTTATTATCTGTAGCATGTCAGGGAAAAATGAGTAAAAGTAACACCTCAATATCCATTGGTCTCTTGATCTCAGTGACAACATTTAGCGAGCCTGCCAAAAAAAAAAAAAAAAAAAAAACACAATTCAATGAAGACAAGGCTATGGTTGAGCCCTCAAGAGCTCCCACAATGAGTCTACTTGCAAGTATTTTAGCACGTATCTTGCTATTATCTGTAGCATGTCAGGGGAAAAAATGAGTAAAGTAACACCTCAATTACCTTGGTCTCTTGGATCTCAGTGACAACATTTAGCAGCCTGCGATATTGATCTCTTGCCTCTGGATACTGGTGCATGGATTTCACCCTTGCAAGGGCTATCCGTGATCTTGCTTCTGTTTGCATTCTGCCTTCTTTAAAGAAATCATAGTCATCCTCTTTTGAGGATGTATCATGTTTGCTGGGCCCCTCAATAAGTGCTTCAGATTTGAATCCACGCAAACCACTTCTTTTTCTTCTCCATCGCAAGATGACTTTCTCCACAATTCCTACAGACCATATTATTTTTTTATAGTTTTTCCTGACCTGATGACCTCTTACGTGCGCCTTTCACCAAAACAGATAAAAAGTTAGAATTCAAGATTTCGGATTTGATAAGAGAAAAAACCTTGTCGGAGAAAAATTATACATAAATATCTTAAAGAAAAAGCATTAAGATTATATGACATGCAGCAATTGCACTATGTACCTGAATTTTAACTATTCGCTGGCGAATAATTAAAAATTCTTTTCTCCCCTTCCAACTACGGAACTTGTTTTGAATCCTAATTGCAGCAGCATGCACTGGTTCATCATGTCGTCCTGGCTTGAGCGCTTTTACCGCAATAAGTGAAAGAGCACGCTCATGCGACACTCCAGATTTATCATCACCAAACTCTTTTAACTGCTTCTTTTGAAAGGACTGTACCCTGAAGACTTGGTGAATACGAGCAGCAGTTTGAGTAGCATTACAAACAGCAGCCAATGAATCCTTTAGAGACAGACCATATGGTAAGTCCACACTATTGATTGCAGATGTACTATGCTCCGGGACTATCTGTACTGCTTTTGCCCCAGAAATTCCAGCACCATCACTATCCCGCTTATCCAGATTAAGAGAAGAAAGTTGGGCACTCAAAGCAGATTCTGCAAGATAACCAGCAATTCCTTTGTGCCCATTAGCAGAGGCTAGGTCAGCAGGTGTCCTGCCCTGACGATATTCAGGAGTTGGATATGTTAATGCTCCAGGAGCAGCACCAAGAAGGACGAGGGACACAACTGTGCGCTCTCTGATATCCAAGCAAAAATACAGAAAAAATTGTAAAAATTGGATAAGCATTTTGTAAAATTAATCAAAGAGATTCTGAGTACAACTTTACTAATGAAGTTTAGTCGACAGAAGTAAATTTAGAACTTGATGACCTCCCCATATACACACACATACAGCTTTTCTTAGCATATACCACACATTTCCAGCATGGATTTGTTGAAATGACTTGATATCATGAAAAAAATAAAGTCCTCTGCCTCCAATGAGGTTTGCTAGCAAGCTAACAGCATTTTGAGCAGTCTCTTCTGGCTTTAGCGTGCATCCATTCATTAAATATTTCTACTGCTAATACATTACATACTCGATATGAAATGTAACTGTAACATGGATTGGCATTGTGCAGTGATCTAAGACAGAGAGGAAAGGACCTTGAGAACAATTTCCATTCACTCACCTGCCACAAGATGCTGCCCAGTGAAGTGCAGTCCATCCATTCTCATCCCGGAAATTGACATTTACACCTGCAATTATTGTGGGTTCGAGGGCCCAGTCATAGCCAAAAGCAGCTGCAAAATGGAGCACTCCCTGGCCACCTTCATCTAATACACTAGGGCCTTTTCCACCTTCAGCTGCCTTCTGCAAGAGCCAAACATATAACCTGTCTTTGAGTAGCTTTTGAAGAAGTTCCTCCTTTACCTTCTCAGAGGAAAATCCTGCTTCTGAATTGTGCTGTAACATTTGATCCCATTCATTTCTATCCACTTTCAGAAATGAACTAAGTTTATTGCTCAATTGGGAATTTTCATCTATGTTATTGGCTGTGCATTTTGGAAGGGGGCCAAAGCTCAGAGACAATAATTTTCCAAACCGCATGTGAAGATCTGTGCACATGCTGCTGCTATAACTAGCAGTAATATTCACATCTTGGTTATGGCTGGGCCGATATTCAAATTCACGAACCTCACTACAAGCTACCCTATCTGAACATGTAACATAGAAAGGGACCATACCCGCCTTATTTGAAGGAGCCTGGCAACGAAGAACACCATCAGCTATAACCTCAGCTTGAACTTCAACTTCCCCAAACATACATGACCATTTACAAGTTTCTGCTTCTTCTCGACTCTTCAAGAATCTTCCCGTGATCAGGACCTGAATAAATTGTAGAATGATTGGAAGAAGAAAATTATAACATGAAAAATGGAGAATTATACACTAGTATCAGCAAGACTGCTAGAAATTACAACTTCATTTAGCCCCCCAGTAACCTTTTGTGTGGGCAAAGACTGACATCCAACCCATGCGCAAACTAAATAGAAGATTACCTTTATCTCTGAGAAGGCATATGCCCAATTGGGTGAAAAATCAATGATGCTAAAGAGTTGTTCCTGGGAAAGGGAAGGACCCAACACAAAGGTATCCAAATGCACTTGAGAAGGAATTTTGGGATCATCAATCCCATTTTCACTTTCAACTGTATCCCAGTAGGCCCCTGAACTGGACTGCATGCATGACTCCTTTACATCTCCAAGTTCCTTGCTCATCCATCGGTTGAAACTATCAAGTTTCTTCAGACCTTCTTCAGACACCGAACGATCTAACAAGTGCTGCTTCATGGCAGAAGAGTAGACAGATTTTCCTTCCAAGCTCATACTGTTCTCTGTATTTGAATGCTTAACCTGAACATCATTTTGTACAGGATGATCACTTCCCCGTTTTTGGAAAAGTGCAAGTGTGTTACTTAGATCATCACTAACAACTTCCTGTTCATTAAAGCTAGCAGTGGGATCATGTGTTGAGTCTGGATATGACTTCTGATCCGTGGCCCACTTTGAGAGATATGCACCTTCAAAAGTCTGTTAACGAGGTGAATTAAAGCCTAAATGCAAACAAATGAATTGCAAGAGGAAAACATAACGGATTCTACAATGGTGTATGATAATCCAGTGAAGAAAAAAGTGAATGCAAGTGCAGACAACCAGATAGTACATATATTCTAGAAATTAATATTAACAATCATTCATTGCTGATATGATAAATATTAGTATAGCAACAAAAGAAAAAGGAAAAAAAAAAAAAACTTAAAAAAGCAATCACAGTACTGAGTACATCTAGACTAGAACTTGCCAATTTCACTCATAATTGTATGAAGAAAAAAGGTTACCAAACTTCAGCAATTGCTAAAAACTTTTGCGGAAAAAGAGTTTTTGATTTCAGAAACTACCATTTTATCTCAAATAAAATCATTATGCCAACAAATTCTAATGCAAGGTCAACATCGCCTGTACCTGACAGTCTTTCTGGACTGGTAAATGATTCCCCAACTCCTCCTTATCAAAGCCATTGGCAAGAAGTTGCCTCAGTGTTTCATCTTCTTGTTTAGCGGTGGCTCTTGTAGTATCAGCTTGTGACACAGATTCAATTCCAGGAGTACAATTTTCTAATACACGCTCCCATGAGGGTAGGTCAAAATGTTTTTGTTGTTGATACGCTAACCCAGCACCATTAGTTTCTCCAACTTTACCCATCTGGGAAAGTGAGACAAAGTCCATTCCAGGAACAGCTAAAAAATTCTCTTGATAAGTACCTGTGAACAGTACAACAGGCTAAAAATTATCATGCAAGTTATTATCTTTCCTAATGAAGCAAAGGATAATTACTGTACGCACATATATATTGAAAAGCTTGAACATCAGAATATCATAATACAGAGGAACAAATTTTTACTTGAAAATGACACATGATCATGGCCAGCATCAGTCTTCTCCGTTTCAGGCTGCTGTACCTCAAGAAAAGAGTGAAACCCAGAACTCGCTTGTTGATTATATACTGCACCAAATATAATATCAACTTGTAATATTATGTTGGGGAAAAAAGCCACTGACATGTCTGTTACTCCATTCACCAGAACCAGAGTACCTATTTCATTTTGGGAACTCCAATGCCTAGGTCATTGAATAAGCAACCTCCAATCCCTAAAAGCAAATATATAATGCATTTTATCTAGGGTTACAGGCAAGTTTGCATATGAGCTAAGCAAAGCCAAGCTTTGGCAAGCTCAAATTCAACTTGTTTACTAAACAAGCTCCAAATGAGGTTCAGGCTTGACTCATCTACTAAATGAGTCAAGTACTACCATGCTCATTTATAGCTTGCAAGCCACAATGAGTCTAATCAAGCAGAAATCTTTCTCAATTATTTAGTTACTAAATGACATTATTCATATATTTATTGAAAATTTAAAATATTTATTTTAAAACTGTTTACGCACCTATAAATTTCTGCTCTTTTCAATATTATAAAAAAAATTATTGCAAATAAAAGTTGTATAACGATATGACAATAATAATAGCTGAAAACTATCATCCGTTATATTAATGACAATTTCAACAGGGTGATATATTTCCAGAGCTATTATTGTTATTTCTAAAGAAAAATTTGTTATCTATGCAAACTTACCCTTCACCAGTTCATTCACTCTACCTCTCCTCTATTTATTTACTGAAAAAAAAGTTAGAGATCTTATAATTTCTTCATTGGCATGCTGATCTTGCAAGGGATTCTTATTTCTCAAGATTGCATTCAACAAATGTCCCAACTGGACTGAAATTGGCTTCAAGAATCAGTTATTTCATCTGGTAAAAACTTTGGAGATAAATCCCACATGGGCTCCATAATTTTGATAACAGATGTCCTCTATATAAACAAACTTTTTTCATAGAAAAATAGGTTTCATTTATTCATAAATATAAGTGCCTAGGAATTGTTTCTATGAACAAAAAAGCCTACAAAATATTTTTAATTTAGTTTGGGCAAGCAAAACTTTTTTCCAATTGCTGATGGTGCACCAACAAAGAAAAACACTCAAAGCAAAAGCAACAAGATCATTGTCTTGATTTGCCTCTGAAAGCAAATTGTAGGATTGTTGATGCCCTGAATATGGTGACACTTGGCTCCTTTAGTATTGTTATGAATGCAAGCTTAAAGAGGGGGATGGATGAAACAAATTGAGACAAATGGAGAAGGATGAACTGAAAGGTAAAGGGTAATTTTGTCAAAGTGAAAATATTTTCTCCGGCCTCACAATAGTAGCTTTGGAAACATCACCACCCTTCGAATAAGTACTTTTATGAATATCAGGAATAAAAGTACAGAAATCTTAAACTTGAAATCAACTTATCGTTAAATTGTATAGGACTTAGCTCCTGTGTTTAATCAAGGAGATACCTAGTTCTAGTTTGGCTCATTTATTAGATAGCCTCAAAATGAACTTGATTTAGGTCCATTAACCTTGATAAATGAGCTCAAGTAAGCATTTATCAAGTCGAGCAATAAGTAACTTGCAAAAGACTTGACTTGTTTGAGGTCCTAGTTAAAGGCAAGCATTACTAGAGATTTTTATTGTATCAAATATCCTTGTGATCCTCTAAACAAAATAACCAACAAATTTTCGTATTAGAAATTGATATATCAAATGTATGACACACCTGATTCGGCATCCTCATATTCTGATGCTTGAGCGCTATTCATGCTTATTGTATCTGTTGTTTGTGCAGGCGCCTGGTGACTATCATGACGGAAATTGGAAGAAACAGAAGTGTCCATTTCAGAATGAAGAGTTGTTTCTTCAATTTCTTGGGCACATGTCATAGCATTTTCATATTCTTTAATACGGTTAAAATTTGTCCTGCTACCCTATGAAATATTAAACCCAAATAAATAATTATAGTAAGAACATGGATCAATGATCCTGTAAATCCTTGCTTTCCAACAAGTTTAAATACCGCTGAATTCTTTTAATTAATTAAGATAGGCCATGTATTTTAACATTGGTACGAATTCACATGGCTGATTTGGAAGAATTGAATGATAAGGATTATAAGTAATTGTGGAACACATGTGATCCCCTCAAATCCACCAATAGAGCCCTCTTAGATTACAACTTCCAAAAATACAAGTGCATAGTAGGATTGAGAACATGATATGGACCTCACTCCTATTAGCCACTCTCTCTATGTTAGCGTGACTGTTTGGATATATGTTAGTACAGATATACACACATATGCCATGATTCTCACTCACAGGATACAATTGATGCCTATTCCAAAGTGTATGGCTTAAATTGATAAAATTAAAAGAACTAGAAAGAATTCTATTGAACTTGAGAAAACTGAAAAAGGCTATGGTTGGGAATTGAATCAGGAACAGTAAGGGAAACAGAAACGAAAATGGTGTCACATAATCAATCCAAATTGAATCGTTCCAAATCAGCAGCCACTGCTGTGAATTTTCAGAACCATTTGCAAAATCACTCAAATCAACAAAAAAAAAAAAAAAAAAAAAAAAACAGAAACGAAAAATGGTGTCAACATAATCAATCCAAATTTGGAAATCGTTCCAAATTCAAGCAGCCACTGCTGTGGAATTTTCAGAACCATTTTGCAAAATCACTAACCTCAAATCAACAAAAAAAAAAAAAAAAAAAAAAGAATTCGGTAAAGTATAAGTTTAGAAAAAAAAAAAAAAAAAAAAAAAAAGAATTCGGTAAAGTATAAGTTAGAAAAAGAATTATAAAATATGCATAGTTTTAAATTAATAGTTGGACAATTTCTCATGTTTTATCTACTGTGTAAAAAAAGAATTATAAAATATGCATAATTTTAAGTTAATAATTGGACAAATTCTCATGGTTTATCTACTGTTTCTCGGTGATTGGTGAATCTTCCGCAGAGAAACAGAAATTAATGTAGTGTGCCAAACTTCCATTATGAAACAGCTGAACATTGAGAAATGACCATTATTTAAAACTATGATTGAACCCTACTAAAATATTAAAAAGACTAAAAAGCTTGAACAATGAATAATAAATCTAAATTCATGATATAGACATCAAGCCCACAAATAAATGCACAGAGGTTCACATTTACAGTAAGTTTCATGCTCTTGGTTTTTCACCATGTCAAAGACATCCAAAAATTATCCAGGCTTAACCTGAGTAACTTCATGTTGAATCCTCAAAAAAGCAGCAATTCTAAATTTAGTGTATAGATGCAATCTAGTAAATAATACTGAGGTAAGGATATTGCCAAAATTAAAGACTTAAAGTGTCATGTTGAGCAAGTTTCTTTTCCCAATCCTTGCCAAAGCCCTAAACAGGTCTAACTATATTCATGCAATAGGAAAATAGCTCTATGGCTGCATTGCATTTTAATATTTATATTTTGTCCAGCAAAAGTACAATGTATCTCTCCTTTTATGGCACCAATAATACAAGAAAGCTTTTTTCATTGTTCTTACACCATCTTCTAATTAAATCAGGCTCTAAATTTTACTTCTTTCTATGGATTGTTACTTTTCCCTAACCGGCATGGAAGTCTAACATATATCTAGTCATGTTTATGCATCATAAAGTTAATAAACATTTTCACCAATTAGTGTTTGTATGACAAACACGTGATAATTGATTTTTTATGGAGAACACTAGCTCAAGCAGACAACTGACTGAGGTAACTGCATTATTGTCAACAAAATGTATCAATTGACAGGCATAGATGACACGGTCTTCCTGTTGGATGGAGGGAGCTTTTATTTATTCTAATCATATTGCTCATGAAATATTGTTCATACTCTTCTTTTGCTAATGTTGTTAATATGAACCTTTATTTGCTTAAATATGAGTAACATTTCATAATTTATAAGGAACAGAGAAAAAAAAGAGTGGAAGGTGAAATTTAACCTTTACTTCCCGGTAGTGGACAAGTACTATGTGAGAAAGTTCCCTGCATCATACGTGACTATGTAAGAAACAGTAGACATAAGAACATGTATTGTTTCAGAAAGTTTCCTGCATTATAGATAACAATGCAAGAACCAGAAGATAACAAAGTTCAGAAGTGAAATCTGAAAGAAAGAAACCAGATACCATATGCCACAACTTTAATGCAAATTTCCAAATTAAAAAATAAAAAATAAAAAAAATAAAAAAAAAAAAAGAAGAAGATTAATTGTAAACGCTAAACAATAAGAAATCACTGCTGAAATTTTCACCAATCACAAAGTTATTTATTCAATGCTTCACAGGGAAAAAAAAAAAAAACTATAAGCAACAGCGAGAAAATAAGCAAGTATTTGCTAGGGAGACTTGGTTTAATCATAAAAGAAAAAGAAAGTCAGAATCTTCAAGAGAAAATAAATAAAGAGCCAGAATTTTATCCTGACATGCCAAAGCTCCAAGTTTTGATAATGTTTTTGATGTGTCTGATTTTCTCACTCGCAAATGAAAGAGAGGGAATCACGTTAAACGTTTCTTTAAGAATGACATGAAAAAGAACTTAAAGCCCTAATTATTTTGTCACTCACTCAACAATCAACTTAGTACCCTGCAAACAAGAGTGGTTTTTTTTTTTTTTTTTTTTTTTTTTTTTTTTTTTTGGTTTTTTTTTTTTTTTTTTTTTTTTTTTTTTTTTTTTTCAAGATAACCTTTTTTTTTTTTTTTTTTTTTTTTTTTTTTTTTTTCAAGATACCTGCGTGTTAAACAATAAAGTTAAAGTATAGCAACAACCAATTACCAAAAAGACCAGTTGCTATTTGTCTCTATCTACTACAAGGTTCAAAAAATCATTCTTAGATCTAAGTTTATTTCTTGTTCTGTAGAAAATCCCAAAATTATGTACAATAATAGCCACAAATAATTTTAAAAATGACAGCTAAATGTACAGTGAAATAATCCAAGTCAAACAGTAAACACATTTCAATGCACACCACACTCAAACTAACTTGATCTTCTTATTCCGAAGAATCTATAATCCTTATTCCTACCAAAGAAATATGGCACTAGAATTTATCATTAATAAACTTTTGCAAAAATGTAAATGCACAGATGATAGTGCAATCATAAAAAGGTTTCAGACAGTAAAGGAGGGTATGTAAGGATTAACAGACTCACTCTTCAAGCATCCAATAACTACGTCTTTGAAAATTTTCATTGTCTTCTCCGTGTGCATAGTAGCAATGCAGCACATCAACACTTCCAGACTGAAAGAACATGCAATTTTTCAGTGACATATATAAGGAAGCACAAATAATTTTCAACAAAAAACAATGTCCTAAACCAGAGCAAAGTAAAACAGCTATAAAATAAAGTTCTTGACTAATTAAAAGCTATAGAATTTGAACTTTTCTAACTTAAATCTAGAGCAAAGCTTATCTCAGTAAAATGGAAAGGCTAATTATTTACCTTGAGCCTCTCATGAGCTTCTTTTACTGTCTTCCCATCTTTTTTCTTCCTCCAGTTAAGGCCATCTTTTCTGAAGTATCTCAGCACCTTGCGGTCGAAGAGGAAAAGTGAACCACCTGCAAAATGAAGAAAGAAACATAAGAATAATGAATTTTATTTGATTAAATGAAAGAATCAAAATCATCTTAGAATATCACTCTCATGCCAGTAAATAATTTAATTCAATTTCCAAAAAAAACAATAATTGAAATTTCTCAATCAATTGTTTGAATAAAAAGCAAGTTGCGGTACAGTAAAGATTCTAAGGAATCTTGATCATATATAGACAAGTAGCAAAACAAACACGAACATAGCTCTTCAAGAAGGAACCCAACAAAAATTAAAACCAAAATGCAGAATCGTGCAAGTGCATACCACCAAAGAATATCACGCAAAGTTCATCATCATCATCAACAACAACAACAATAATAATAAAATAGAAGTCTTACTTGTTGGCATATTTGGAGGCTCAGGTGCAATACGAAATTTATTATAATTGCGAAGAATTTCACAAATTTCAGCAGGCCGTAGCCATCTATGCTGTGCTTCTACGAGTATTTGCTCAATATCTGCATTAAATTCATCACATGATAATTTCAACTTCACATTAATCAAAAACCGATATAAAAAAAGACACGCTTGCCTGATCAAATGATCATCTTGTTTAACAAGAACTACTTTAGTATTTTAAGATAAAAGAATTTAGGGCACTGATATATAACTGATGAAAGCTTCTTCTTTCTTCTACTTAAAATTAAACTGAAAATCAAAAAGAACAATGCATCAAAACAAGCATAATTCTACTCCAAGACAAGAGAATTACCTAGATGGTTACCCAAAGGGTAGCGCCTACCTTCCGCCATAAACGCCTACTCTACAGTGTCTGTTTATCTGCGGTTTGTGAGTTGATTTTGAGATTTTTCCTGACAGTTTTCGGATTTTGGGGCAAAGAAAACTTGAGAGGGAGAGAGAGGGGAAGCAGAGAAAGTGACAGTCCACATACAGGTATGGAGACGGTACCGTGTTACATATGTCAAGAAAATGTGTCAACTTTGACGTGATTTCCGGAATATTAATATTGCTCTTTTCTCTCCTGTCCTTATTTTAGAATTTTGTTATTATTTATTTATACTTGTACTAATATCTTTTAAAGAAACATACTGGACAAATAAACTAGTCAATCTCTTACTTTTTTTTCTAAAATACATAATTGTGTCTCTGAATTTCAATTTGATTAGATAATATAATTGTGTCTCTAAATTTCGATCTTGTTAGATACTTTATGTCGTTCACGTTCTTTATGAATTTTGCCGTTAAATTGCTAATACTATAATTATAAATTTAAAAAGACATAGAGTAAATTCATAAAAAACACTAAAAAATGAAAGATTAGTAAATTAAAATTTTAATTTTCTTTTGTCAAAAGTAAGTAAATCTGTTTTTAGTATAATTTTATCATAATTTTAATTGAATTAATTCCATCAGTAAATTAATCCGTTGGGCAAAAACACTAAAAAAGAAATCTACTGCACCATTTACACCATACATTTGCTTGGTCTCATATCTCATTTGATCTCAGCCATTATGTAATCTCCAAATCTTCCTATTAGCTTCAAGAAGCACAAAACAAAGCCCAAATCCCAGAAGGAGAAGTCCCCAAAAGGCCATATTTCGCGTTTCTGCAACTTACTTCCCACTAAGAAGTCATAAGACCAAACAAAAGCTTAATTAGCTAAAGTTTAGAAAATAGCAGAATGGGGTGCGTGAAAAAAAATGAAGTCTACTGTCTAACGAGCTCCAACTCGCAGAACCGAAGATTGAGATATAAGTCAAATCCTAAGCCTTGGAGTTACAATTGTGAAATAGAGGGGTCCGAGAGTACTGATGAAATTGAGAGGAAGGAAAGAGAACCAATGAAAAGATGGTAGCAACAACAAAGACCATGAAACACAAATAATAGATGAAACTTTCTGTTGTGAATAGAAGGTGAAGTGTTCTATTGAAATGAAGGTTGAGGAAGGTGAAAAATCCAAGAAGGGTATGTTGAGGAATACGAAGAGAGAGAGAGAGAGAGGATAGTGGGCTTAACCTACAATGGCACTCCCTTCTTTGCGCGAGTTCCTACTTTGCGAGTTGTTGCAGTATCATTCTAAATTGAGTTAAAAACTTAAATATATTGTCTCCAGATCCAACACATAGAATTTGCAATATAATAATATACCCATCAAATCATCTTAGTTATCCTAACCCAACTTTCTGAACTCAGTAGGAAATAAATCCCAAATTTCTCTCCTCACCATCATCAATCTCCTTTTCTCGACAGTGTCTTCTTCTCTCCTCTGTAATCTCTTCTCGTTTTTGCTATGGGTTTATGTGCAAAGGTTCTCCATAACCATATTGCAAATAGTAACTATATATTAAACTGAAGATACAATACACGCTTAGTACATGCTACATGTTAGTTGACACATAAAACAAAGTTTTATCAGCAATGATACATATGAATCTATATTAAAATTAAATAGTAAGTATATATTCATTTTTAAAGTTCTAATGGAGCAAAAAGTAGTAAAGCTATAAAGGAATACTAAAGAATGAAAAAGAGAATTGGGTGTGCCATAAGGAAGCGTCTATGTAGAGTTAGTTTCTTTCTCCTTCTTCAGCCATTAGTTATAGGTTACTCGGATTTTGCCTCTCTGTAAATACACAAGCTTCTATCGTCTAATGGCTCCACCAAGAATCCTTGTGACGTCTTAGGGAGCCTCAACCACCTCTACAAGGAGTTCAATTGTTCTGTCTCTTCTCACATTTTCGTATCATGGATTTAGTTTCTTTAGACTCAGCAAAAACGAGAAAAGATTGTTGAGGAAATAAGAAAGAAAAGAAAATCGGTGAGTGAAATTAAGAATTTATTACCTAATTCGAGACAGTGAGTTTAGGAGGTTGAATTAAATTAACGCAAACTGATTTATTGGGTCTCACTTTTATATTATTATATTGTAAAACCTAGATGCAATTTGAATTTGGGATGACAATATATATAAGTTTACAAGCTGGAACATCAGAGGAACAAAAAGTCATTTAGAGTAATACTGCAACAATTCTTAAAATTTAGAATGTTTTTGTAGGTTAAGATAGGACAATGAGAATAAGTGTTTAAAGGTATTTTAGTCATAAAGAAGTTTTTTGACACCTTTGACTATATTTTTGAGCATATGCAAAAAGTGGACAAAAAGACTACGATGTCCGACGGATCATAACTTAAAAATGTAATCATGTATTTAGAAAAAGTATGTCTACTAATGTATTTAACCATTATATAGAAATGAAATAATCATGTATTTTAGACGTCTTGATTAATATATTTAACCATTATACAGGAACGAAATAATGATTTTTTCCTTGAACTATTTAAAATAACTCCAGGTACGGGGTTTGTTATGGTTGTACTCCAAATCCCACTTAACTCCCTAGGTACCATTAACTATTAGCTTTTATTACAATTGTACCTCAAGTTCAAATTAGATTCCAGAATTAATAAAAATATAATTAACAACTTTTGTTATAAGTACATCCTAAATTCAAATTAGGTTCCAGAGTTAACCAACTTTTGTTATAGTTGCAGTCCATTAGAGCATGACTTATGTCTGTAACTCCTCATAATTAATCAAGAGGAGCTTAAGTGGAACAAACCATTTCACTTCGCACCATCCGCCCATTCTCATTACCTTCCTCTCTCCTCACTACCGTTGAATAATAGCCCAAAATCCATTTTCTCTCTCCGAAAATATCTCCCTTTCTACTCAAATCTCGCTCGCCTCCTCCGTACGTCTCTAAGAAATTGAAGGCTCATGGCGTTTAGCTTAGCTGTGGTCACAACTGAGTAGTCTTATCTTTGTTTCAAGTAATAACATCGTTACAGCAGCCCCTCAAGATAATATTAATAGCATTTATAAGAAAGGATAAAAAATAGAGAAACATCTACTAACTACCGGTTGGTTCAATGGGATGAGTATCCAGTGAAATGAGGCGCTGGATCCCCTAACAACGTCAAAGTGATACCTATTACCCAACCTCACTAGTCCAAGTCCAACTCTTTGTTATTATAGCACCACTTGGAATCTTTCTAATTCTGCAATCTCCTAAACAATATCATATTAAAGATTAAACAGATGAGAGATGAAAAAAAGTAAAATACATCTATGCGTTAGTCAAAAAACCATTTCCAATGTGCAATGTGATCCAAACGCGCCTGCATTTTTAATTAAGATAAATTCAGCTTACAAAGTAAAGCAAACAGGCACTCAATATTCAGATTTTCTCCATTTTTCCTCGTAAAAATGCCAGGGAAAACTAAAGGCATAAGGAGGTCTCATTTTCCTTCAGTTCTGTCTGCAGGTAATTTAGACTTGTTAAAGGAGTTGAACAAATAGCCAATAGAATCATGATAAATGGCACCATAGAGAAAATCTGGAATTACCCGACTGAGCTTTTATATGAAAAAAATAACTATATCTATGTCGACTCAACTTTGAGGACTATCTTCACGAACTCGTATACTAAGTAACTTATGGCAGCTGATGGTAAAACCTGTGAAAAGTTATTTTACACAGGTTTCAACAAGTTAGTAAAATGAACGCGTTACATCCCAAAAGCTCCATAAAAAGTTTCAGATGTAAGAGAAATAAGAAAGGGCAACAATCCACAGATTTATATAGCCGTCACTCGTCATTAACAAACACTAACAAAGTTTAATTTAATAGCAGATAAAATAGCCCAGCACATGCATACTTGTGTAATCTTTCATCTTGTTGTGTTGCTGTTTAGAGTTCATATAATACCAAAATCAACATATTTGAAACATTGTGCTTTTCTCAATACTCAAGAGTAGCTCCGACAACAATGCCAAACAAACTATCAACAATGGATGCAAAAATACACGTATTGATTTTACATACAGTCAATTCCCATGAATCAAAATTGCCCACAGGTCAAATATGAAATACTTTTTCCAATTTCCTAGAACTGTTTTCTCACAGACGTTTTTGCAATTTAAAAGCATTAAGAATCAGCAACATATACTTGACGCTTAATCTAAGTTGAAAATGTTTAAGAACATATCCTCTTGTCCATATGAGTCAATCATATAACTTCTTGAATATTACATTTTACTTTATGATACCTGTCTGCCTTCATCTAATGAAGGAAGAGGTGCCAAGTCCTTGTTTGCAATCCCAAAACATATCCAGTTTCCCTATTTCATTTTTATAGTGGAGTTGCCAAATCCTGTTGCAGTTCCCATCCTAATAAAGCCTACTCTAATGTTGTACTCCCCCCTTCTCAGATTGAACCAACTACACTCAACAGTTTTCCTATTTTTCGTTTTGATTATATTGCAATTGCTTTGATTTGATCCTAGAACACCACCATGGCACAATGGCTCTGCCAACTTAATAATGAAATGTTTTTAATCATAGATTTCAACAGTGAAATACTTAAATTATGGGCATCTAATGACTCTGAATAGAGTTCAAAACCTCTATAAAATAAAGGAAGAGTTTTCCCAAAATAATATGCCGTGTGACTATACCTGCAATAAGCTGGGTATTAATCCTGCATAAAGAGCAGGAACGCCTCCTTGTTGAACTATCTTGGCACAAGTTGCCAATGCATTCATCTTTGTCGCTTCGACTTGCATCTGAAGGTGCCTCCTCACAACTTCAAATGGATATGTAGCAGCTTCAGAACAACAACCAGCAATAGCCCCATAAAGCAATGTTCTGACGGGTCCCAACTCCAGCTGCTCCAACACATTTAATTCTTGGCCTTCTTGTTTTAAACTCTGAAGTCTCTTCTTCCCTTCTGGTGTATGGAGATAAGCGGACTTTAATATATCATAAACACCATAGAAAACTGCGCCTGAAGGTGCCATGCTCACTAGTGAGGGTACTAAACCCTTGTAAAGAGAAAAAAATCCTTCTGTCTGGATCATGTGGCGGAATGCTCCAATTACACCACCCAATGCTTCCCCACCAGGTGCTACCATCTTTGTCCGTATCTGCAATAGTTTAGAGCATTAATATGAAACCGATTTGCACAAGAAAGTCTGTATGAAACATTAAAAGGCTGAAGCAATTAAGAATAAAAAGTAGTTGGCTGAAAGAAAAGTTATTTCTGCTGCTGTCATTATATTGGGTTTCATCAATTTTGGCCAACAAAAAGAAAGTGTCTATCAGCATAGATAAGCAATGGGTTGAATCTCCACGGTTAGCAACCAGAGGTCCAAGGTTCAACTTGTCCACAACTGATGCATGTGGTTTCTAGGTGATTAGAATGCATATCATATCAAACTAGTAAAAAATGAATAGAATATTAAGAAAGAAATAAAGAAAGAAAGAGGGGAAGACTTTCTACATAATCCATTAAATATTACAAACAATATACAGATAATTTTTTACCTAATCGTTAAAATTGTTTAGGAAGCATTACAATGTCATTCGAAAACAAATTATATAATTATGAACATGAAGCACTTGAAATAAGGAATGAAGCAATAGAACAGACTTCATTTCATTTAATATTAGCTGGTTTTGTTAATAAATGATAATACGCAACAATTGAAGTGTGAGCTGACGGCCCTCCCAAAAACAATAAACAAACATTGACTTCCATGAAAGTATAGGACTTGTAAAGATGTTATCATGAAAAAAAAAGAATAGAGAAAAAGAAAAAAGATTTTCTATCTTTTAATATCTGAGAACATATAAAATTGAAAAGGTTCCAAATCCAAGTAGAAACAATGGTGTCAGAATTCACAGTTTCACCAGCTAAATACTGTAGGTAAAATCTCATTTTCACAATTTCTGGACAAAGGATCCGCAATCAGCGTAAACAGCAGAATTCTAGTCTAAGATACCAAGTGAACCATTTCAAGAAAAGTAGCACCAATGCTGCTTGAGAAGAGAACATTTGGCATAATTAACATGTCCAGTACCATTTACTTTAGTAAGGCTGGATCCTTCAAGCAACGGATCATATGCATTTCTAATTGCATCAAATATACAGCACAAATCAGTTTGAAGTCCTGGCATGACTTGTATAATCCTCGAGAAAAATTGTGAAAATTAGAGCACATAAATACTCCACACAGCAAAATTTCACCCTCTAATAAAAATTTAGAATAATAGGAAGATTCAAATGGCAAAGAATTATGTGCCATGACCAAAATATTTGAAGTTAATACATACAGTGTCCATTGGCAAGCAAAGCAAGGATGCAGTAATTCCAGCAGCAGCTCCAGCAATGAATCTCTCAAAATTTGTGGTTTCCTCGTTCCCAGACCATTTCAGTAGTTGATTCCTGTATGTATCATAAGCATAGAAATTGATAGATTTAAATGGAGCAGTGCGGAGAATATTGACAAAGTTCCCCTTCCAAAAACCTTTCAGTCCTTCAGCTGCCTTAATTTTCTTGATGAGTTCTAAAAGGTTCTTCTGTTCGCCACGAACTACATACTCAAGCTTCATTCTCTCTAGAGGCGCTATAAAAGTTCTGCTTCAACAGAAACGAAATTGTAGTTCACTGACATTGGACATGGAACAGGACATTGATACATACATGTGCAGGCACAGCTTTTCATACAAAAATAACGCATGACATGCTTCATGGACAACAACCAAATGAGCTACTAAGTTAATATTTGTACGTATCAACCAACAAGATAAAAAAAAAAAAAAACACTTAAAAGTTAAAACCAACTCAAATCATGAGATAAATTTATCGAAGCTCTTGCTTTTACAATTGTATGCTTGATAAAAACATTATTATGGACCTCAACATTAGCTCACCAACAAGAAAAGGTCCTTAATTTTCAATTATTTTGTTCTAATTAATCATAATTTTAACAGAGTTAATTAACATAAAACATCATATATACCATGCATTTTTCATAAGCAGCCAAAGTAAAGTCGAAGGAAATTGAAATAGTAACAAACAAATGTAACAAAAGCTAGTAAACAAGAAGCAAACACCTTGAAACCATAGCAGCAACAGCACCAGCCCAGAGATGCTTGGTCGTATTCAAAGCAGCTGATCCTGATCTCGATCGCAGCACATTAACCTTCTTCTCCTCCGTGAAAACCACTGCATTTTCTTCCTCCAAATTCTTTTCCTCTCCATTTTGCCCCAAACTCTCTCGCGATTCCCCAACATATCCTTCTTCTTCTTCGCTTCCCTTTATTGACAAACTCACCGATAAAAACAATCCTGCTTTGCGACCCTTCTTTCCTCGCCGCCGATCAACGAACCTCAACGTTTTCCGAGAAAAACAAGAAGAACGCGGTTCAGTCTTGGACGATATTAACGAAACAAATGAACGACAAACAGTTTCTTGATCGAGGAACAGACCGCCACCATGAAGGAAGTGCTGATTGGACGGTTCAGAATCAAGCTTGAGCTTGATTAGAGTGGAGAAGAAGAGATCGTGTCCGTACATTGCGAGAGTTGGTGAAACTGAAAGAAAGGTAGAAAGCAGAGAAGAAGAGTAACAACATGAGAGTATTATAATAAAGAAATGGAAAATTGATATAGTAGAGAGGCTTGAAGAAGAAGAGAGAATAGTATGGACGTGGTGGTGGTGGTGGTGTAGTTGGAGAAATGAAAGTGACAGCGGGAATTTGGAAGATGCTGTAGGAGATGCAGCGGTCACTTGGCTTGCACCGCCGTTGTCACATTGCTTTCATCGGAGATTTGTTGGTTTCCTGTTTGTTACACTTGTTGCGTGCGATAATGTTAATGCGAAAAGACAAAACAAGGAAGAAATTTGTCAAAAGAACTAAGAAATTGACAATGTTCAAATGAAGTTCATTTTCTTAATCTTTTTGAGTATTGACAGATCATCAGGTAACTATTTGTTTGGTGTTCACACCTTAATGGGTGTGTGAGTGCTTTTTTTTTTTTAATTCCATATTGGAATTTTCATTTGGTAATTATATAATGGACCTGCCATTTGTTAATTTTCTTTTTTTTTAATTCTAATTTCCTATATTTATTTTTTAAAACTCCAAATGTCCATTATGCTTTATAAAATGCAATATTGAATCCATACGACCAAGGTTAGTGTAATGACACATAAAATCCCACTAACAATAAAAGTTATGGAATTTTCAAAACCAAAATAGGTCAGCTTGGTTAGGTTTTTAGGCCAAACCCGAATATTCCTAACCCTAGTTTAGATGCGTCTCTAAATAACAATATTGAATTGATTATAATAATCGAGAGCAAGAGGCTTGTCCTACATATAATTAAATTATTGTTTCGTTGTTACTAAAGAGGGCTATTGCTTCCTCTAAAAGAAGCATTTAAAGTCGATCCCTTCTTTAACTTTAACAACAACCTCCTCCTGCTTCTTAATTTTCTTCTACTCTTCAGTAGTGTCGTCAAAAGGATTTAATTACGGAAGAATACATAAATTTCATTCTTGAATTTTATTATTTTAATTTTGTACCACTTTTAATTTTTATTTTAATTCATGAAATACTTTAATTTATAAAATCAAATTTATTAAATATTTTGATTGTGTTCACTTGTAGAAAACTGGAGTGATTTTTCTAAAAAAATTTAAAAAATGAAAAATAAAATTTTGTGTTCAAATCAGTCAGTTTTCTATTTGGAAAACTAGAAAACAGTTTTTCAAAACTTAAGTAACATTTGAAAAACAGATTTAAGTTGTTTTTCAAAATTTCTTTTATGATAAAAGACATGTTTTTCTATCGTTTTTCATTTTTTAAAAAAATATCATTTTATAATTAAAATTATAATATCTATAAATATTTTTTTCTATGAAAGAGAGAGTTTTTCTGAAAATTTGGAATACAAGGCTCACCATTTATAATATTTTAACCCGAACTCTAATTTAGACATGTCAACACAAGTAGATTGGTTGTGTTTGTATTGGATTTTTTTTTTATTAGCACAAATTTCTTTTATTATTAAAATTCAGGAAATTTTTAATATAGCTACGTATCTAAACCCGAATCATTAGGCCTCTCTAAAAATTTATTGAATTGACCATTAACTATTTTATTAATCATGTTAAATTTCTGAACTTACGTGCGACAATAAAATTAAATAAACTACGATATGAATAATGAATCATGTATCTAAATATAAACACAGTAACCCTATATATAAATTATATATATATAAAATTATATGAATTGTATATTTAAACTAACAATATACCCGTGTTATGCACGGTTAAAAACAAAAAAAAAAGTTAATTTGAGAGAATATATAATATATATTATATATAATAATATATTATATATATATATATATATATTATAATTTTAAATATATATATAATATATAATTTATAGATTCTTAGATATAATTTATAGATTCTTAGATGAAACTTCTTTTATTATGATTTTAAGAAATATTATAAAGATATATCAATAGTAAAAAAAAAACATAGCTTAATTTTTTATTATTAAATTACAAATTAGTAGATAGATTTGTGTTAGAAATATGAATTAAAAATATTAAAATTTATAGAGATAAATAAAAAAAAGTAAAAAAAAAGGTGGTAAATTTTATTATTTTAATTCTTTTTTAATGTAAAAAATAATTAACTCGTTATTTCATTTAAATCCATGAATAAATAATTTATTTTAAATAATTAAAAGTTATATAAATCTTCAACTTATCATGTTTTTAGTATTATAATTAATTAATTATATTTAACATAGTTTAATTTAATAAAAAAATTTTTGATTTTTTAATATAAAATAATAATTGCCCATATCATGAAAATTTATAAATTATGTAATTTATTTATATCATTAAAAGTTATATAAATTGTTACTTAACACACAATTATTCTCTAACGTTATATTAATCAACTACATTTAAGATGATTTAATTCAATTATAAATTAATTTATTTTCAAATAAATATAAAATAAACAATTAAGTCATACACGTATCATTAATTTGGAATCTTATGTGGCGACACCAAGGAAAATTCTTATATATATATATATATATATATTGATTTGATAATTTACGGCTGCAAAAACATATTAAAAAATATTTAGAAAAAGAGACAAAAAAAAAAGTTTGAGTAAGAACTACTAACCATATTAGTGGAAAATAGTTGAAATATAGAAAAATCTAAATTTTTAAGAAAAAAATGAATAATATATTTAAAAGCAAGATTCAAGACACTTTTGCCAAAAATATAAAAGATACAATGATACAACTTATATATAGTATTTCTAAGAAAGCTAAAGTATTTTTGAGATTAAATAATTTAAAATAAAAAAATGCATTACTACACCATTGAAATAACCCAAATTTTTATTTTCAAAGATTTTTCATTTAAATTTAATAAATTGACAGCGTGGAAAATGTATCTAATTATTTAAATGCAAATTAATAATCGTACAGTGATAAACCCCCGGAAAAAAAAAATTGAAAACCAAGTTGAAAAGTCCAAAAAAAAATCATAGTAAAATCGAGAGTTGGAGCTGAATCGAACCGAACCAGCCCAAACCCACGACCGCAACGACTCGAACATTGAGGAGCGCCCTCTCATCTTCTCCCGATTCCATGCGCATACCTTCAACCCCCCTCCCCCCTACACATTCCTGTGCCTCCACCTGTACGCACACCCCAAGCTTCTCCTCCACTTTCTTCTTCTTCTTCTTCTTTTCTTTCTTTTATTTTCTTTCTTTCTTTCCTTCCTTTCTTCAAATGCGCCTGCCATTCCTGGGAAACACGAGCATGCAAGCCCGCGCCACCCACCGCCATCGCGCGCCACGTGCTCCTGCCGCAACGGCCGCCGCTGCAGCTCCGCAGCATCCCGCCTACCCTGCCAGATCGTGCAGCCCAGGCTCCTCCTCTACTCACGCGCCACTGCTCGCTATTCATGAGCGCAGCAACTGGTTTGGATCGACTCAACGCCATTGCCTCTTCTCACGATTCGCCTCCTGGGAGTCCGGCAAGGTAGCTCAGCCTAAGTCGAGAACAAATCGCACGGCGAGCAAGTTTTGGCTATATAAATTGTATATATGGTTAGAAACTATTTTTCAGAATGTTTTTTCCTTATTTTGTGTTGCTAATTCTATTTGCGTTGATTCTGTATTCTAGTTAATTCCATTCGTGTGTGATTTAATTAAGGAAAGCCTTGATATGAATATTTAATGGATTAAAGTGTAGATTAAGGTAGTTTAAGATATAATGTTTATTGTATATTATAAATTTTGGTTGATGTGGGGATTGATGAGATTGAAGGAAAGAGATGGGAAAAATTTTAATGTTCGATTAATTGTCCGACGGACGGCCGTAGTGTATTTGAGTTGAATTATTTGTCTAAAATTGTTGTATATTTACCGGTGATAGTCCAACATTTATTGAGGGGAGATGGCTGCCCGAAATTTCTGGTAGAAAATAAAAATTCAAAGTGATCAATTAAATTACTTATAGAAATTAAATTGTGTAATGAAATTAAAAAAATATAAAGAATAAGAGATATTAGCAGTGGATAAATAAATGCAAAGAAACCCCAAATATTCTATAAATTATATAGTTAAATTAATAAAGTGAATTAAATGACTGGTACCAAAAATTAAAAACAAATAAATGAATGTAAACTGCATTTCCCAAATTAGAAATCTTATTTAGAATTTTCTTATTATATAGATATTTATAAAGTGTCGGAATGTGAACAAAAAAGGCTAGAAGCGCACAATAAGAAAGGCAATCCTTTTAAGGACAACAAAAACTGTGAGTAATGTTAGATAATTCGCCTCATCTGCCTGCATTCATGCATTTACGACTAAATGTTATCATGCATTATCGCCATATTGTGATGCACTATTTGTTGATATTAAATATTGCTTGATTACTTGTGCTGTGATATTGCTGTGCCTTGTTTGTGTGGAATTGGGATGAAGTGGATCACCATGGGTTTGTGAGACCGTTACCGTTATATGGATCCTTATAATGGATATGGATCCTGATACTCGATGTACTGTTAGCCGGGGTAAATGGGAGATCGGCGCCCCCGGTGTGCACCTACTGTTCCCGTTACTTGTTAACCACATGTGTGCTTCTATTGTGGGCGCACCGATAAATCTAGGTTTGATCGCAGCCGCAGTGGCCTCCGTTGTGAGCGCTGATGAATGTAAGATTTTAGGGAGAGCGACCGGGTTGCCTCCTGCTGGTATAAAAAAAAAAAAAAAAAAAGAAGATGGAAACAAATGAGAGGGCTGGTCCCCAAGTGAGGTTAGACCGGTCGGTTTCCAGAAATAGGTGGATCGGCTCCCGTGGTGGCACACGTTGAGAGGATGGGCTATGGGGAGACCGGCTCATCGGGGGTTTCGGTATTCACTGACTAAATTTCCAACGTGACTGTGAATTGATATGAAGGTGATAATACTGTGGATTGCTGTTGTAATTGCCATTTGTGTGACAAACTGCATGATCAAAATTAAACGGTAAACCAGATAAAAATATTTCGCATCTGTTGTGATGTGTGGGGGTGAGAGGGTCAGTCCTGACCCCAGCTCATGAGTTGGCGCTCATCCCTTGCCTACCTATTTTTTTCTTAGGGTAATAGAAGAAAGAAAAATCCTATGGAGTTGAGCACAATAATTATATGAAGTTGTGTAATGAAGAAATGAACGATGTAAATGTAAAGGCTAGAGTTCCGCAAATTGTATTCAGTGGGTTGAAATGATAATAAAATCCATATTAAACATATAAACTTATTAGTGATACATAACTGAAATAAATTATTGGGCTTTGCATTCCACAGTTATGAATAGGAAATGACGTTTGTATAATATAGGCTTACTATGGGCTTTGGCGGCCTTAAGCCCATCCAGGTCCTAGTGCCGGTCCGGCCCATGGAAACGGGTCGTGACAACCATGAAAAAAAAAATGGAAACATTTAGATATGAAACTTTAAAAGTACATTAAAGATAGGAAACGGTTGTGAGAATAAACATTTGTTACTTTATAAATTTAAGAGTAAACATTTGTTACAAAATATAATATATTAGTACATTTGGCTTTAAATATAATATATTAATGCAAAATATAATTATTTAAAGCCATTAATACATTAAATAATCAAATTAAATCAAACCAAAAATATTAAGTCAAAAGAAATCTAAACCAAGCCAATATATTAATACGTTAAATAATCAAATGAAATAAAAAATACTAACTCAAAATAAAGTCAATTCAAACCAATATATTAATACATTTGAATAATTAAACCAAACCAAACCAATACGTTAATGTATTAAATAATTAAATCAAATCATGTTTAAATTTAAGGAATATACACATATTAAATTAAAACATCATGTAGATATGCCACATGTCAACTTTATAGAGAAAAAATGATTGCTTTATATATAAAAGTGATATATACACATATAAATTATATACATCATGTAGATACTGCCTACATTGTGGTTGTGTCAAACCCTCTTAAATATATAGAAAAAATTATGCTTCTCATATATAATAAATAATATATTACCAAATATATATATATCTTAAGGGTAGTTTGGTGAACCATAATGACTCTATTTGAAAATCACATCAATAAATGGATAAGAACAGAGATTTTAAAGATAACACGATCCATTTTAATCCATTGAGATTTATCAAATTCACCGTTATCATTTTCATTTTCCTAAATCAATTATTGACAACAGGGGATAGTGAGGAGGAGGGGGCAGGGGTGGAGATACATTAGTTTATAAAGATTACGATGAACCCTACACGTCTAGGGGGGGTTGAGCAAGTAGTACACTCATTATATACAAAATCTTATTTATAGGATTTATTTGATGTATTACCATTCACATAAAGTAATTTTTTTATTTTGATTTAATATTTTTAAAGTAATTATAGCAGAGAAATACATTTTTTTTTTTTCACAAGGAACTAAAGAATATGAGGAATTTAATAAGCATCATCCGTACCTATACGACCCCAGGAAAGTTTCAATGCCAGCAAACATAAGTAATCTCACGGTGCACCACGCACATGCAAAGAAACAAGTATGTCTTAATGTTTTTCTCTTTATTTCTTTATACATATATAAGAGGATACCTGTAGAATCTGTCGTGAATACATCACCTCAATGTCCTATGATATTTTAATGAAAAAAAATATATGTTTAATTGGGCTGTAAATATATTTTCTTATAACATCACTCTTATTATTTATATAAAATAGGTTTTCCTAATTTGATAAAATAAAAAAAACACTTATGTTAGTAAAAGCACGTGAATTAAAAGAGTATTTTTTATTACTATTATAGAGATATAGTAATATATTATATATATATATATATATATTGTGTTGTTGAAGATATGATCTATTTAAATCACATCATAAATGGATAAACAAATTTAAAACATGAACACGATCCATTTTAATCCATTAATTTATCAAATTCCGTATCATTTTCATTTTCTAAATCAAAGTTTGCAGAGTTAATATTTATTTAAAATCTATTTATTAGATTAGTTTGTATTCCATTCACATAAAAGTAATTTTATTTATTTTCATTTAAAAAGTAATTATACAGAAATACATTTTTTTTTTTCTCAGGAAAATAAAGAAAAGGATTTAATAAGCATCATCGTCCTATTACGAGGAAGTTTCAATGCCCAACATAAGTCACGTCACGCCATGCCACGAAACAAGTATGCTTATGTTTTTTTTTTTTTTTATCACAAGAAGAAATACCTGTAAATCGTAATACAACTTGTTCCTGGAATATTTTATGAAAAAAAAAAGTTATTGCTGAAATATTTTCTTAAAAAACTAATTTATTATTCTAATAAAAAAGGTTTCCATTTTGAATAAAAATAAAAAAAACACTTATGTTTTGTAAAAGTGATTAAAAGTATTTTTTATATTTTTAATATAGAAAAATCAATTTACATTTAAAAATCAACAGTTGCAAGCACTAATGTTTTTTAAATACTCAATTTCATTGAGACGATCTTTTTCATTCATTTATTTAGCACTTTCACTTTAGTTGAATTTATCCCAATTCTTGCTGAAAATAGAGTTTTTAATATTTTTAATTAAGAAAAATATTTAATTTCAGAATCAATCATCCAAAAAATAAAAATATTAATGGTTTTTATCAGTTAAACAATATTATTTTCTTTTATTTTAATTAAGGTAAATTAATTTATTCGGTGAAATTTGAGTACTAATTGATGAAAAATATCATATTTTTCACTAGATTAATATCTCACACAAGCTTAGAGGGAAATTTACTGTACCAAAGCTAAAAAATCAAGCCTGAGAGTGGATGGCCATTGCCCACCATTAATGACCTTAACGTGACTGAAGTTTCCGCTCCCGACGAACTTGCTTGCGAAGAAGAAGAATATCTATCGGTCCCTAATTCGCGAGTTTTGAAAGATGAGATGAGTTTCTACTTGAAACGCCAATTAATGGTTTTTAGTCATCGAGGTGAGTGTTATTTTATTTTTCTTATCAAACGCCATCAATAGTTTTCAATTTTACCCTGATTTGAGAATTTTAGTTATTTTAACAATATTTTTGTCGATTGACGTGTGATTTCATTGTGAGTTTTTCGTGAGATTAGGTTTTGGCTGTGATATATAGAGAGAGAGAGATTTATTTGTATGTTTTGATTTAATTTGATCGAGAAATGCAGATGCAGGAATATATGCTTGCGTTAAGCATGTATAATGTTAACCTAGTAGTGAAGGGACTGCCAAGAGAAAGAAAGACAAAAATTGCAAATCAGGGTAAAATTGAAAATCTTAAGATAAAATTGCAAGAGCACAAAATGGTTGGTTTTATTATTAGGATTTATTATAAAAGGATTAAGTATCTCTTACTGCTAGTTTGTTGATTTTCTAACACTTTGTTTTGGAATTACAACATGTTTGTTAAAAATAGTTCTGTGCATATGATCAAATGTTTTTATTTGAATTGAATTAGGAGTGTACTTGAGTCAAGTCAAGCAGCTACAAGCGTTCAAAGTTGAAACTCAACTCTAGCTGGATTCAGTTTTAATTTTCAAGCTCAGTCTTGGCTTGAATGGATGCTTGAGTTACTTGAGCTTGACTCTATTTGGCTTGATCACCATAAGGGGAAAAAAAATTGTTCATTAATGTTAAAATAAAGCTTGAGTTAGCTCAAGTTAGTAGATTATTTATTTGAATATTATACATACTATGAAATAGTTTTTAAAATTTTTTGATTTAAATACTCAATTAAGCTTGACTTACTTGCTCCTGACGCGAATCAATCACTTTAATGTGATTCTTCAGCTATTGGTTCTAGCTATTTTCATGTGATTCATTGCAAATTGTTGCTACTACTGTTATTTTTGCACTAAATTGAGTGTGTTGTGTTTTGATATATTTTTTCTCCCACCAAAGTCATTAGATTTTTGCAAGAGAACCCTTGTCACTTGAACTGAAAATAGATATTAAAGATGCCTTACAAATATCCGTTCATGTATCTGTTTGAAAGTGATGGATTATTTTTCTTTATCAAAATAACATAAAGAAGTTCTCTTCATCTGCATAGATTAGTAATTCTTTTGATACTACAATAGCAGGTACATTTTCATTACCCCTTCACGACAGCAAAACCATGCCTCTTTAAGATTAGTTTTGACTTGCACTGTTTCTAAGACAATGTGGTGGAAGGTTTCTGGATTTGCTTTTTATATATCTTCATCTATAACTTCTGTTGTTACTTGGAGATAATATGTCATAAAACGTCACCCAAACAAATGTAGATATGGACATAAACATTTTTCTTCTATGTCCACTGTCCATAAAAACATATTGTTGGCCTGTTCTTTTTCAAATATTTTCTGTTCTGTAATTTTCAAATTAATTAGCCACCTCACAACTGTTTCTTCCCCAGACAAAGCCTTCAGGCGTTACCTCCATGTTGCATATGCACTTTCTAGCACTCTTGTTGTTTGATTATAGGAGATCCTGGTCAGTGGCTGCTGTTTGTTATTGTTAAGAATCAGCACTTTCTGGTGGAAGGAGAATGCCACTCATATGCAATTAAGTGAAACAACATTCTTAACAATCAAATGAACCCATTCTTTCTTACACAAGTGGAGTGTGTAATTTTCACTAGCATATTCTGACATGCAGCTGACTATCAGGGATTATTTTATTATTATTTTTTTTTGAAATAATAACAGTTTTGCTGATAGGTTGCTCTGATTGGTTGTGCTGAGTAATTGTGCAAAGACATTGTTCAGAATCAAGAGAAACCCTCAATTCTTGTTCATTGATTAGCTTGTTTTTGGCTTATAATGGGGCTACTCAGCATCATCCGAAAAATCAAGAGAAAAGAGAAGGAAATGCGTATACTGATGGTGTATGTATCTGTGCAATTCTTTGCAATTTTTTTTTTTTTACCTTTTCCCCTCTTATCAATGTTCATATATAAACATATTTGTTTATATTGCATGGTATGCAGGGGCCTCGATAATTCTGGAAAGACGACAATTGTTTTGAAGCTAAATGGGGAAGATACTAGCGTCATCAGTCCTACTCTTGGTTTTAATATCAAAACACTCACTTACCAAAAGTAAGATTTTGTTTTCAATTTTCATGTGTATGTATTTTTATATTTAGTGCGTAGATTAGTATTTTTGCAAAGTTCATGTTTGTCAAGATCCTATTATGGTCATTTGGTTGTTGAGTAAGTTCGTGCTGACATTATTTGCAGATTAAGTAAATTTTCGATTGAATTAAAAAGTTTCACCTGAATATGACATTGTCCTCTAGTCAAAATGGTGCTCATTTTTACTATGTATTTATTTTTTGTGTTATAGAGTCAACTGAATGTTACCTTAAATTAGAATTTGAATTCCTAGAACTTCTATTGCAAAAGCAAGATTTTCAAACTTGTTATTTGGCAGGTATACTTTAAATATATGGGATGTTGGGGGCCAAAGAACTATAAGATCATATTGGAGAAACTACTTTGAGCAAACTGATGGCTTAGTATGGGTAGTTGACAGCTCGGATCTTAGAAGGTTAGATGATTGCAAAATGGAACTTGATAATCTTTTGAAGGAAGAGGTATGTGCTAGTTATGTTGTTTGGTGTATTAATTGTCTCCTTATATTGTTTCCGTCTCTTGTTTTTATTATTTTAAAGTGTGTTATTGTTTCATTTCTCCTGTAGTTCTTCCTGCTTTCTTTCGTTTCCTTGATTTGCTGTTTCATTTGTGCTTTTGGTAAATTCTCAATTTATATCTTCATTTGGCAGAGGCTGTCTGGAGCATCTTTGCTAATACTAGCAAATAAGCAAGACCTAAAAGGTGCGCTTAAACCAGATGAAATTGCCAAGGCAAGTGTTCTGGCTGATAAATCCTTTTCGTATGGAAATTTTCTTTTGAGGCGACTTGAAAGTAGTTGTCCTTTTTTCTTTCTATCACTATGCTTAGCGTGTCCGCACACATCATTCAGTCTGATGATGTTAAAATGAATTTGGAACGGTTTTAAATAATTGTTATACCTTATTGTTTTGGCCATTTTGTAATGAAATTTTAGCCCATCCTTGCATTATTGTCTTTCTTCTATACAGGCAATTCATCAATTTCCTAGAAATGGTAGACAATGAGAAATGATCATTTTTCATGTTTTGCCCAACAATTAACTTGATATCTTGCATATTTTATTAATTCTATTTTTAACATATATTTTATTGAATTCTAGGTTATTGTTGATTTTTGTGAATATGCAAAATGGCTTTAACAATCCATGTTCAGAATGATTCGATCCAATTTAGATTGATTTTTGCGACACTGTTTCCGAATCTGTTGCTGTTTTTTATTCTGGTATTTGAAACCCTTTTAGCTTCCACCATGATACTCTTGTTTTATCGATTATGCCCATAAGCATGTCTATTTCTGTGATGCTTGATGACTTGTAGGCACATGTAAATTACTAAAATTGGCTCTTTCTATTCTACTCTGAATCCAACTCTCTTTTTTGTTATGATCATAAAGGGAAAGAAATGAATATATGGTCTCTGCTTACTGTTGTTAACTCCAATTTCTTATTGAAACCATACATATGTGCATTCAATTTTACAGCCTTCCAATTCATCTTTTGAAATTCTACAATGGTTTCTATGACAATGATGCAGGTATTAAACCTGGAGAATATGGATAAAACCCGGCACTGGGAAATTGTAGGCTGTAGTGCGTACACAGGGGAGGGGCTGCTTGAGGGGTTTGATTGGTTGATTCAGGACATTGCCTCCCGAATCTATATGCTGGATTAATTCTCTCAATCATTATTTCAGAGAGAAATTTTAATTGGACTTGATGGTAACTGGACTTTTCTCCCTGATTGCCATTCATACTTTATCTATGTCTGTGCTTGTATGAATTCATATAGTCTCCACCATTAGGGAAACGAATTTAGCTTTAGTTTTAGTGCTCATATATAAATGTGAATTACAGTTTTGATAATCATTCTTATTTCAAGTCTGCTTCTATGTGATCTAAACTCAATTAATTATAATCTCTATTATTTTAAATCTAAAATTAGATAAATATTAATAAGATAAATGCCTGCTATATTTCATAAAAAAAAAAAAAAGATAAAATCTTGCTATAATTAATTGATTTAGAAAGAATATAAATTTAAGATTTTTTTTTCCTTGATATGAATAGAATAGATGTAAAGTTCATGAAAAACGATTAGAAACTTTCTTACGTAACAGAATTTTTATTTGGAATTTTGCTTACATATTTTTCTTGCTGGCAGCACGCTTTACACGAATAAATTATCTTTTTAAATAAATTATTATCTTTAAGTCCCTTCAAAAAAATTATTATCTTTAGTCACATCAGATGCCTATAGATTGAATAACGAAAATCTATTTAAAAAAAATGAAGATCTTTTTTTTTTATTTATATACAAAGAAAAAAAGATCAGAGTCCTAACAGCAGAAGCATGCGGGATGACAAATTAAAAGTTTACAGATATACACTTAAGCATTTAAATAAACAAAAAATATATATAATATTTTAATTTCAGCGATTTCTTTTATAAAACTCTAATAATTAGTATTTGCAAAGGAGTAATAATCGAAGAAAGGAGAACGATAATTAGCCAACAACGATTGATTTCAGTAAAATCTTCGAGAATTTTTTTTTTTAAAAATGCTATTAGAAAATAGAAAACTAAAAATATTAATAATCAGGTAAATGTTTTTTAAAATAAAATATTGAAATTGAAAACATTATTTTAATTATTCTTCTGTATTACTATTACTTCACAAACAAATCTATCTTTTCTTCTTTCGGTAAAGATTAAGATGTGTTGATTCTTGAATCTTGACATTCTTTAAAAACAATTAGAAAGGCCAAAAGAAATAAAACAGAAAGAACCCCACCACTGTCACATCCTGCATGGCGGACATTATTGTTATATACAAAATAATTATTAAACATCATTTTCACAATTTTTCTAAATATTTCTTATTTATTGATAATATACTTAAAAAAAATCGTCTCAAGAAGATATATATAATAAATTTACTAAAAGAATTATATTTATAAATAAAAAAACTCATGATCCTGAAATTAAAAACAAAAGTTAGGCCTTCTCAATTTTTAATTTTATCTACTGAATCTTTGAATTTCTTATAAAATAAATAAATAAATAATTCAGAAAAGGAAATTAAGTGTGGGTTTTTTATAATTAAAATGGAAAGTTGGATCTAAATCTTATATACATTTGTTGATTTTCAATGTTCATTAGTTTTAATATAAATAATATTTAATGCCATTCGATATTTATATAACGTTTGAATATATTCATGTAAAATTAATTTTAATTAACATTATATTAAAAAATTTCACATATGTAAGATATTAAATAAATATAATAAAGAAATTTTAATATCTATATTTTTTTTTTTTTGAAAAGAAATATCTATATTATTTAACACTTAAAATTTCGGTTCTTAAGATTTCTTAGAGTTCGCTTGAAATAATAAACTACAAAATTTTAATTTATACATTTATAAAAGAATTAGCAGTTAAGCATTGAAATTCAAATGATGAGCGGTCACTGTCGGTCTATTAACGTCAAGTCCCGATTCTGGGAAAAAGGACAGAAACGGTCACGGGCATGAGTTAGGAACAGGAAACCCCCCGTGACTCTATCTTTCTCTCTCTTTCCATTCCTGACTTTATTGCCGGATAGAGCGCTTTTTATTTTATTTTATTTATTTATTTATTAGGTTCACATGCAGAGCAGAGATGACAAGCTGACACATGTCTGCACGTGTCATCATCTTTCGCTCAAACATTCATCCACACGAACCTCTTGCTTTCCCATTTTGTCCTTAACTTTTCTCAAAATCGCCTTTGTTAGCTGTGTTTTTAGGCTGTTTAGTAGGGAAAATTGCATTCTTATTTTTTTATTTTTAGATAACTAATTTTATTATTAAGTGATATTATGCTTTAATAGTTTTTTTTTTTAAAATTTATTAAGAGATTCGATGAACACAGATAATATAACCGTCTACTTTGACGATTGACTGAGTGAGGGAGTGGCAAGGGTGGCTCATACTTCTTATACTGCTTATGACAATGGTTTTTTAAATAGTTTTTATAAAAATATTAAATATTATTTTTTATAATGTTCGATAACATAATATTTCAACTAATTTTAGAGATTAAAGTGTCGTTTTAGAAAAAGTTTCAATTCACGTTTAGCTTTTACTGTTTTATAAAAAGCTATTCAAACAACACTAATAGTTAAAAATTTTAAAAATTTATCTCATGTAATAATGAGAATTTTTAATTTTACCTCTTAAAATAGTAATTTTTTTTTTAATCTTGAAAATCTTTTTAGCCACTAGAATTTGATTTCTCGCTCCATTACCGATGAATGAAATAATAATTATAGTCATTCCCTTAATTCACTAAATTGATAAAAATTATTGTAATCTTGTCCACTTGCATAATTTTTTAAAAACCATTGATTTTAACATTATACTTTAGTATTTTTGTTGGCAATATTCTATTTTTAATAAAAATTTATGAAAAAAAATTATTTTTTTAAATCAATAATTGTAAAATTTTACAATAATAATATTTTCGATTTCCGTGCTCTTCTAACATGGATGCTTTTAGATTTCAATTATCTGATTTTAAAGTTAATTTATAATATAATTTCAGTTTTAAGTCTCCAATCTTATTGATAAATTTACTTAGTTTATTTTTGCTTATCCAACTAATATTGATAAACCTTAAATATAATTTTATTTTCATAAGACCTAAATGAAATAAAAAAAAAAAAAAAAAGGAGTGATGGGAACGTGGCAAGGGTGGGCTCATATCTGTCTTATAACTAGCTTGTATGACCTGGTTTTTTAAATGACGTTTTTTTATAAAAAATATTAAAATATTAATTTTTTTATAAGATGTTTCGAATAACAAATAAATTGTCAACTAATTTTAGAGAAATTAAAGTTGTCCGTTTTTAGCAAAAAAAGTTTCAAATTCCAACGTTTAGGCTTTTACTTGTGTTTTAATAACAAAGCTATCTCAAACAACACTAATAGCTTTTAAAAATTGTTAAAAATTTATCTCCATGTAATGAATTGAGAATTTTTAATTTTACCTTCTTAAAAATAAGTAATTTTTTTTTTAAATCTTGAAAAAAATCTTTTTAGCCCACTAGAATTTTGATGTTCTCTGCTCCATTACTGATCGAAATGAAGATAATGAATTATAGTCATCGGGGGATAGCCGCTTTAATTTCACTAAATTGATAAAAAATTAAATTGTATTTATCTTATCCACGAGGTTGGCATAGAGTTTTTTTTTTAAAAAGCCATTGATTTTAACATTATACTGTTAGTAAATGTTTTCAGGGAGTGTAGTTTGGCAAAATATTGTCTATATTTTTACATAAACAATTTATGGAAAAGAAATTAATTTTTCTTATCAATAAAATTTGTAATTTTTACATAATAAATAATTTTTCGGAATTAGTTCCCGTGCTCTTATCGTAACATGGGGATGCTTTTGTAGATTTTCAATTATCTGATTAAAGTTTTACATTTTCATTAATTAGAATCAATTTCAGTTTTAAGTTTCCATCTTATTGAAAATAAACTTTGACTTAGTTTATCTTTATGCTTATCCAACTAATAATTGGATTAAAACCTTGAATATATCGCATTTTATTTTTTCAATAAGCCACTAAATGAAATAACAAAAAAAAAGAAAAAAAACGGTCCTTTAGAAAAAAAAAAAAAAAAAAAAAGGTCCTTTAATATGCCAATAACAGGGTACGAGTACAGGTTGGTCCAACGAATGCAGCCTGACCACAGACCACCAAACAATTTTATTTTGTGAAAGGGTTAGGTATACCTGTTTTCGCTGTTGGTGCAGGGAGGGACATAAACATTATTAGAAAACAAAATTAAAATATGCTTTTCCCTTCCACAAATGATGCTTCATCAACCTAACCTAACCACACAAATTAAGCTTCTCTGGGGTTCCGGTCCAGGGGCACAGGCACGCGGACACTGAGATAAGGGAATCCTTTTAAATTTCGGGGACCAGGGACGATGGCCTACAATCCAGTCAAACGGTTAAACAGAATCGAATTAACAGCTTCAAACCTATTTGATAAATTTAGCTATTTTAATAGCTATTAGCTATTTTAATAATATTTTGCGTTAAATATTCAAATAACTTTTAATGAAATGTTTAAGATTTGTTCAGTAAAATTAGCGTTTTAGTAGTTGTTAACAGTGTTAATTGCATTTAGCTCCTAGTTGTTTGAGTAGTTTTTCATTAAACACTAAAAATTAAACGTTATAATACAAAACGTCACATTAATCTCCAAAAGCTAATTCAAATCTTATGTTACCGAACGCTATAAAAGTAGCGTACCGTTTAGCGTTTTAAAACTACTTAAAAAGCCGTTGCCGAACACAGCTTAAAAGTTAAACATATTATGTTACCGAACATTATAAAAAATAATTTTTAACATTTTAAGTTAAAAAGTTATTGTCGAATACAACCTTCAAGTTCGAGTTTTAAACTATTAGATTTGGTCTTTTTTTTAAAAAAAAAAAAATTAGTTGAATTTTATTCTTAAAAATCTTAAATAATAAGCAAAAACTGAAAAATTAATCAAATTGATTCCATTTAATTTTATTTTATATAAATTTCAATTTCATTTCAATTTTCTAAAACGTTTCGATTTTATTACATTTAAAAATAGTTCGTTCTGATTGAATTGAACATGCACCTTATGTCTTCACACCACCATATAGGGGTGTGCGCCCTCAGTTCTAACTAAAATCCCAATCAAGCAAATCCAATTCAGTGGGATTTGATTATATGTTTTAAAAATGAGATCACCGATGGACTTAATAAGAAAATTAATTTAATTTTCGATTTTTGATTCGATTATTATATATAAATGACTGAATTTACTTTTATGTCTAAAACAATTGATTTAATTTGGAATAATCAAACCCAAATTAAGTTAAATGAGTTCAATTTTATTTTATTAGATTTTTATACTATTTGGTTTCAAATTCAATTATCATAAAAATATATTTAATTAGATTGAAACTGAGCTTATTCAGTTTGATTCAATTCGGTTAATGAATGCCCACTGTACCATGACAATTGAGGTTCATATAATACACATTCTCCTTTAATTGTGCCCCACATAAAGATTTTGGCTTAGATATACCACCTTCCATAGAAAAAAAAATATGATAAATGTTTTTCCATGCCCCATGATAGATATTGGTTTGTCCATTAAAGCATTGATCAGACAATGCGAATCTATTAGGACATTATACTATTTTAAATTTATTCTATTCTTTAAGTTCATCAGGAAAGAACATAAAATTGCTAATTTTATAGTAATCATGTTTAATGAGTTAGGCGTGTGCTTGTGTTAATGTAATACTACTAAAATATAATTAATTTGCAAACATTACCATACTTTGACTAATCTAATTAAAGGCACACTCCACTTGTTGCATGAACACAATTTGACTAATCTAATTAAAGTGCTTTTCAACGAAAATCAACCTTACTTAATACTAAAAACAACCAACTTTTATACTTTGTAACAAAGGTAAGCTCTTTATAAGTCCAAATATTAATACGTTACTAATGCTAATTGAATTTGATTAATTTGCTCATAAGGTCCATATTCAAATTACTATTTAATTATTTAGTTATATATATATATATTGACAATAATTGTTTAGTTATATTTAAATATATTTATTAGGATTTTTTATTTTTCTAATTATATAATTTATGGATTTTTTTTATATTTTTTCAGCATTACTACGATTAATATCCCCATCCTTTAGATATGCGACTCATTTTTTAGTTCATGGCTATTTTTTCTTTTAGCATTGGAAAGGGAAAATTCGAACCTAAATATATCATTAGGTCATATATGTACTTACCACCAGACTATGCCTTGGTATACAAGTTCATGGTCACTGAATCTCTCTCCTTGTAGGGATGTGCACTAAACTTAAGTATATTATATCACTTGAGTCACTCTCATGGATTTATTTATTTTTCTATTAATTGCTAGTGAAATGTTATTATTGTCTCTAACAAATGCATGTTTCTACTCGTTCCAAAATACAGATTGTTTTACGGTGATTGCTTTGTCTCGAATATGGAACGCTTTAAGTATTTTAAGGAGTAAAAAATAATTTTTTTTTTATTTTACCCTTATTTATAATATATATAATAAATATTTTCACAAGTTACTTTTGATTTTGAAATAAATTATAATTTGGTCAAGTTATTTTTAGTTCTTTTATAATTTTATGAAAATTAATTATTTTCTTAATTTCCATGGAAAAACTTGAAATGATTTATATTTTAAGATCGTGGGAGTTCGTAGTTTATTAATTATATTCAACATTAATCAGAACAATTTAGTTATATACTTGATGAATTTTATTTCTATCGCAGTATTTAATTTTTGAGGGATTATATTTAGATTTTGAAAATAAAAATTTCAACTATTATATATAAGTATAACCCTAATTAACCTTTGAAAAACTAAATGGTAATTCACTCAATAGACTAACCTTTCTGAGTTAGCAATGAAATTCTGTAATGGATGCTGTTAAATGGTACAATTTGTGCCTTGCATAATCTCATCAAGCTTTTAACATGTTTAATGGCCTTTTTAGTGGAGAAAAGACTTCCTGACCCAACTCCATTTCCGCCGATTTTCGTTTGATTAACGGTCAACCAGCGACAGTCAGGCCTTCAACATGTCATTTTCGGTCCCTCTTTCATGCTATCGAGCTGATCTTTCCCTTCCTTGTCTTGATTTTCTTTCACGCACAAGACAGATAAAGAGACCCAGCTCCAGCGACGTCACCATCTCCGATGAGCCTTAGCCAAAAGGTTAGCAATAAACCACCTTTTCCTTCATTTTGAACATCTTCCCCATAGTAATTGTCGTATTTGGTTGGGTTTTATCAAAAAAACTATTGAACCCATTTGGATATGTCACTTTGTGATATCTTCTCTCTTTTTTCTCTGATTATTATAGAAAGTGCAAAATATGGAAGAAAGTGGAAATCTTAAAGAGGGATGGGTCTGATGGGAAAAATGCCACAATCAAGAAATCACCAACTCCGCCGTTTTGAACAGTGATTTCGGTGACAATATTGTGGCTTGACTTTGGATGACAGAGTAAACGACAATACAGTGGCTTGGCTTTGAAATCCAAAATTTTTCTCTACCTTACCGATTTAACGCAACATTTACACCGCGCATTTTAGACATTTTAACATGCAATAATGATAATTGAGCCAGACTCAAATTAGACTAAATATGTTTTCTGATTTTTTTCCAAACTAAGTAGTTTTACAAGGAGGGAAATTGTTAATTAGGTCACTATCAAGGAGAGGAATGTACAAACAGAAAAGGATACTGAGTTACATATATCTCTACCTATGCCATTGTTCTAATTATCGCATTCCATTAATGCACGCAGTACATGCACGGTTGGTGTTTGTCAATACCATGGGACATTATTAATTACTTGACCCCTCTTATTTAAATGCCTTTGTTTTTCACTAACATAATTTACTTTACCGCAACAATATTTATCTTTTACCACTCATCATTGAGGCCCCATTTCACACTTATATACATATATATATATATATATAACATTTGTTTAATTCAAAACATTAAATATATTTAATGAGTATCTTTAAAAACGTCACGGCATTGTGAACTTTAATTTTGATTTATTAAACACTTTAATTTATAAAATTATGGCCCCATTTCACAACTTTATCATACATAAACACTAAGTATATTATACTACTTCAACATTTGTGTTTAATTTCTAAAACATATAATACTATTTAAATCGAGTATCTCTTAAAAACGTCACGGCAATTGTGAACTTTAACTTTGATTTATTAAGACTCACTTTAATTTATAAAAATGTATATATATTAACATATTTTAATTTTTTAATCATTATATTAAATGTTTGAATTGTTTATACAAATTGATTATACAATTATTAGATATTTTGAAAACATATGAAAATTATTATTTTTAAACAATTATCGGTAACTATATTATTTAAAATTAATATTTACTAAACAGCCGAAAAACAATTTAAAAAAGCTATTGTGTTAGTGTGAACATGTGTTTGATTTGTTTGAATTTATACAAATTGATTATACAATTATTAGATATTTGAAAATATGAAAATTATTATTTTAAACATTATAGTAACTATATATTAAATTAATATTTTATAAAAGCCGAAAAACATTAAAAGCTATTGTTGTTAGTGTGAACATGTGTGATATATTACTAAAATTTATAACTTTAAAAGCATAATAATCCGATAAAATTTAAAATTGTGAATTTTTCAAAAAATATATAAGTGAATTTATATGTTTGGCCATATATATATATATGTATAATGGTCCTGGTTTGAAATAGTTGAAATATTATCAATATTGATTGGTCTCTGAAATTTAGCTCCATCGAACTATTTAGTCATTCGATCTAAAAAGTATTATTTTAATTTATTTTTTTTAGGATAAAGTGTAATCATTTGTTAATTGAAATCAAAATGAAGAAAATCTAAAACAATAGACCGGAACATGACTCCATTTCATCAAACCAAACAAAATAGCAGCAGGCCTAGCAAGAGAATGAGCCGATTGATTTTGGAAATTACCTTGTAATATTCGACTGTTTAGTTATTTACATTTAACGTAGTCTTATTTATTTCAAATTACTACTGCTTAATTCCTTAGTTAGGGGTAAAAATGACACTTTTTGAATAAAGGATAAAACAACTCAATGGAGCGAAAACTTAAAAAATAATTGGTATATTTATCAACATACCAATAATTAAACAACTTATTAGAAACAACAAACAGCCAATCAGAAATGTCATAAATCCTGGGCTTTTAAGAGAGATAGAGTTGTAATTGTAACTAAATTTAAGGATTACATGGTAAATAACATATAATTAATTAAATTATTTAAAAAAATTGAAAAACACAAGAAGGGCAGTTTAGTCACGAAAAGAAAAAGAAAAAACGATTGTCGTTATTGGTAATGTCGTGATCAGGAGCTTTTCTGACAAATCGCCACATAAGCGCTCCTCTCCGTCTCCGATGCTAACCTTCCTTCACATCCACCGCGTCTCTCTCTCTCTCTCTCTCTCTCTCTCTGTCGTGACTGAACATATTAACTCTGTGTGTGTGTGTATATATATATATACATATGTAGCTCACTCGCTCCAGTTGCAATATTTCTAGTATGTGAGTAGCCATTTCTTCTACACAGTCACTACCACTCTGGCCTCTGAGTCTCTACAATGGCAGCTAATCCCTGTGCAGATGTTAGTTAGATCTCTTTCTCTTCTTCTTTTTCGCTTTTTCAGTTTCTTAAAACTGGCAATTCAACTTCAATTTCAAGTTCTTCTTTATAAATTACTCTAATTTCCTTCTTCATATCTTCTTAAAATCCATTTTTGTTTACCAAAGAACTCTTTCTAGTTAGTTTTCTTCTTTCTCCATTTTCCTAGGAAGCAAACAGGTTATATGCATTGTTTTTTATGCTTTTCTTCTAGTGGATTCTAGATGCGTTAAATGCATATGGAAAATTTTGCTAATCTACTTATTTTGATACTGAATAGTTCATTTATTTGCTAGTAATGTGAGGGAATTTGGTTTTGAATGCAGGAAATTCCAGCGATTGTTGATGGAAGTTGCGATCTACCTGTTGCTGGTTCATGTTTCCAGTTTGTAAAACCAAGTTTCGATGAGGTTAACCAGCAGTGTACTCTAGGTAATGATACCTCGGATTACTTACAAGATTCAATTCATCTGAACTATGTATTTTGGCTAATGAATGTTCTCGTTCTGTAATTTTAGATGTTCTGCCTTTACTTTTTGAGGAGGCTTCGTTTCCAATGGAAAAAAAATGCGCCTTTCAGACTCAACATGTAAGTTCATTGTTACTGGTTTTGATTTGATCCATTGCTTAATCTTTTTAGGAGAGAGAAAATATTTTTACTTTCTTGGTTTGAATGGAGTATTGTGTTTACCGTTCTTGATAATGAGTTCTTATGAGAGCTAGCAACAAGACGGGATAAGCCTTTGAATTCCCTTTCCCTCCTATGTCAGCTCTTGTTCTTGCTGATAATTTGAGTTATTTTTTCCATCCATTATTAGGCCTTGTATTTTTTCGTTCTTTTATTTTATCCTGTATGCACCCAAACAAGTGGTGATTTTCCAATTTCCTTTGGGTAGCTGAGCAGATATTTTGAGAATTAAACCCGGAAGGTCTCACAGCTTTAATTTTCTTAACCAGAAAAGTACAAACAAAAGCATGCATTGGTTTCGTTTCTTTCCTTGTTAGTGTTTAAAACCTGCACTTCTCAGTTGGTGATCCCTTTGCACGATTTTCAACTGAAGGCTTGACTTCCTCAGCAGGATTGTAGTTTATTCTGCTTGTGGACCAATGATTAAATATTGGCTGTTAATTCATCCAAAAAATAAATAAAATAGTTCCCATCTTTGCAACTAATAATAATCCCTACCCCTCAGCTTCTTGTCATGCTGGACTGCTAAGTTATCCTGCTGAACATTGTCATTAAATAGCGAAGTTAATGCGTCTATCAGAAACTCTCCATACAGTGCCGTTATCACTTATTCAGTCATTATTACATGTGTCTAGCAACATATACTGGCAAAGGAAATCCATCTATGGTGCAAACTGTTCCTTTGTTTTTTCAAGATTCCAACTGGTGGTCCTATAAAATGACCAAGTGATGCCTCATTGCAAGAACATGGCCAAACCTATACATCCTCTCGTAATGGTTCTGGTTCGCAAAGTAATTATTATGATTTAAATCTTTCAAAAGCCCTGTTCCCATATTCAAGATGTAGGGTCACGATTCACGAATCATTTTCTGTCCATTTGTTTTGTGGGATAAATTCACTTGTGCTCTTGAATCCTGTTTAATTTTTAGTTTTTTTTTTTTTTTTTTTTTTAAACAAGCCCTGTTCCCATATTCCGATGTTAGGGTCACGATTCAACGCAATTCATTTGTGTGTCTGTCCATTTGTTCTTTTGTAGGGCGATTCAAAGTCTCAACTTGTGCTCCTTGAATCCTGTGCCTTTCATTCTTTAGTTTTTTTTTTTTTTTTTTAGGCCTTACTTCACACTTCGGGTTTTAACATGTACAAGACTCTCCTTTCTATTCTGGTGTTTTTTTTTTTTTTTTTTTTTGCTACTTCACTTCGGGTGTAAGATCTCCTATTCATTCTGTATAAGATCTGAACTCACAATGCAGGATAATGCTAACATATTTGGCGTTCATGGTCTACAGTTTTAAATGGTGTTCTTTCTGTTCTATTTTTGTTGCTATTGTCATATACTAGCTGCTTTCATATTCTTACCTTAGGAAAGCCATTTTTTGATGATGGTCTCTTTAGGGGTTGTTGGGAAATTTCCCACTCCGTAGTTCAGTTAATAATTTCTTAAGTTGCTCTCTCTTTCTCTCTCAGAATCAAAACACAACACAATAGGAAACTACCCTGCAACCCCTAACATGACCATAATTAAACAATGGCTTTCCATAAGTCATTTCTTAAGTTGCTGTCACCCTCTCTCTCTCACATACCCCCACACACTCATACAGAGCACAAAAGCCCACGTTTAATATTTCCTTTCCCATTTTATTTTATAAAATGGTTGCTTGGGTGAACAAAGTTCATATTTTGGGCAACGGTAGTACATTATCTGCCTATTGAGATCTTATGTTTCCACTTTTTGTAATGTATTATGCATGGTAAGCATTCAAATACTGTTCATTTGACCAAAATATTATCCTATCAGTTAATTTATAATTGATAGGTGGGCTACCCAAAAAGTTTAAGCTAGCCAGTAGAGATGTCCATGTGCTGTAATATGATATTAGTTGATCCTACTCCTGTATGTGTTGCTATAGAATCACAGTTTATGCAGTATACTTCACAAACACAATAATAGTAATAAATGGTGTAGCACTGCGGTAAACAGCAACAATAAGATAGAATTACTAATCCATGGAGACTTCTAAGTTTACATATCTTTTGATTTTTCCTCCCTTTCCCTTTTTGCAGGGCCAAGATGTCTATAGTATTTCAATGCTGTCTGAGGAAGACAAAGTCAATTCTAAATGTACATCGCAGCTAGCCCTTTTAAGCTTTGTAGAACTTCCGGTTTCACCAAAGAAACAGATATGCTTAGATCCTCAATTGAATTGCCAAAACTTCATTGGTTTACAAATGGAAAGTGCAGATGCTTATTCACCATGCATTGTGGATATAAATATTGAGATGGAAAATTTTGAAAAGCCTAAATCCAATGATGAAACTGTTGGAAGTATAAAAAGTGAAGGTTTACTAACTGTAAGTCCCTTGTTCTTATTGTTAAGAACAGCTCTTAAAAGTTCATATGCCTGATGGCAAATGTAAGCGAGAACACAAAAAATGTGGTCTGGAAATGTTTTGTTTGATAACAGTGCTCATTAATTTCACTTAAGGTTGCAATTTTTGAATTTTCCTCATCAGTGCTATGAAGTTTAATTGGTTGCATCATTTGTAGGGGGTACTGCAGAGACAAGCAAGCCTAAAAACATGTGGAAGATTCATGCAGCTATTGTCAAATCCTGGCTCAACTTTACTGAAGTTGATTTCTAAAGGTATATATTCATATATCTATCACCATACTATTGTTTAGCTAATTTGCATATGGAAGAGAGAATTTTTTTTTTTTAATTAATGCTTGCTAACCTAGTAACATGTCTGTAATGCTTAATACCTATTATAAGTTCTCGCATGTGATGCTTTTTGAAGAGATGTATGTTTAATTTTCAGTATCATTCCTCACAATTTTTTGTAATTCGTGATGGTAGCTGATTTTCTGTATCAGAAACATGATATCGGAAGCTTTACAGTTCCTCACAATTTTGATTGCACCTTTTTTTGGGCCTAATAGGATACAGATAGGTCATGTCTAGAAAACTACAACTACTAAAACAAAAACTTTATGGTGATTTTTGTTCAACAGACAAATCATTCAATGAAAGGGTTCATGATATTCCAAATAACAGATGGAGAAAATATAAGCGTGCTGCACCCTTTGATTCAAGAAAAATTGTTCTTCTCTTCTCAATCTTGTAAGTTCTTTCCCACAAGCAAATTAGAGACAGCTAAATGCATTATGTTTGGTTCTTGGCACTCTAGCTAAAAGTCTTTTGTCGTCGAAATGATTGTTAAAGATTGATTGCAATGATCATGACCACTCGCTAATGATTTTTAGATGAGACTTGGTTGTATTAGTTGATTTTGCTCTCTGTTTGGTCCAGACATGCTTCACAATTGACAGGAACACTATGCTTCATTTTCATTCTTTAGTTACAGTGACAATATGTTAGTCAGCCTGAGCCTGAGTTTATGATTTAGTTGTTTTAGTATCATTGTCAAGAGTACATAGAATAGTACCCCACATCAAGTTAATGATAAGTTATTGCTTAGTCCTCACACTGTTGCTGAAGCAAAGTATTTAAGCAGGCTACCCTGCAAAATAGAGCATTTGTGAATTGTGATACGACTTCCCCAAACCCATATGCTATGGTTGAAGAAAAGTTTTGCTTCATTTGATTAGGCTGTCCTGCAAGATACAACCCTTGTGGTGGAAATTCTCTCTCTCTTTCTTTTTGTGCTTGTTAAGATTTCAACATAGTACAGATACTACCCGGCATTAAATCCCGGGAGCAGCAATAGATAACAGACTAACAAGCAATAGTGTTAAAAAATTAGTTACTGAAGTTTTCTTTGTTCTACAATTGTTGATTATGATATTTACTCTCTTATTTTTTATTTTTGATCCAGGTCAAGTTTGGGCACTCTGATATTGATTTATTTGACACTGAGAGTTAGGCAGACTGCTGATGGTTTTGTTAATGTCTAACTTTTTTTTTTCTCTGTTTTTCTGAAGGTGATGTCCTTTAGAACTGTGTTAAAAGTCTTCTTTCTGCCCTTCAATTTGTCACGTGAACTTTTCCCACTTTGTACATAAATCATAACTAGATCCCATTTTTAGCTGATGCTTTGGGGCACGTAACAATATATTGCAATTTGCCAAAAGGGAATGTTACTGCCATAACTGTCTCTGACCTCCATGTTAAAATATTTTTGAAGAATTTCTTAACCTGTAATAAAATGTAATATGATATTATTAAAATGGAGGAGTGCTACAGGTGTACCATGCGATAGAAAGATAAAGGTAATTCCATAGGACGATGGTGAGGGCAGCAATGTTATATGGGGCACTTAATGCCAATGTGTTTATAAGATGAATGTATCTGAGATGCGAATATTGAGATAGATTTGTTCTCATATGATATTAGATAAGATCATGAATGACCTTATTAGACAAAAAGTACAATTAGCAGTTGGACACAAAATAAGAGGACATCTGAAATTATAAGGACATATATCTTGGTTTGTAAATATGACAATTTGGTTGTAGAGGATGCTAAAAGGAGAAAAGGTAGAAATAGAACTATGTGAAGGAAAGTTGTAGAGGAGGATCTAATAGGTGTACCGCAAAAAAATATTTCAAAATTGTTCACAATTTTACACTTGCTTTTAGTTCCTGCTAGGTGATAATTTTCGTACGAATTGAAACTAAAAATACATATTTTAAACAATTCTTTTATTTTATTTTATAATATAATAAAACAATCACAGAAATTTTAAACAGAGAAACATGAAAAACCGCTTCATAAAATTACCATAAACAACAAATCGCTGATAATTTTTGTTATAGAGATTTTTAGATTGCATGCATTATTTGATCGAATGCTCTCATTTAATCCATAAAATTGTCAAAAAAAAAAAAAAAAAAAAAAAAAAAAAAAAAAAATCCAGCATAAAAAAAAAGAAGAAATAATGTCCGATGAGAAAGGCTCGTCATGAATCTTAAACCCTGCGTTTGGTCCACCTAAACTTAAAAATTTAAAATTACGACATGTCTTTCCAATCAAAACATGGATAATGCTATAGATTTCCTTCTATAGCATTAAGAAAAAAATAAACATGTACCAAAAAAAAAAAAAGAAAAAAAGAAAAAAAAAAAAAAAAAGAAAAAAGAAAAAAGAGAGCTTACTGTTCAAAATACTCATAGTGAGGAGATAAGTTTCAACAAAAAGAAAAAACCAAGAAAAAAAAAAAAAAATATTTAACAAATATAATGAAACAATTCAATCTGTCAAATCTACCATCTTCAGTTTGAAGCATATATAGCCTTCCGTCCCATAGACATTTGAAATATGATTGCATTTTTAACACCAACACCAATCTGTTGTAATATCTTCCTCTTGCTGTCAAATTAGTTTGTCAAAATCACCAATTCGTCTTGTTAATTTAAAATTCAATTGGGTATAACTTGAGTATTGAAAGTGCTTCAATTTCTATATTTTTTTCCCCCGAATATATTTCTCTCTAACATGCGCAACCACCTCCTTGCTGCTCACTCTGTGATGAATTGACAGTAGACCTGAGGTTCACATCAACCATATCTTCTTGTTTCGTTGAAGATAGTGTTTCCATCCCCGGCAATGCTGAAGCAATTTTCCGGAATAAAGGCTGCAATTCATATTCACAAATAAAATTGGCAGATATAATGAAGTGAACAACCAGAATAAAATCTCTTATCATGCAAGGGAGCTTTTTTCACTTTCACTGCAAAAGATTTGAGCAGCTTAATCATATTGTGGTTGGAAAATACTTTTCACCTTAATATTGAATCCTGCTTTTGCACTGGTTTCTATAAACATCACTCCAAACTCTTTTGCCTTGCTATCTCCTTCCTCTATAGAGACTTGCCTGTTACATCAGTAAAAGAATATACTCAAAACAAATCCAATAACAATAAAACTGATAGCTACAATGTTTTAATAGGATGAGCGACTGACAAAAATAAATAAATAGATAATTAAAACACACGGAGATGGAAAAAGAAACACAACAATTACAGAAACAAAAACCAAATTGAAACCACCAGTCAGTCCTAAATTACAGAGAATTTATAAATACGAAACACAGGTAACTCATGAAGCATAGGAAAGAAGAATTGATATCACAGTTCCTCATGAAGAAATTCCATTCTTCAGAAAGCAAGATCCAACATCCTATTTTTATCAGTTAATTCCTCACCTTTTATCAACAAGATCAGTTTTGTTACCAACTAGGACGATAATGACATCACTGCCTCGTTCTGTTCGTACCTCCTCAATCCACTTAGAAGTGTTAAAAAATGATTGCCTATCTGCACGGTTGCAGTTCAATGAGAAAATTAACAAGGTTACATGAATGGAAAGTACTAAATTTCAACATTTCTGAAAAAATATGACCACTGGAAAACATTTGTGTATAGAAAAAAGCCCCTGTAAACGGTGGCAGAGGGAGGAGTGAGCCAGGAGTGGCCCCCACCCACTAGCCCAAATTTTTTTTTTTCAAATTTTGACTCTAAGACAGTGAAATATTAAAGTTTACCCATTAAAAGAATGAATTTTTTTAATTTTGCCCCCCTAACTTTTAAAATTTTAATTTTGGCCCCTCCTCAACTTTCAATTCTAGTTACCCGCTGTCTGTCAACATAGACAAATATATGAAAAATAGAAAGAGAAGGGGTTTTTTGCATTTTACATTTTATTTATTTTATTTTAATTTAGCATCTACTAGAATCTCATATCAGAACAACATGACTTGGGGATACCTTTTTTCCTTTATTGTTTTCCTTTGAAGAAAATTATTTTCCCTTCGCTACTAAGACAGTCTGGCCGTGTTGTTCTGATACATGTTAAAACACATGTATACAAAGCCATTCTTTTATCCTTTACATTTACAAGTTCAAAGAAATTGAAAGAATTCCTAAGGCAACATGCACTAAGTTAAGATAACTCACTAGCCACATCATAGACAATTACAGCAACGGAAGAATCTCTGATATAGCTTGGTATGAGACTCCTAAATCTCTCCTGCCCAGCAGTATCCCTGTGAAAATACAAAAAGAAATTAGAACTGCAGGAAACAAATGGAAGACCAAATGCATCATGAGAATCATTAAGGCAATGGAAGGATAATCGTAGAGACTGCATGAAAGAGTAGTAACAAAATGTTCATTGCCAACAAGCAAAACTGATCTTGACTTCTTACCAACATAATCACCTTCACACAAGAATGACTTTACTTTGGACTAGGATTATAATAAAAGCAAAACACCTCAAAGTTAACAATACGGCATTGCAAATCAGTTTCAAACTTGTTATTTTGTAATAATTAGAAAGTATGCAGTAGTATTCAGATTTAGGCTTCCAAGGAAAAAGGCATGTAAGAAAAGATTATTGATTGAAGGGGTAAAGCAAACTCTGTTTGATTCAAAAAAAAAAAAAAAGTTCCAAGAAAACATTTTCTGTAGTTTCTAGTGTGGAGGTTTTACAAAAACGAATCAATTGAAGTCAAAAACAAAATTGAATCATTTTCAAGAGAAATTATTACTATGTTTGAAATAGGAATCAATTTTTGAATTTGAAAACACACGGATACGTGCCCAATAATCTACTGGTCAATGTTGATCATCTTCAGGCATCTTTCTTCACCAGTGGCAAAACTAATTTCTTTATGTGTTTCGCAATTTCTCTTATATTCAATTACTAAGAATGAAAATGAATCATTATAGTTGGAACACTTTGTCAAAACATCACTTTCAACTAATTTTCATTTTCAGCATAACCAAACAGCGACACAAAGTCATCTAGAAAATACTTTCCTTAACCAAGTTATTTCCCATGAAGCAAATGGAACCTAAACTGAACTACATTTGCATAATTACTATCATCCACCATCTCTTCCATCCAAACACAATTGCAACCACCACAACATTTCTCCTCTTTTTTATTCATAATCAGTTGCACAATCATATATTAATAAAGTCTAGCCATCATAATCAAAAGATTTAAAAAAGAAACTCATACCAAAGCTGCAAACGAACAGTTCGATCTTCAAGATACATTGTTTTGGACAAAAAATCAATCCCAATGGTAGCCTGCAATTCAAGTCAGAAAACTAAGATCTGATACACAGGTCAATTCATATATAATCATTTCATTCCAGCTAAAACAATTCAATATCAATATGAACTACGTATTCATGCAAGATCCATTTTTAAATCTTTGTTGAAATTCCAATTCCTTAATTCACTCAAATCAAAATTATAAGCATAAACTAATTGTCCAATAACGTAACGTATAACCAAAAGAAATGGAAAGAAAAACAGAGAAAGAATTGAGCAATAACAAGAGATGAAATGAAATCAAGAAAAATAAAAGAATAAATGACCTGATAAGTAGTGTCGAATTTATCGTACATGAAGCGAGTGATTATGCTGGTTTTGCCTACCGATTGATCTCCCAAGAACACCAGTTTGTATTTCGCTAGTGGAGACACTGTTGCCATTTTTTCTGATTCTTTTTTTTTCGTTGGATACAAAAATTTAGATCTAAATCTCAAACAAATTCTCTCTCAAAAATCACAAAACACAGAGATTTGATGAGAGAGAAGAAGAAGAAGACAAGATACTTGAAGTTCAATCCATTTATATACGGGCGAGGAGAAACCGCCAACCATGACGACGCGGCTCAGTCAAAATGGCTCTTGTGTCTGTTTATACGAACTTCCTATTTTGCCCCTTTTAATATGGATTTTCATTTTGCTACCTACTTGCAATTTTTTAACTTAAAATGTAATTTTCAACTCATCATTAAGTATGGGGATAAGTTACTCGTTAAAAAAAAAAAAAAAAAAAAAGAACGCGCTTCAGTCAAAATGGCTTTGTGTCTGTTTTATACGAAACTTCTAATTTCTTCTGCCATTTTAATTAATGGACTTTTTCATTTGCTACCTACTTGCAATTTTTTAACCTTAAAGTAATTTTTCAATCATCATTAAGGTATGGGGATAAGTTACTCGTTAAAAAAAAATAAAAAAAAAAATGTAATTTTCAACTTATCACTCACAGCATGGATAGGGAGTAAACAGGTTTTTCAGAATTAATTGATTTCATTTTTTTTGGAACCTACGATATCGGTTTAAAGTTCCTAGAATCGACGGTTTCGGTTTCTAAAATTTGAACCTGAATCAAAATGAAACCGATGGTTTTCCGATTTCGGTTTGAACCCAATGCTTATGGCTCTAATTCGGTTTCTTTTAACGGTATAAAAAAAAAAAAAAAAAAAAATGTAATTTTCAACTTATCACTCAGCATAGGATAGGGAGTGAACACGGTTTCAGAATTATTGATTTCATTTTTGGAACTACCGGTTTCAGTTCTAGAATCGACGGTTTCGGTTCTAAAAAATTTAGAACCTGAATCAAAATGAAAACCGATGGTTCCGATTACGGTTTGAAACCAAATGCTTATGGCTCTAATTTCGGTTCTTTAACGGTATGAAATTAATGGTTCTGGCCGATTTTTCAATTGATTTTTTGAAGAATTGCATAATTATAAAATCAAAAATTAGGAAACATTTTTTTATTGAAAATTTAAAATTTAAATATTTATGAAATAATTTTTACAAAAAACTTTAAAAAACATTAATAAAAAGACTTAACTTAATTTATTTGTTTTAAAAAAGCTTACCTTTTTTTTGAAAAAGGGCTTGAACTTAATTTTTTTTTTTTAGAAAAATGCTTGAATTTAATTTATTTTTTAAAATGAAAAGGGTACTTATAGTAAATCAAAAAAATTAATTTTCCACAAGTACCTTTAAAATTAGTTATTATGTAGCTGTTAGAACGAGAGATTTTACAAAAATAAAGAAAAATAAATGTTGAAACTGGGTGGAATTGTCGGTTTTGGCCGATTCTTAGAACCGCCGATTCACAGTTCCTAAAAAATTAAAACTAGAATCGAATTGCAGACTCCCGATTCTAGTTTCTGTTCATACTGATTTCGGTTCATCATAGTTCAGGTTTCATTTCCCCACCAATTTTGAACCAGTAGTTTCAATTTTAAAAACCGTGAAATGGCCACCCCTAGTATAGGAAAATTTACTCGTTAAAAAAAAAGAAAAAAAATGTACATTAATTAAATAATAAAGGGAGTTTGGTTTCACTTTTAGTTCAGGTAAGTCTAGTGCTACAAACCTAAAGTAGACCACCTCTTAAAAAGTTCAACATATCCATATCATACTCGTACTCGTGTTGGATACTAATGCTTCTTGAATCCTTTAGCACATGTATCAGACACTTTAAAAAATGTGTCTTATTTCTTTTATTTTATTAATTTCAGACACTTTAAAATATCTATAAAGGCTTGAAGAACACTCTTAAGGACACTTTGAGGAAACTTTAGAGACAGATTTGAAAATTAAAATATGGAATATCATACTGGCTTAATTGGATGTCTTTTTTAAAGATGTTGGAATTTTTAAAATTGACAATTTATCTCCAAATAAGTCAGACACTGGGATTTTCAATAATAATGTTAATTTTAAATTTAACTAATTATGTTGAAATAAGAAATTAAGAATTTTTATTTTATATTTGTAATTTATCATAAATGTTTGTTTATTACTTGAATTACTAATAAATTATATTTATTTTGTCCCATTTTATTTGCATAGTTTGACAAAACATGCATATTAAGAATTCAATCAACAAAAATTATTTTATCTTTTTTTATCTTTAGCTCAATGAATATATTAATAAAAGTCTCTTATTTAATGAAAAATTATAAAAGTTATTATGAGAAAAATAATTGTTTATATATCTAAATTTAAAAACCTTATAAATATTTTGGTACATTCAAAAAATGAATAACAAGCAATAAAATGTGCCGAGAGTATTTATTTACTGTAGCATAAGCGTTGTCCTACTTTCATTGGTTATGGCTTTCCTTGTATTTGAGCCTCCTTATAGTTTCCCCGGATAGTTTTCGAATCGCAACTACCTACCTATTCTATTCGGCTCACCGGTGCACCACACCACTTCCATCACTGCTCATCGTTGCTTATCATGGATAACGTGATCTGATGGAGATAACTCAGTTGGAACCCATTGTTGTGTTCAACTTCCGTTAGCTTATTCTTTTCCACTCTTTATCCACAGCTTAATAAATTAAATAAGCTCAACAACTATTAGGCTTTTAATATTAATTAGGCAATTAGTTCTTTCAAATCCCAAATTAATTACACCCTCTTAGCTCAAGCCCAAAGCTCACAAAATGGTTCAACACATATACTCGAAAATATTTCTATACAAGTATCTAGTTAAATCAATTCGAAGTTGAGAAACTTGTATTCAAAGAAAAAAAGGTTGTTAATCATTCTTTAGCATATGAAATGAAATTCAATAACACATGAAAGGCCAAAACAAATGTTCACTTATCATCCTTGTATGGGTATTCTTCTGGGACCTGCTTTAGAAGCTTTACCTGCAACTCAAATGCATCATCACCTCGAAGCATATCACGAAGCCATGTCACTTCAGCTTTCATCGACACCTAAAACCAAAAGATAAAATGAAATGCTGCAACAAAGTCCATAGACAAAGATCAAAAGACTCGTGAGATTTGCACAAAATGAAATTTGCACAAAGAGCATTATTTGCACAACCTCAAGATGGCCCAATTCCAAAGTTAAATTTTTCCAGCTAATAAAATAAACAGAAGTAACTGTCCTAAAATGGAAGTTTCTTAAAAAGACTTCATGTCTATCCAGTAGAAAATCAAAATGATGCTTGCCACTCTAAACAAAAGGAAACTACAGTCATCAACACTATATCCAATCACTAGATAACTCTCATTTCGCAGTTGAACAATGAGGATCAGACTAGTACATAAAGAAAACCTCAACTGCATGATTCACTTGACAAAATCAATAAATGCAATTGATGAACAAAACCCATCTTTTCCTACTTTATATCCATCTATTATAGTGAGATCAAAAGGGCAAACACAAGGAACAAGGGTGAAGGAAGTCCAAAGAGTATAAAGGGCCATGCCTAATTGCAATGCTGTGTGTAAGAAGAGAATAAAACTCACCATCTCTAATGCCCCTCTAATGACTCCACTTAAAATGTTGCAATAGCATAGGCCTTGACATGTATCAGGAAGCTCAACAAAGTCCACCAGAGGATTATCATCCAAAATAATACTGCAACATGTCCCCTCAGCATCCCAATTCGTTACAGATGCACCCACCCCTAAGAACATTTTGAAACCCACCTGTATAACAGCAATTTACTGAAAGAGAAAACTGAGACATAATTTTAAATTACAAATAAATATGCAATAGCCAACAACACTAAGAAGCTAAAAAAAAGCAACAAAAAATCCCTTCTTTGGATATTAAAAAATAAGTTTGAAATTGCCACCAAGCAGCCAGTTTAGTTTGAAGGATAATTCTGAAATTATAGGACTACCACAGTTCCAAAAGTGGACATGGGCAAACATTTTGAGACCTCAACGCAGTTCTCAAAAAACCTATTTTTTTCATAAGTAGATATGTTAGAAGTCGGTATTGTTTGAAGCGACAAGTCAGCACTCCATTTTACCACAAATGGTGTTGTTAAATGTGCCGCAAGACGCCACAAGCCACAGTATCTGGCTAGACCTGTGACGAGATCCTACACTAGGGCACTTAACACTGTGCCTGACAATACCCGGATCGGGCACAATCTGGCTAGGCTTGCATAGGCCCTCAGGCACAGCCTTGGTCATAGGCACTCCGGTAATTTTTTTTTTTTTTAAATCTCCAATTGTTATAACTGATTGTGGTCCAGATCTTTTAGAAATTGAATATTCCTTTAGAAACCTAGTTTAAAAAGGAAACTTTTGAACTTCCTCACACCTTGTGACTTTAAGAGCACTGCCACCAACTCTAACTTTCTTTTTTACCGACTTAACTTTTTCCATATCTATTTTACAAGAATAACTTGTTCAATCAACATAAAAAGAAAAAGGCACATCCATAAAGATATCTGAGATATCAACAATCAATTAATTCGGATCACAAAACAAATCAGGACTACTTGGCAACAGTTCAAGAGCTACTAGATAAAAGCCATGTTCGAAACAAGGATGTGTAGAACAATCAAGAAGAAATTTAGGCCAACAGATTTTATGGTGCATATGAAATAAAATCACACTCATACCTTTGCAATCACTTCAGCTGTCTCCCTAAAGTCCACACACCTGCTGACATTAGATTTTGCTAGAAACTCATCAACCAGTCGAATTCCAATATTATAACCCCTGCAAATTAACGAAATAACCAAAAGATATTAGTTCAAGTTCCACACTATGTAATCACCTCATCGACAAAATTCTACTGCACATTATCACGTGAACACCAGAGCTAATCCCAGGGTAATTAAACAAGAAGTTCTAAATTACTAATGTCAAATATAGCTAGACAGCATTAGTTCAGCTCTATCCTCGTTCCAATGCCAAGGTCATAGCTGAATGAAAATTTTACAGTGATTCATCGTTGTATAAGAGCACGTGAGAAAACGAAAGAACTACCTCTGGGACTATATACATAGGCCGAGTCATCTCCCACACAAGCACATTCACATCCATGAAAGCAATGAGCAGTTTTATTGTTGTATAATGTGATGATAAAGTTCTGAACAATACAACCGGCCAGGTTCCAAAATTTCCAGTTTCCCATGGTAGGACATTGCTTCCAAGTGTGGCATATATATGGAATACAAAAACTAAACACTGTGTAAGTGAAGTGAACAAAACCAAATAATAAGGTAATAAGGGCCATAGCCATCATTTCCCCTAGTTACTCTTTCAGAGAGAATGCAATACCTCTTCATGGTTGAGCTCTAAAAAACCGGTGATGCCACAGCTCCCCACCAAAATCAAAATTAAGCGAGGTAAAAAGTTTTATTCTTGACATTGTATTCATACTCTCGAAACAACACAGACAATATTGAGCTAAGCAAAGTACAAATAATGCATAATTGCGTACATTTGATCTAGCTGTTTGTTGACTTCTTCAACCTCTTCCAGATCCGTAAGCAACTGACGTACAATCGCCCCATAGGTTAAACTAAACAGCTCCGCATTCTACAAAATTTCACCATCCAAGATTTCAAGTTATCAACAACACGTCTGAAACAGCACGATTTCCAATTCCAATAGAAAATATCAGTTTGGATACCGAGAAATTGAGAACCCAAGCAAAATCTTAAAAAATCAACAGGGAGTCAGTTAAACAATAACAGAAAAACAATTTTGAGGCGAATAATTAAAAAAAAAATTCTATTGGAATCGAAATGAAATTTAGGCAAATCGTAGGTAATAAGGAGAAAAATAATAGATTTAACAGTAGATTCTTTTCGTGTTTGATTACTGATAAAATGCAAAGGAAAAAAATGTACCACGCGCTCAACACTAGCGAAGATTGCATCACCAGATCGAGGACCAACAGGAGCCATTGATATTATGTAGAGATCTAAACCGAGAAAGTAACAAGAAGTTCTGATTGTGGGTTGATCGGTGCTCTGCTAAAAATCCCTTCTAATTTTACTGTATGAACTCAAAAATAATAAATAAAGTATTATTTAAATCTTATAATTCAATAAAATCTATAAATTAAGAGTTTTATTTTTAAAATTTTATTAAACAATTTAATTTTCTCCTTCAACTAAATAATACTCTTCCGTATAGGCGAATTAACAAAAATTAGTTATTTCAGTTAGAAATATAAATTTACAAATATTTTTCTTATACTGTATGAACTCAAAATAATAATGAAGTATCTATTTAAATTTATAGCATGTCAAGTAGAAATCTATAAATTAAGAGTTTTATTTTTAAAGAGTTTTATTTAAACAATTTAAATTTTCTCATCCATTCAAACTAAATACATGACTCTACCGTATGAGGGAATTAACAAAATTAGATTTATTTTCATGTTAGAAATAATAAATATTACAATATTTTTCTATTTTAATTAATTTATTATATGACTTTTTGAAATCAATTTAAAAACTGAATTAATTATTTAAGATGGATTAATATGAATTGACAAATGGAATAAGTTTAGTAAATATTCATATTTCAATTTTCAAGTGATTTGCGAAGAAGATATAAGATATAGAAAATTATAGAATAATTGATAAAAATATATATTAATAATACAATAACAAATATAAATATAAATATAATAGATTTTTGACACAATCAACTAATTTTATTTATTAATTTATTATTGACTTTTTGCATCAATTAAAACTAATTAATTATTTAAGATGGATTAATATGAATTGAAAATGGATAAATTTAGTAAATATTCATATTTTCAATTTTCAAAGTGATTGCGAAGAGATTATAGTACTGAAAATTATAGAATAATTGATAAAAAAAACTTTTTTAACAAATAACATTAAATATAAATATAATAGATTTTTGACACATCAACTAACTTATTAAAATAGTAAGTGGAATATAATTAGCGACAAACTAAAAAGAAAAGTATGCTTATCAATCGGGAACAAAGGAGTAATTAAATAATTACTTGATAAAATTTTAATTTTTTTTTTCTTATTTTTTTATTGGCACAGATAATTTTATTGATTATATATATTATTTGTCTAAGAAAAACCTAATATATCTAAGCACTAACCTAGCCAATACACTCCTTCTTACATCCAAACCTAGCAGGAATACATTAAGTAAGAAAAAACAATCAAAACCTCTGAAATGAAACAGGAAACAAAAGAGACTATAATTGAGCGAAAAAACAAATATTCCATATAGAACTAAACCTTCACTAAACTTTACTATCAAGCCTCAAACTTTTCAATTTTTGGCGATTAAGCCTCTGAATATTTAAATTATTATTTTCAATGACATGGAGTATTAATTTAACACTCCTTATAAACAACTTAATTACTTATTAAATTCTTGACTCATCAAATTGTAAAACTATTAAGAATTATTTAGATTGCATAGATATAGACAAGGAATACGGGACATGTGACACGACATGACACGGACAAAATACATGATAATTTTTATAAGAGAAGGATCCCAACATGACACGTTGCACAAAATAAGTATAATTTATTAATAATTCAAATAAGTAAACAATCATTTATAATAAATCATAAATACGAGGAAAAAGTACTATTTACTTCCTCACATTTTGTCAAATTAACTTACTTCGTCCCCCTATTTCAAAAAATCAATTAAAAGGTCTCCATAAATTGTTTCCGTCGAACTAAAAGGTCCCTCCGTCTAAAAAGAGGCCTTTTCACACTTAATCATTAGGAAAAAAAAATACTCTTTAGTCCCTTTAGTTTTGTCAAATTAACTGTTTCATTCCCTTATTTCAGAGAACCAATTAAAAGGTCCCCATGTGAAAGACAAAAACACCCCTCACCATCTTTCTCTCTCAGTCCCTCTGTTTCCTCGCTTTAATCCAAATTCTCAATTTTCATCTCACTTTCCTTTCTTTGTTGATAACTATTTTCACTTCTATATTTTTTTATTTGTTTAAATATTTTTATAATACTTCTTTATTTAGTTATAATAGTTTGACATTTTTTTATTTATTTAAATATTTTTATAACTCGTCAACATAATTCTTTATGGTTTCTAAAACCACAATTTGACATCTTTTTCTATATATTTTCTTTTTACATTTTTTATTTTTTACAACTTCATTTCAAAAAAGAGAAAAGGAACGGAAAGAAATTTTTTTTTCTTTCGTTGTCTTGGCAACTAATTAGAACAAAAAAATATTTAAAAAATAAAAAATGAAAGAAAAGGGAGATTGAAAGAGGAAACAGAGGGACTGGGAGAGAGAAGACGAGGGACGTTTTTCTCTTTTCTATGAGAATCTTTTAATTGGTTCTCTTAAATACGAGGACAAGATAGTTAATTTGACAAAATTAAAGGGGCTAAATAGTACTTTTCTTTAATAATTAACGATGGAAACAAACTATGGGGACCTTTTAATTGGTTCTCTGAAATAAAGGGACAAGTAATTAATTTGACAAAACTAAAGGGATTAAATAGTATTTTTTCTCTAAATATGAAATAAAAAATATTTAATTTCTTATTTCAACATAATTAGTTAAATTTTCGAAATTGACATTATCATTGAAAATTATAGTATCTCTAGCTTACTTAGAGATAAATAATTTCAAAAATTTCAACCTTTTTAAAAGAAATCAAATTAATTTCATACAATATAATATCTATCTACGGTAAAAACGTTGGCTTTACATTCCATATTTTAGTTTATTCAATATAATATTATTGACTCTTTTTTTTTTATATAAAAGCCTTGTGAATTACTGATTTTTCAAATCAATATTGTGAATTTGTTCTTGAATTTGGTAATAATAGATATATAGTAGATTACAAATTATAAATTGTAAAACAGAATTTATAATTCATGTATGTATCTCTTAATTTTGTATTTTAAATATTAATAATTAATAAATATATATCTAAAATAATAATTTTAAAATTTTTATTAACAAATTTATCTAAAAATCTAATAAAATGTTCAAATGTGTCTCTAAAGTATCCTCAAAAGTGTTCGACATATGTCCGAAAATGTTTGAATAAAAAGTCAATATCCAACGCGATTATATTGAACTTTTTAAAATGTACATGTAACTTAGAAAATTATTTGTGGTAGATTTTGTAGAACTTCTCTTAAGAAACGGCTGAACCTGCCATTGAAGTTTTACCACATTAGATTATAAAATTATTAATAACTACTTAGCATTTTCACCATATAATTTATTTTCAGAGGGTTCTAAAAACTTAGACTCAACGCACTTGGTATTTGAAAGATGAACTCATTTGTTTGTTCCTTCTTCTGCAATTGCTTCCGATGGAAATAAGAAATACATTATATATTTATCAAAAATGCTTTATGGATCAAATCCACTAAGTGCAATAAATGATAATGTTTAAAGACTAATTTATCCTTCATCAATTTGGAAAGAATTTGTGAAGAGAAATAATTGCATAATGGAAATTAAAAAAAATTGTAGCAATTAATGCTCAATTATCTCTAAACTTACTTTGTGCCCCGTGGCTATTTAACGAACTCTTCAAATCTCAGGGGACTTTTTATTGGCTAAAAGTAAAGAGTGGCAGCGCAATGACAATTGTGGTTTTGATAGTTTGTAGTTTAGCGAATTTCTAGTGTCGTTTTAACATGTGCTATAAGTTTAAAGATATTTATTTGAGAAAGAAAATATTTTAAAATTATTATAACACAAGTCTCCAAATTACCAAAATATATGAAACACAGTACCAACATAAGCATAAACATTAGCATATACATTAGAAATATATGAAAGATCTTGGAACATCCAAATTTGAAAACCTTTCAAACATTTTAGGACATTCAAAAAATGAATAAAATGGGACGGAAGGAGTAACGGATAGAAGGCATCAACATGAAAAAAATAAATCTTTAAAAACAACCATTAACAATTAAAATTTGTAAAGTTGAAGGGCCTAACAAAATTCAGAGATTTCACAGCCAAAATTAAAAAACTGAGAAGCATTAAATTAGTCTTAATGTCATTGGAAATAACAATGTGAGAGTCCAATATAAATAATAAACAGAACTTTATAAGTTCTCAATAGCCAAAACTTGCAAAGTTAAAGAGTTTTAGCATGAATGATTAATCAATTCTTCACTCATAGTAAATTTGTTTCATAAATTTAAAAATATTTAATTACACATAATAAATTATTACATAATTTATAACTTCAACGAAAGTCAAATCACATATAAGCTATCCATACAATAATCATACCAATATTAAATATGAAATAGTTCTTTTGCTAATTTGCTTCCTCCTCCTTATTCCATGCTATCCATGAACCAAACAACACTGAGAAGCTAAAATTTCCCAGATGTCAAGATGAGGTTTTCCAGTCCTTTAACTGGCAGTTGCTATTGTTACTGCAAGCCTCAAATTACATCAGAATTCATATCTTTTCTACGACCCAGGTATATACAAAATTTCTGTTACAAGGAATTACACAATGACCCAGAAATCTCAACAATTTTTCTGTTACAGGAATATACACAATGACCCAGAAATCTCAACAAATCATTAAGTGAATCTGCACCAAAACTCAATAGATGGCAAACCCAACATTTTCAAAAAATGAACAGATTTGATCTCACTAATGAAACTACACACTTCAAAGCATGCAATATTTTTTAGACAAACAAATTGCTAAGAAAACCTTTCAGGCTGTGTACACATAGGCAGAGCACAAGATAATCTAATTGGTCTTGTATTGAAATACCGTGGTTGAAATTGACCAGCTCAGGGCTAACATTTCCTGTTTGCAAATAAGAAAATGGGTGATCGATGCAAAGTCAATTTTGAAGCAAGTAAATATAGTGATAAAAAAAGTTGAAATATTCAACCATCCATCATCTTCACCTAACACTGACTACCATTCCAGCTCACCAAACCAGTTTCTACATTTATATACTTGGTCCCCACCCCACTTTATTACTTGGTCCCCACCCCACTTCATTCCATGTTCTTCCATCTATCTAATATGCTTATGAATTTTCTATCACTCCTAACTTACACAACACATATTTGATCACTATGAAGAAATCCCTTCCAGCTGATCGGCCACAGAACTCGGGGAGTGACTCCGATAGTATTGATCAAGTTTACGAGCAAGGCATCATAGTTCCATCCAACGTCATTGCTTTGGCTGATAGCTTTGAGAGGAAGGAACAATCATGGTATAGCTAGAATTAATTAAAGCATGGTTCAGCCTTCTCAACCCAGCAATTAAAATTGGTTTGAAGACAGCTAATGATATACAATGTGTTTGTTTCTAGAGAATGCCTGAACTAAAGTCAGAATACCTTGGCATAATTCAGTTTTCTCTTGTGCTATCTCAGTCATTTTTTCAAGCACTTTGGTACGTAGCTTACTCACTCTCTTTGTGTTGATGGGATCATGCAGGTCCGTTACTTCCCAGATTCCAACAGATCTAACAATACAAGTTCAAGACATAACTTTTACTGTTCACAAGGTAACTTGAACATAATAGAACTACATGCATTTCTCTCTCACACGCGCAAAGAGTTCCATAAAGTACACTAAAAGCACACAACGAATCTTCATTTTGTTCATGAATAGGGCATTATATTGTGAAAACATAAGGAGATAAAGAAAGTATGTTGAAAAGAAAGTTGGAAAAGAGAATTTAGTGTTCACTATTTCATTTGCTAACCTAATTTAAATATTATTTACAATGACACACACCCCTTAACAAAATCATGGCAATTTTCTATATTCTCAACAAACTTGTGAGTTGAAAATAGAATCTCATATAGATTATTTAGATTTATCAATAAGAATTATTTGATTATAGATTATTTAGATTTATCAATAAGAATTATTTGATAAAACTATTTAAGAGTGGTTTTGACTCATCTAAAAAAATAAAAACTAAAAAATAAAAAAGTGATTCTTGTTTATTCTAAAATAATAGAAATGCAATGAAAATTACGTTTATTTGTGCGTCTGTGTGTATTAACGTTAGGCTGGACGAGATGGGATGGAATTATTTCGAGACATCTGTCATTCTTCCCTTGATCAAATTTTTTTTAAGTTCCCAGCACCACTAATCTAACAAAGATTTGATAACAAGGACACAATTAACTAGAAAAATTCAAATTGTGGTGTTGTGTTCAAATTACAGTTGGATGGGATTATGAGAGTTCAAGTTTGAGGTGGAGGATAGCTAAACTACCCCCATCAAGTATACGTCAATGCATATCTTATTTCAACAAAGATGACACGTTAAAGAAATGACTAGCAAATGGACAAAATTACAAGGTTTTTTTGCTAAAGCATTTTTGGACGTCATCAAAGAAGATTTCCCAATTCCCTTAACGAATTACATGGTATAATTGCTATTGTTTCAGCAATGATTTACAATTTGAACAGATGTTTTGGATTTTTTTGTGAGTAACTCAAATAGAAATGAACATTTCCACTTGGAGGGAGGAGAAAGGGAAAGAGGGAGGAGAAAGGGAAAGAGAAAACAAGTAATTGCACATATATGCCAGACGTTGAACTTACATTGCTAAACATAATAATAATTGTTACAGAACTTCTTGGAGTCTACTTGCATATAATTGGAACTATTTTCCTCATTTACGCACATTTTCTCGTTCATTTCACATCTTTACCCCCTATCTATATATCCCCACATAAAACTAATACTGAAAATTCTAAATGCATAAAAACTAAACTAAATGTATACTAGATTGTTCTCGATCTAGTTCCATTCAATAACCAATCACACATTAATGGATTCAGGACATAACCATAACAAGTAAAATTTATAAATTAAGTCGTATTTTTTGCTAACACATTCATTTCTCCTGACAGTTATCCTTGCTTATCAAAATGTGGCTACATAGGCCGTCTAGAACTTCAGCCATCAATTATCCTTTGCTATCAAAATGTGGCTACATAGGCCGTCTAGAACTTCAGCCATCAATTTCAAATTTTGGGTATGAACTCAAGCTTGAAAACTTCCCAGGAGGACCAGAAACATTTGAAACCATTCTAAAGTTTTGTTATGGACTTCCATTAGACTTAAAACCTAACAACATAGCTGCACTAAGGTGTGGAGCAGAATTCTTGGAGATGAGTGACGAACTTGAAGATGGAAACCTCATTGCAAAGACAGAAGTTTTCCTCACATTTGTAGTCCTTTCCTCATGGAAAGATACCATCATTGTTCTTAAATCCTGTGAAACTTTATCTCCATGGGCAGAAAATCTCCAGATTGTTAGAAGATGTTGCGATAAAATTGCATGGCAAGCTTCTAGAGACAATTCAACAATGGAAGAAATAGTTAATGACGAAGGATGGTGGTTCGATGATGCAGCTATCCTTAGAATTGATCATTTCATGAGAATAATAACTGCGACAAGGGCAAAAGGAACAAAACCAGAGATCATAGGTAAATGTCTAATGCGTTATGCAGCAGTATGGTTGCCCGGCATGGATGTGGAATTCAAAGGACTGAGAGGTTATGGATACGGAAAAAATGAGTTACAGTTTAGTATCTCGAATGGGAGGACTGAAGATGAGGGTGTTGGACACAGCAAGGAGAAAAAGACCATCATTGAGAGTCTAGTAAGTCTACTTCCTCCCCAACAAGAAGCTGTACCATGCAAGTTCTTGTTGATGATGTTAAAGATGGCTATTCTGTACTCAGCATCACCAGCTTTAATTTCAGAGCTAGAGAAGAGAGTGGGATTGATACTGAACAACGCTAGTGTGAATGATCTTTTGATTCCTAATTATAAAACTGAAGATCAAGGAAAAATCATGAAGTGAGAATTCTACCACTTTTCTCTTTCAAAATTGTTTGACTTGGAACAAAAGAAAAGAAAAATGAAAATAGTAAAACAAACTTCTTGTGATAAATCTTCTACACCTGCTTATTATCATTAACTTCACAACAGACAAACAGAGCAATCCACAATGCACAACATAGATGTGGTACAAAGAATTGTAGAGTACTTCTTGATGCATGAACAAGAACAGCAGCAATTGCAACCAATGTCAGAAAAATCAAATGTTAGTAAGCTCATGGACAGCTACCTAGCTGAGATTGCAAGGGACCCAAATCTTTCCATTATCAAATTTCAAGCTTTGGCAGAAGCACTACCAAAAAATGCTAGGACATGTGACGATGGCCTCTATAGCGCCATTGATACCTATCTCAAGGTTTGCCTTTAGTTCTTTCTCTATTTCTCGTAATTTTAGCTAACCAAACTTGAAGGGCCTAAAAATATAGTATCCTTTCCAGACTCATCCTTCACTTTCTGAGCATGACCGGAAAAGGCTATGCAAAATTATGAACTGTGAGAAACTATCACTGGATGCGTGCATGCATGCTGCACAAAATGACAGGTTGCCCGTAAGAACAGTGATTCAGGTAAAAAGTTTATAAGAATTCTTGATCATAAATTCTATCACTGAAATCAGACACTCTAGCCAGCATATCCCCACTGCACATTACATATAATGATTTATTTTCAACTAGCAGTAAATTAGATGGTAAGGCCTAAAGGACACCCCCAAGTACTAAGGAGCATACAACAAGATTAATATTAGTAGGAATTCAAGATATTATGCCAATAAAAACCAAAAAAATTCACAAAAACATACACCAAGCTCTTACTACTTTTTCTAGATAAAGCTGACATAAACTTCCTTGTATCAGGGGGCATTAGATTATATGTATCTTTTTAACTCCTTAAGCACAAATGTTTGCCCTTCTGCTTTATCCTCTAATTATTGTTTATATCATGTGATTCCTCTCCATCACAACACAGACAACCCAACCATCTCATGTGTAACGTCCGCATTTTATCATGTTATATACCCCCCCATTTTCATGTTATATACCCCCCCCCCCCACCCCCCCCCCCCAAAAACAAATGAAACAAATGATGTATCAAACCAAAAGAAAATCATGTGATATACTTAGTCATTGGCTCATTGGCCCATAAAAGTAAACTAATACACAATACTGAGATGCCAAGACTGTTAACTTTGGATACCAACATTATGAAAATATGTACACTTTGTAGCAATCTTGTAGCAAATCTGGCCATCTAAACATGTTTAAATTTGTAAACTTTGTTCTCTCCTTTAATTAAAATCTTTTGTTATTAAGACCATGTCAACTATCCTTCAAACTGAAACCACAAATCCATTAACAAATTATAATCGTTGTAATTTACTCCACCAGTTAATGCTTGCACTCCTAAAGCACAGAAGTTGTCAATATTTACTACTGTCGAATATTACTAAGCAAAAAGCGTTACTTGTGATGTGGAACTCAAGCTAAATTTAAAAATGCATTAAACAGTCTTCAAATTAAAGAATTCATAAACAACAAATTAGAATGCTATGTTTAAGCATTTAGTGCCTACGACACACATATCTATAGGCCTCAACAAAAGAAAACAGGACATTTGCTGTGAGACAAATGATTACACTGACATTTGCTGTGAGACAAATGATACACTCAGCAGACACAAACCATTAGTGCTTAGAGCACTATATAAAGGCCTCAAAACAAAAGAAACCGACATCTTCCACGAGACAAATAATACACTCAGCAGATACAAACCCGATAAACTCACCAATCACAAGCAAAACATTTAATTCAACCAAAATACAATTTTATCTCAGGACAAAATGAATGGATATGCAGGTGTTGTTCTCAGAGCAAGTAAAAATGAGGTCGGCAATGAGAGGAAAAGAGCCAACAACAACTAGCAATAACTCAGAACAGGAGGTGAGTCAAGCATCAACGAGAACAGAAATCATGACCCTGAAAGCAGAACTTGAGAATGTAAAGACACAGATGGCAGAGCTGCAACAAGACTACTCAGAGCTGCAACATGAATATGGAAAGCTAAACAAACAGCAAAAACATACATCAGGCTGGAATTTGAGTTGGAAAGAGATCAGGAAATCCGCTCTTTTCAATAGAAAAATGGATGGGGAAAACAGGGAAGGGCCAGACAATCCCAAATCACCAGTACACAAAATGAACTTCAGAAGAAGACAATCTGTATCATAGTTTTAAATTTAAATATTAAAAAGAAAAGAAAAATTGAAGTCTCAATTGTGATCGCATCAATTTAATTCCACAGGAAGGCCATTTCTTAAGGTAGGGCATAGAGGAAACAAATAAATCCTAGGTATATAATGTATTGTCATATCCTGCTTCTAAAAGTTCTGATGAAACTCTTCCACATTTTTCTTTAATAGACAAAACAACAAAATATGTAAGAAAAAAATTCATTGAAGCTTAAAATTTGAAGCTTAGTCACTTTCTTGTGGGAAAAAGCACTCGCATTCACATAGAAGGTAACGCCATTAGAGGTTGGGCCATTTACTTTGACACATTCATCAAGAAGGATTTTGACAAAAAAAAAAAAAAGAAAAGCACAAAATTTGAAGTGCTGATGTAGCAAAACTAACCTTTTGAAGTGCTGATGTAGCAAAACTAACCTCGACCTTAATTAGGTTATAACTTTAAAAAGAGTTCAAAAGAGTAAATTAATAGAACATAATTCAACCAAAATGGCCTGCATCTTCCGGTGACACAACCAGGAAATAGACCAATAAACTAGTTTTTATATTACTCAAAATTTTCAAATCCTTAAATTTGCCTGTAGATAGAAATTACAGTTCTTTAGCATATACTCCTATTAGAACAAAGTCTTAATTATAAATACTAATAGAATAAGGACCAAAGTCTTAATTGGGAAGAAAGCATGTTTGAGCATCATAGTATTGCCAAAACATGATATGATGGATGCCAACACCATATGATGCAGATTTAAACCCATTAAAGTTTTTTTAACAAAACAAGTACATCACTATAAATAAGTTTCAAAGTTAATTTAACAAACAAGTACCATTGCAAGTACTCCAACATTGATCTCGTTGTATTAATTCCCAAAAGTGAATACAAAGAAAAAAAAAAAAGTGAAATGGGGAAGAAAGCAAAACATGATAGATCATCTGATCATTTGATCTCTTCTTTTTCCACATAGTTTTATTCAAAATATAAGAACTAGTATAGACGCCAAAACATGATAGGATAGATGCAAGAATAATTGATATGGGGAAATCTAACATCTGTGTTGCAAACCTGAAAGTTCACAACTCAGATAAAGGGTAAACATAGAAACTAGTAAGAAAGCAAGACCCAGAAATTCTTGTCTATGTGTCTTTCAATCGACGACAGGTAAATGCTTAAAGTTTAAACTACTGCATGAACAATAACGCAAACATATACAGAGAGGAAAAAGAGTAAATGCTGATATCAAATTCTTCACTTGTAAACCATATAAAAGCACAGTACTTATTCATATTGTATAGCATCCAAGACCCAGAAATTCTTGTCTATGTGTCTTTCAATCGACGACAGGTAAATGCTTAAAGTTTAAACTACTGCATGAACAATAACGCAAACATATACAGAGAGGAAAAAGAGTAAATGCTGATATCAAATTCTTCACTTGTAAACCATATAAAAGCACAGTACTTATTCATATTGTATAGCATCCAAACAGTACCAATCAAAAAGGTTCGTCAAGCTCATCAAAACCCCTAAAAAATAAAATCAAACTACCTACTAGCACTCCTCATGCTGCTCCATGGAAACTTGGCGTTCTCCACGGTAAAGTCACCAACGCCACCACGATCTCTCCTTCTTCCTTTCTCACTCCCAACTCTCTCTTCCTTCTTTCCGTCCAGCCAATGCTTTTTCCCTTCACCATCTTCCACAATACTAGACCTCCTCTGCTTGTTCATTCTCTCCTTCTCCTCCTCAATAATCCTTAGTGGATAAAGATCAGGAGATACAGAAAGCGGGTTTCTCAAAGTAACATAGGCCTTTTTGTAGTCAGGTTTCGCTAGTAGTATTCCACCGCGCTTCTTCTTCTTCCCTTCCATGTTAAGAGTACGGACCTTGTCGACCTCGAAGCCATATAGGGATTCAAGGACTCGCTTGATTTCAATCTTGGAGGCTGAAGGAATGGTTTTTAAGGCAATTTCTCTGATGTTGGTGAAAGTAGTGGGCATGAGGAGCTTGATCGGAAGGTTTGCAAAATTAACCACTCTTCTTCCCAGTCTGCTCCCCATCTGTTTGTGTTTTTGCTCGTCTAGCTGCTCGAACGATAACGAGTTTTCAGACACACATATACACACATTCATCATATATGCATTCCACGTTAAACACGTATTAAATAAAAATAGCATATTTTCATCATTTGACTTCAACTTATTAATCATATATAAGTTATCTTCTTACATATGAATCTTATTTATTCCATAGAAGGAGTTTTTGTTTAAACCATCCCCTTAGCATCAATAACTAAATCACATCTCTAAAGAACAATGATACAAATTTTAATCATTAAACAACTTGACTTTAATCTGGTTGCGAATAACGCTGAAGGGGAAAGCAATGAAGACTATGTCAAGACATGACAGGAATTACTCCGCAGTTACATCTAGACTTATGAACTTTTGTTCTGAAACCACCTTTGTCACGACCCGTTTCCATGGTAAATCCATTAAAACAACTTACTTTAATCTGGTTTTGTGGCGGGAAAAATAACGCTGTCAAGGGAAAAAGCAAATTGAAGACTATGTCAAGGACCATGACAGGAATTTACTCCGCCAGAGTTCACATTCTAGAACTTTATTTGAAGTCAAGACATGACAGGAATTACTCCGCAGTTACATCTAGACTTATGAACTTTTGTTCTGAAACCACCTTTGTCACGACCCGTTTCCATGGGCCGGACTAGCACTAGGACCCAGGTAAGCTTAAGGCCTCCGAGGCCCGTAGTAAGCCTAAATTATTCAATCTATCTTCTTATCTCTCCCAATTTCATCAGAACAGTAAGCTTATAAAATATAAGTTTATAGAAATATTCAAACATCTGGCCCAATCTCAAATACTACATAAAATTTAACGAGGACCTATTCACAATAAATCATATTCACACTATGGGCTTACTGGTTCACATGCAGTTAATTACACAATATTTAATTTATAGCGTAGTGCTAACAATAAGGCCCAATTATAATACACAATCCTATACCTGCGGAGTTCAACAATAATCTGATAGTAGAGTAATTTATACAACCCAATGTAAATAACAGAAATATAAATTTTTTACATTTGTAACTCTGCGGAGAAGATTGCAGAGCTTCAGTCGAACCAACTACTTCTTAGTACCTGAGAGATTTATTTGGGGGGTGAGTTTTGCAACTCAGTGAATAATAATAAATAATACACACCACATACAGTCAAGCAAAATGCACCCTAATATACTGAATGAACACACAACAACACACAGTCAATCCCTAATATACTGAATGAACACACAACAGTCAATCATATGGCATCATATCAGAACCCACAATTAATATCACCTTCAGATAATCACATCACGTGGAAATTAGTCAGTGGAGTCACCAAAATCCGATGAGCCGTACTCTCACATGGCCCATCCTTTCAGATTAAAAAGAAAACAGTATATCAGTATTACGGTTTCCGGATCCATATCACAGTAAACAGTATCTCAGTATTATAGTTTCCGGATCCATATCACAATAAACAGTATCTCAGTATTACAGTTTCCGGATCCATATCACAATAACAGAATATAACCGTACCGGTAATCAGAACAGGATCCATATAACAATAACTGAATATAACGGTACCGGTAATCAGAACAGGATCCATATAGTAGTAACAGAATATAACGGTACCGGTAATCAGAACAGGATCCATATAACAGTAAGGTAACGAATATAACGGTACCGGTACAGAATATAACGGTACCGGTAATCAGAACAGGATCCATATAACAGTAACGGAATATAACGGTACCGGTAATCAGAACAGGATCCATATAACAGTAACAGAATATAACGGTACCGGTAATCAGAACATGATCCATATAACAGTAACGGAATATAACGGTACCGGTAATCAGAACAGGATCCATATAACAGTAATAGTCTCACAAACCTGTGGTGACCCACTTCATTCTAATTCCACACAAACAAAGCACAGAATATACACAGCACAAGTAATCAAATAATGTATTCAACGTAATACACCGATTCCATCTATTTGCACAGTCATCATCATATAATAATAGTGACATAATATATTTAAAAGATACTCAGAATATATTCATATACGGTATGTTATGTAAATACAATGCTGATATGCATTATTTATTATTACTCACTGTGGTGGAGAACGAAGCTCTAACTTTGATTCTGTCTGGGAGGAGCACTAGACGGACCCGGGCAATCTAAGACAATTCAGAATGACACCGAAAAATAATTATATCAGACAAAATATTTATTTAGTACTCTAATAATTTTAAGCTATATATTTAACTTCCCTACATAATTTAATCTCTATAAATAATTTGATTTCTCTACTGAAATTTCGACAGCGTTTCCCCTAAAATTTAACTATCCACCAATCAACTCAGTCAATTATGTCTCAAGTTCTCACAGCCCATCCATCGGGCAATCAATCCAGTCAATTAGTCCCGTTCTCCACATTTTTCCACATCAACAGTATCTTATATTTTTTTCTATAATTCCATAAATCATAATTTCCTAATAATTTATTTATTACTAGAATTAAATTATTTTATTACCCAAGTAAATTTTAATTTATCAATAGATCAACACAATTTAATTTAACTAATCAAAATTGCTAGAATTAAATCAATTAATCACAATCGCTTAATTTAAATCAATTACTAAAATTACTAAAAATTAATTAATTTCTGAGAATTAATAAAAATTAATTTATACCCAATTGTATTCTTGCCGGAGTTTATTTGATCGGTGACGAAAACTACGCGTGCCGGATCGAAGCTACACGCACTGGGACTGTAAATGGGTGGCCGGAGTCGGATCAGAGCAGCTGGACCACCTAAAACCGACGCAAAAACGGACTGAGTTGCAGCGGTGGCGCGATCTGGCGGAGGAACGGCTGGCTGCCCGATGGAGCTTGGCGAATCGTTCCTGGTGGCCGGAGACTTGCTGGATCGACGCTCACTGGACAGATCGGAGGAGCAACCTTCTGTCCCTGCTTGGCTTGAATGGAGAGAGGCGTCGGCGATGGCGGGCTACTGCAGCGTGGAGCAGCTGCGAGGTGGCGCAACGTGGCTGAGCTCGTGGTGGTGGCTCGCGTTTCTGCTGGAGCTGCTGGGATGCGACGCAGATGCAGTCACAGAAAAGAAGAAAGGGAAAGAAAGAAAAGAAAGAAAGAAGAAGATGAAGAAGAAAGGAGGAGATGGCGGCGGCGGCTCTGCGTACCGGTGATTTTGCCGATGGACTGACTAGAGGCGCAGAGAACGGGTAAGGTGAGCGCCGGATATAGAGGGGAGAGGCTTCTAGAAGTGGTTTGGGCTGATTCGGTTCGATTCCGGTTCGATTCAGCCCAAATCTCGATTTTCATTGGATTTTTAATTTTTCAGTTGTTTTTCAATTCGGTTCATCACTGTACGAATTGCATTTAAATAATTAACTGCATTTCCAGGCTGTTAGTTTATTAAATTTAATTAGAAAATTTTTGAAAATAAAAATTCAGGTTATTTCATTAGGCATAGCCGGTTCAGTGAACCGTCGGTTCCGGTTCAATGAAATGCCGGTTCTAGATGTTTAAAATTTTGAACTAAAACCGACCCTTGAACCTCCGATTCTGGTTCCGGCGAACCGACGGTTCGAATTACGGTTCCGATTCAATTCCGGCATTACACAAATTTTTTTAAAAATAATAAAATTTTGATTCAGAATTCATAAATAAATAATAATAATTTTAAAATATTTAAATTTATTAACTAAATAAATTATTAATATTTAAATTTATTAACTAAAATAAATTATTATAAAGTTTTTAAAAACAAAAAAATTCTATTTAACTAATTAGAACTATTTATACATTAAATTTAACAATTTTTGATAATTCACTAATATAGAAAAACTATAAATGCAATATAAATTAATGAAATGAGTTGGAAATTATTATTTTCAAATTACTAAGAAAATTATTTTAAAAAAATCAAATGAAGTAAATTTATAAATTAAAAAAATTAAGATTAGAGGGAAAAAAATGGAATTGGATATAAGGAAAATAAAAATACACAATAGATAATTTCAATGTTAAGGAAAATTAAAGCAATAGAAAAAATAATGAAATATGAAAATTTGAAAGAATTTTGATTGAGAATAAGAGAAGAGTTATGATATAATTAGTTGTAAAATAAAAAATCATCAACTCATCATATTTATACATGTTTCTCATTTATTAGTTTTCTAAATTGTCCCTTATAACAGAAAAATAATAATTATATTTTTGAATAATTTAGTACATTACAGTAAATAAATAAATAAATGATTAAAAAATAAATAAAATTTATTTACCAAAAAATAAATAAAAAACACCTATCATATCAAAAAATATTCGTTATACTCTTTTTTTTATACACTTGAAAGTATTTTTTTTTATAAATAAATCAACTATTCAATAAATCAACTATTCATGTACCATTTTTTGCATAAATTAAGTAAAAAAATGTGTATTTTTTTCACCACTTTTTATAACTTATGTACTATTGTACTTCTCTTCTCCATAAATCAAATCAATTACAATCAAATCAAGTGATATAAATCTTTTTATAAAAATTTTAAGCTACAATTTTTTTGTGCATCCGGTTCGAATCGGACCGGAACTGCCGGTTAACCGCCTATTCCGGATCGATTCCGGTTCATATTTTAAAATTTATATAAATCTTAACCGGCTCTTAAACCACTTATTCTAGTTCAAAATTATGAACTGCGAGTTTCGATTCGTCTACGGTGCTTGTGTTTTGCTCGTTTAGCTGTTCGAACGAAAACAAGTTTTCGGTAAGTGTTAGATTAGCGTATTTGCTTCCCCAAACGAAGTAATGACTGAAGAGTTTGAGTTGCGGTTTAGCTGTAAGTCATCATGGATTCATAAATGCTTGGGCTTTGTTTTTGTGACAAATTATTATAGAAAATATTTTAAAAATATGGAAAATATTTTTTTAAATAATTTACAACATCAAATTGTAATATTGAAAACTAATTTAAAAGTATAAAAATGGTTTATTTTCACGAATTACTTTTATTGTGCCCGTTGTTATTTTGACATATTTGACCTCCTATTAATTTTTTTTAAAAAAAATTTATATAATTGAATTTTATATTTTCAAATAAAAAAAAATAACTATTTCCTTTCTTAAAAAGATAAGTCAGTTTTCATCCGATTTAATTTTCTTTTTAATTAAAAAATAAAACTATTTACTAGAAAAATATTTTTTATTAGTTAATTTACCGTTGTTTTTAGAGAGAGAGAAAAAAAAAGAGGAAAATGCCTACATTCATCATTCATCCAGTTCAAATAATTTCACATTAGTTCATCAATTTTGTGAAAACTTAGAATGCGTTCCTTGAGCCCTAATATAGCAGGTGAAAAATCACTTCAAGCTTTGACATTCCTTCTCTGTAATTTGGGATCTGCCAAATCTCAGGGGACTTCTTATTGGCTAAAAGTAAAGAGTGGCAGCGCAATGACAATCGTGGTTTTGATAGTTTGTGGTTTAGCGAATTTCTAATGTCGTTTTAACATGTGCTATAAGTTTAAAGATATTTATTTGAGAAAGAAAATATTTTAAAATTATTACAACACAAGTTTCCAAATCACCAAAATATATGAAACACAGTACCAACATAAGCATATACATTAGAAATATATGAGAGATTAGGCATGGCCACCGGTTCGGTTCAAACTGAAATGGAACTGTACTGTAGATGAATCGAAATCGGATCGAAATTGGCAGTTCAAAATTTTGAATCGGAACTGACTATTCAAGAGTTGATTAAGATTCATGTGAATGTTAAAATATGAACCGGAATCGGCAGTTAACCGGCAGTTCCGATCCGGTTCGAACCAAAAATTTTTTTTTTTTTTTTTTTTTTTTTCAAACAAAATGATAATCACTTAGCCTATTTTATACATCTCTAAAAATCTCAATAATATTTTACTACATGATATACTTTACTTAATATTTTTTTTTAAAATACACTTTACTTTAAAAAGTTAAAATTCTAAAAAGTGAAATGGTGAAAAAAAAAAGAGAAATATTTGGTCTAAACTTATATTATTTTTAACTTTTTTTTTACCATTGTAAATTGTTTACTAAGTTTAAAATTATATTCTTTTGAAGTATTTTTCAAAATTTTCTTAGAATTTATTTAATTAATAACAATTAAACAAAATAAAGTGATATAAACAAAATAAAGTGATAATTTATTTGATTATTTTGTAAAATTAATTAATTTTATTCTTATATGAGTATGAGCATTTTAAAATTTATTCAAATAAAATTTACCAATATTTTTAAACTCATATTAATATTTAGGAAAGAAAAATGTAACATTAGAATCGATTTTTTTTAAAGCCGAAAATCATGATCGAAATCGTCAGTTCATCGGAACCCACCGAAATCGGCCGGTTCAGGTTCAACATTTTAAAAATTTTGAACCGTCGGTTCCGTGAACTAGAACTGGCGGTTCAATGAACCGGCCATGCCTATGAGAGATCTTGGGACATCCAAATTTTGAAAACCTTATAAACATTTTGGGACAATTAAAAAATGAATAAAATGGGACAGAGGGAGTAAGAGACAAGAGGACATCAACATGGACAAAATAAATCTTTAAAAACAACCATTAACAATTAAAATTTGCAAAGTTTGAAGGGCCTAACAAAATCAGAGATTTCACAGCCAAAATTAAAAAACTGAGAAGCATTAAATTAGTCTTAATGTCATTGAAAATAACAATGTGAGAGTTCAATATAAAAAATAAACAGAACTTTATATGTTCTCAATAGCCAAAACTTGCAAAGTTAGAGAGTTTTAGCATGAATGATTAATCAATTCTTCACTCATAGTAAATTTGTTTCATAAATTTGAAAATATTTAATTACACATAATAAATTATTACATAATTTATAACTTCAAGGAAAGTCAAATCACATATAAGCTATCCATACAATAATCATACCAATATTAAATATGAAATGCTTTTTTTGCTAATTTGCTTCCTCCTCCTTATTCCATGCTATCCATGAACCAAACAACACTGAGAAGCTAAAATTTCCCAGATGTCAAGATTGGGTTTTCCAGTCCTTTAACTTGCAGTTGCTATTGTTACTGCAAGCCTCAAATTACATCAGAATTCATATCTTTTCCACGACCCAGGTATATACAAAATTTCTGTTACAGGGAATTACACAATGACCCAGAAATCTCAACAAATCATGTAGTAATCTGCACAACTCAATAATGCAACCAACATTTTCAAAAAATGAACAGATTTGATCCTCACTAATAACTACACACATTCAATAGGCATGCCAATATTTTAGACAAACAAAATGCTAGAAAGGACCTTTCAGGTGTGTAACATAGGCAGAGCCACAAGAGAATCTATTGGTCCTGTATTGAAATACGTGGTTGAAAATTGACAGCTCAGGGCTAACATTCTGTTTGCAAATAAGAAACCTGGGTGATTGATGCAATCGAATTTTGAAGCAGTCAAATATAGTGATAAAAAAGTGAAAATATTCAATCCATCATCTCACCTAACACTACTACCATTCCAGCCACAAACTAGTTTCTCACATTTATTACTTGGTCCCCACCCCACTTCATTTCATGTTCTTCCATCTATCTAATATCTTATGAATTTTCTATCACTCCTAACTTACACAACACATATTTGATCACTATGAAGAAATCCCTTCCAGCTGGTCGGCCACAGAACTCGGGGAGTGACTCCGATAGTATTGATCAAGTTTACGAGCAAGGCATCCTAGTTCCATCCAACGTCATTGCTTTGGCTGATAGCTTTGGGAAGAAGGAACAATCATGGTATAGCTAGAATTCATTAAAGCATGGTTCAGCCTTCTCAACCCAGCAATTAAAATTGGTTTGAAGACAGCTATAGCTATAGCATGTGTTTGTTTCTAGAGAATGCCTGAACCAAACTCAGAATACCTTGGCATAGTTCACTTTTCTCTTTTGCTCTTTCAGTCATTTTTTCAAGCATTTGGTATGTAGCTTACTCACTCTCTTTGTGTTGATGGGATCATGCAGGTACATTACTTCCCAGATTCCAACAGATCTAACAATACAAGTTCAAGACAAAACCTTTACTGTTCACAAGGTAACTTGAACATAATAGAACTACATGCATTTCTCTCTCACACACGCAAAGAGTTCCATAAAGTACACTAAAAGCACACAACGAATCTTCATTTTGTTCATGTGTAGGGCATTATATTATGAAAACATAATGAGATAAAGAAAGTATGTTGAAAAGAAAGTTGGAAAAGAGAATTTACTGTTCACTATTTCATTTGCTAACCTGATTTAAATATTATTTACAACGACACACACCCCTTAACGAAATCATGGCAATTTTCTATATTCTTAACAAACCTGTGAGTTGAAAATAGAATCTCCTATAGATTATTTAGATTTATCAATAAGAATTATTTGATAAAACTATTTAAGAGTGGTTTTGACTCATCTAAAAAAATAAAAACTAAAAAATAAAAAAGTGATTCTTGTTTATTCTAAAATAATAGAAATGCAATGAAAATTACGTTTATTTGTGCGTCTGTGTGTGTTAATGTTAGGCTGGACGAGATGGGATGGAATTATTTCGAGACATCTGTCATTCTTCCCTTGATCAAATTTTTTTTAAGTTCCCAGCACCACTAATCTAACAAAGATTTGATAACAAGGACAAAATTAACTAGAAAAATTCAAATTGTGGTTTTGTGTTCAAATTACAGTTGGATGGGATTATGAGAGTTCGAGTTTGAGGTGGAGGATAGCTAAACTACCCCCATCAAGTATATGTCAATGCATATCTTATTTCAACAAAGATGACACGTTAAAGAAATGACTAGCAAATGGATAAAACTACAAGGTTTTTTTGCTAAAGCATTTTTGGACGTCATCAAAGAAGATTTCCCAATTCCCATAACGAATTACACGGTATACTTGCTATTGTTAGAGCAATAATTTACAATTTGAACAGATGTTTTGGATTGTTTTTGTCAATAACTCAAATAGAAATGAACATTTCCACTTGGAGGGAGGAGAAAGGGAAAGAGAAAACAAGTAATTGCACATATATGCGAGATGTTGAACTTACATTGCTAAACATAATAATAATTGTTACAGAACTTCTTGGAGTCTACTTGCATATAATTGGAACTATTTTCCTCATTTACGCACATTTTCTCATTCAATTCACATCTTTACCCCCTATCTATATATCCCCGCATAAAACTAATACTGAAAATTCTAAATGCATAAAAACTAAACTACATGTATACTAGATTGTACTTGATCTAGTTCCATTCAATAACCAATCACACATTAGTGGATTTAGGACATAACCATAACAAGTAAAATTTATAAATTAAGTCGTATTTTTTGCTAACACATTCATTTCTCCTGCAACAGGATCCTTTGCTATCAAAATGTGGCTACATAGGCCGTCTAGAACTTCAGCCATCAAATCCTTTGCTATCAAAATGTGGCTACATAGGCCGTCTAGAACTTCAGCCATCAATTTCAAATTCTGGGTATGAACTCAAGCTTGAAAACTTCCCAGGGGGACCAGAAACATTTGAAACCATTCTAAAGTTTTGTTATGGACTTCCATTAGACTTAAAACCTAACAACATAGCTGCACTAAGGTGTGGAGCAGATTTCTTGGAGATGAGTGAAGAACTTGAAGATGGAAACCTCATTGCAAAGACAAAAGTTTTCCTCACATTTGTAGTCCTTTCCTCATGGAAAGATACCATTATTGTTCTTAAATCCTGTAGTGAAGAACTTGAAGATGGAAACCTCATTGCAAAGACAAAAGTTTTCCTCACATTTGTAGTCCTTTCCTCATGGAAAGATACCATTATTGTTCTTAAATCCTGTGAAACTTTATCTCCATGGGCAGAAAATCTCCAGATTGTTAGAAGATGTTGCGATAAAATTGCATGGGAAGCTTGTAGAGACAATTCCATAATGGAAGAAATACTTAATGACAAAGGATGGTGGTTTTATGATGCAGCTATCCTTAGAATTGATCATTTCATGAGAATAATAACTGCGACAAGGGCAAAAGGAACAAAACCAGAGATCATAGGTAAATGTCTAATGCATTATGCAGCAGTATGGTTGCCCGGCATGGATGTGGAATTCAAAGGACTCAGAGGTTATGGATACGTAAAAAATGAGTTCCAGTTTAGTATCTCGGGTGGGAGGACTGAAGATGAGGGTGTTGGACACAGCAAGGAGAAAAAGACCATCATTGAGAGTCTAGTAAGTCTACTTCCGCCTCAACAAGAAGCTGTACCATGCAAGTTCTTGTTGATGATGTTAAAGATGGCTATTCTGTACTCAGCATCACCAGCTTTAATTTCAGAGCTAGAGAAGAGAGTGGGATTGATACTGAACAACGCTAGTGTGAATGATCTTTTGATTCCTAATTATAAAACTGAAGATCAAGGAAAAATCATGAAGTGAGAATTCTACCACTTATCTCTTTCAAAATTGTTTGACTTGGAACAAAAGAAAAGAAAAAATGAAAATAGTAAAACAAACTTCTTGTGATAAATCTTCTACACCTGCTTATTATCATTAACTTTACAACAGACAAACAGAGCAATCCACAATGCACAACATAGATGTGGTACAAAGAATTGTAGAGTACTTCTTGATGCATGAACAAGAACAGCAGCAATTGCAACCAATGTCAGAAAAATCAAATGTTAGTAAGCTCATGGACAGCTACCTAGCTGAGATTGCAAGGGACCCAAATCTTTCCATTATCAAATTTCAAGCTTTGGCAGAAGCACTACCAAAAAATGCTAGGCCATGTGACGATGGCCTCTATAGCGCCATTGATACCTATCTCAAGGTTTGCCTTTAGTTCTTTCTCTATTTCTCGTAATTTTAGCTAACCAAACTTGAAGGGCCTAAAAATATACTATCCTTCCCAGACTCATCCTTCACTTTCTGAGCATGACCGGAAAAGGCTATGCAAAATTATGAACTGTGAGAAACTATCACTGGATGCGTGCATGCATGCTGCACAAAATGACAGGTTGCCAGTAAGAACAGTGATTCAGGTAAAAAGTTTATAAGAATTCTTGATCATAAATTCTATCACTGAAATCAGAGACTCTAGCCAGCATATTCACACTGCACATTACATATAATGATTTATTTTCAACTAGCAGTAAATTAGATGGTAAGGCCTAAAGGACAACCCCAAGTACTAAGGAGCATACAACAAGATTAGTATTAGTAGGAATTCAAGATGTTATGCCAAAAAAAACCAAAAAAATTCACAAAAACATACACCAAGCTCTTACTACTTTTTCTAGATAAACCTGACATAAACTTCCTTGTATCAGGGGGCATTAAATTATATGTATCTTTTTAACTCCTTAAGCACAAATGTTTGCACTTCTGCTTTATCCTCTAATTATTGTTTATATCATGTAATTCCTCTCCATCACAACACAGACAACCCAACCATCTCATGTGTAACGTCCCCATATTATCATGTTATTCCTCCCCCCCATCCCCCCACCCCACAAACAAATGATGTATCAAACCAAAAGAAATCATGTCATATACTTAGTCATTGGCTCATTGGCCCATAAAAGTAAACTAATACACAATACTGAGATGCCAAGACTGTTAATTTTGGATACCAACATTATGAAAATATGTACACTTTGTAGCAATCTCGTAGCAAATCTGGCCATCTAAACATGTTTAAATTTGCAAACTTTGTTCTCTCCTTTAATTAAAATCTTTTGTTATTAAGACCATGTCAACTATCCTTCAAACTGAAACCTAAAATCCATTAACAAATTATAATCGTTGTAATTTACTCCACCAGTTAATGCTTGCACTCATAAAGCACAGAAGTTGTCAATATTTACTAAAGCAAAAAGCTGTTACTTGTGATGTGAAACTCAAGCTAAAATTATTAATTACTTGTGATGTGAAACTCAAGCTAAAATTATTAATGCATTAAACAGTCTTCAAATAAGAATTCATAACAACAAATTAGAATGCTATGTTTAAGCATTTAGTGCCTAGAACACTATATATAGGCCTCAAACAAAAGAAACCGACATTTGCTGTGAGACAAATGATACACTCAGCAGACACAAACCATTAGTGCTTAGAGCACTATATAAAGGCCTCAAAACAAAAGAAACAGACATCTTCCAAGAGACAAATAATACACTCAGCAGATACAAACCCGATAAACTCACCAATCACAAGCAAAACATTTAATTCAACCAAAATACAATTTTATCTCAGGACAAAATCAATGGATATGCAGGTGTTGTTCTCAGAACAAGTAAAAATGAGGTCGGCAATGAGAGGAAAAGAGCCAACAGCAACTAGCAATAACTCAGAACATGAGGTGAGTCAAGCATCAACGAGAACAGAAATCATGACCCTGAAAGCAGAACTTGAGAATGTAAAGACACAGATGGCAGAGCTGCAACAAGACTACTCAGAGCTGCAACATGAATATGGAAAGCTAAACAAACAGCAAAACCATACATCAGGCTGGAATTTGAGTTGGAAAGAGATCAGGAAATCTGCTCTTTTCAATAGAAAAATGGATGGGGAAAACAGGGAAGGGCCAGACAATCCCAAATCACCAGGCTCTTTTCAATAGAAAAATGGATGGGGAAAACAGGGAAGGGCCAGACAATCCCAAATCACCAGCACACAAAATGAACTTCAGAAGAAGACAATCTGTATCATAGTTTTAAATTTAAATATTAAAATGAAAAGAAAAGAAAAATTGAAGTCTCAATTGTGATCACATCAATTTAATTCCACAGGAAGGCCATTTCTTAAGGTAGGGCATAGAGGAAACAAATAAATCCTAGGTATATAATGTATTGTCATATCCTGCTTCTAAAAGTTCTGATGAAACTCTTCCACATTTTTCTTTAGTAGACAAAATAGACAAAACAACAAAATATGTAAGAAAAAAATTCATTGAAGCTTAAAATTTGAAGCTTAGTCACTTTCTTGTGGGAAAAAGCACTCGCATTCACATAGAAGGTAACGCCATTAGAGGTTGGGCCATTTACATTGACACATTCATCAAGAAGGATTTTGACAAAAAAAAAAAAAAGCATAAAATTTGAAGTGCTGATGTAGCTTTGAAGTGCTGATGTAGCAAAACTAACCTCGACCTTAATTAGGTTATAACTTTAAAAAGAGTTCAAAAGAGTAAATTAATAGAACATAATTCAACCAAAATGGCCTGCATCTTCCGGTGACACAACCAGGAAATAGACCAATAAACTAGTTTTTATATTACTCAAAATTTTCAAATCCTTAAATTTGCCTGTAGATAGAAATTACAGTTCTTTAGCATATACTCCTATTAGAACAAAGTCTTAATTATAAATACTAATAGAATAAGGACCAAAGTCTTAATTGGGAAGAAAGCATGTTTGAGCATCATAGTATTGCCAAAACATGATATGATGGATGCCAACACCATATGATGCAGATTTAAACCCATTAAAGTTTTTTTAACAAAACAAGTACATCACTATAAATAAGTTTCAAAGTTAATTTAACAAACAAGTACCATTGCAAGTACTCCAACATTGATCTCGTTGTATTAATTCCCAAAAGTGAATACAAAGAAAAAAAAAAAAGTGAAATGGGGAAGAAAGCAAAACATGATAGATCATCTGATCATTTGATCTCTTCTTTTTCCACATAGTTTTATTCAAAATATAAGAACTAGTATAGACGCCAAAACATGAAAAAAAAAAAAGTGAAATGGGGAAGAAAGCAAAACATGATAGACCATCTGATCATCTGATCTCTTCTTTTTCCACATAGTTTTATTCAAAATATAAGAACTAGTATAGACACCAAACCATGATAGGATAGATGCAAGAATAATTGATATGGGGAAATCTAACATCTGTGTTGCAAACCTGAAAGTTCACAACTCAGATAAAGGGTAAACATAGAAACTAGTAAGAAAGCAAGACCCAGAAATTCTTGTCTATGTGTCTTTCAATCGACGACAGGTAAATGCTTAAAGTTTAAACTACTGCATGAACAATAACGCAAACATATACAGAGAGGAAAAAGAGTAAATGCTGAAATCAAATTCTTCACTTGTAAACCATATAAAAGCACAGTACTTATTCATATTGTATAGCATCCCAAACAGTACCAATCAAAAAAAGTTCATCAAGCTCATCAAAACCCCTAAATAATAAAATCAAACTAACATTTCTAATATCTCAAGACAAACAAAAAATATGAAAAGAAAACTACCTACTAGCACTCCTCATGCTGCTCCATGGAAACTTGGCCTTCTCCACGGTAAAGTCACCAACACCACCACGATCTCTCCTTCTTCCTTTCTCACTCCCAACTCTCTCTTCCTTCTTTCCGTCCAGCCAATGCTTTTTCCCTTCACCATCTTCCACAATACTAGACCTCCTCTGCTTGTTCATTCTCTCCTTCTCCTCCTCAATAATCCTTAGTGGATACAGATCAGGAGATACAGAAAGAGGGTTCTTCAAAGTAACGTAGGCCTTTTTGTAGTCAGGTTTCGCTAGTAGTATTCCACCGCGCTTCTTCTTCTTCCCTTCCATGTTAAGAGTACGGACCTTGTCGACCTCGAAGCCATATAGGGATTCAAGGACTCGCTTGATTTCAATCTTGGAGGCTGAAGGAATGGTTTTTAAGGCAATTTCTCTGATGTTGGTGAAACTAGTGGGCATGAGGAGCTTGATCGGAAGGTTTGCAAAGTTAACCACTCTTCTTCCCAGTCTGCTCCCCATCTGTTTGTGTTTTTGCACGTTTAGCTGTTCGAACGAAAACGAGTTTTCGGTAAGTGTTAGATTAGCGTATTTGCTTCCCCAAACGGAGTAATGACCGAAGAGTTTGAGTTGCGGTTTAGCCGTAAGTCATCGTGATTCATAAATGCTTGGGTTTTCTTTTTGTGACAAATTATTATAGACATATTTTAAAAATATGGAAAATGTTTTTTTAAATAATTTATAACATCAGATTGTGTAATATTGAAAACTAATTTAAAAGTATAAAAATGGTTTATTTTCACGAATTACTTTTATTGTGCGTTGTTATTTTGACATATTTGACCTCCTATTAAATTTTTTTAAAAAAAATTTATATTATTGAATTTTATATTTTAAATATAAAAAAAGTTAACTATTTCCTTGATAAATCAGTTTTCATCCGATTTAATTTTCTTTTTAATTAAAAAATAAAATTATTTACTAGAAAAATATTTTTTATTAGTTAATTTTTTTCTTTTCAAAAATCATAAAATCTTAAAAATATTTTTAAAAAAGAATGGAGCCTGATTATTATCTTATTTACTATTTAAATCCAATTCAAATTTTATGAATTCCGATTCAATCTCTTCAAAAATTTTAACTATTTTCAATTAAAACTCACCCTCTCTTACAATTTACCGTTGTTTTTAGAGAGAGAAAAAAAAAAGAGGAAAATGCCTACATTCATCATTCATCCAGTTCAAATAATTTCACATTAGTTCATCAATTTTGTGAAAGCTTAGAATGCGTTCCTCGAGCCCTAATATAGTAGGTGAAAAATCACTTCAAGCTTTGACATTCCTTCTCTGTAATTTGGGATCTGTCAAGCCAATGAAAACTTCATCTACAGGGAGTTAATAATTCCCCTTCTATCTTATGAATCACGATTCCTTCTTTTTCACTCTATATGGATACTTTTGGTATATTGAAATACTGCTAATGACAAGGGGCAGAGCCAGCAAACAGTATATTGAAGGTGGTTTCCCCTCGAAAATAAACTGCAGCAAGGCCGTCACAAGAAGTGCAGAAACAATCACAAATCCCTGTATGCATTGGAAAAATTTGTTGAGGTCAAGGCTTTTTCAATAATAAAAACTAGGTATCATATTAATATCAATCATACAGTTGTCCTTCCAACCTCTAATCCACAGAAAAGTGCTAGCTGAATCAAAAAAAAATTCTGTATTGCACCTATTTATTTGATGAACTTTTGGCTTTCATAAAAAAGAAATTTACCCACGAGAAAAAAGGAAAGAAAAGAAAAGAAAAATAAAATAAAATAAAATACCCATGTAGAGGGCGTCAGTATACCCATGTAGCTCAATTGGCAAATATATATACTGAAGAACTGTGATTATCTATTTCAGCCATAAAAATCTTCTACTTTTTCAGTTAGATTTACCTTTCTAACACCACCAGCGTGGCTTGTTACAAGGCCAACAAGAATTCCTCCAAGAGCATTGGCTACAACCGGAACCTGACACAACGAACCACAATACATCAGATTTAAGCAACGCATGACTCATCTGATGAAATTAAAAATGAAACATAAACAATTGTAATACTTTTTGGCTTTACATGATTATTAATCATCTTAGTTGTTCCATTTTTTATAGCTCAGAGAGCCAAGCTTCCCATATTTTCTTATTCTATTAAGGTGTATGGGAATAATGTAAACCTATAGGGAGGGCTTTTCATTTTTTTTGTTTGGGGTGGAGAGAATTTTCAATACCTCAAAGCATCAAAGCTATAAATAGTTTCAAATGCAAGCCACTTCAAGCGAAAAAGCTCTGGTATCTATGCCATTTCAAAATCCAACTACTTCAACACAAAGACCACTATATGCACACACCAACCCACTGAAAAAAATGGCTGGTTCCTATCCTACACCACTGCAATCAATGAATCAAATACAATGCTTTAAATGCAAACCGCCTCAAACCCAAGACCCCTGCACCTAAACAACGTTGGCGTCTACTTCAAAACAATTATCACTAAGGATGCATACATCATTAACTAGAAAAGTACACCAGTCCCACATCTCAGTGAATCTAATGAGAGATTTCTCAAATACAAGTTATCTTCTTAGATTTATTTACCACCCAGTAGCAAAACAGACAATTTTCACAAACTAAAAGCAACATGCTATTTCTGGGCCAATCATCAACTACAATTATTGGCACACTTCTAAAAGCATTTTGAGGTGACATTTTCCCTCACAATAATTATGTGAATATGTTAATCATGCATAAATAGCCTAACAACAGCATAGTGCAAGGCCTCATCAAGGAACAAATTAGAGGTGAAATGAGGGTGACCAACAGACTAATTCCAACACCAAGACAACTTGATTAACTTTTGTTGGGCCTCCTAACACTGGTAGCAGCCCAGATAGGATGAGCTTTCTTATCCAGTTTTTTTTTTTTTTTTTTTTTCTCCTACAATTAAAAGAAATAAGCAGATGGAGGAGGTAATTCGATCAATATCTGTACATTTTCTTTCAGTTTTCCAGTGCAAACTAATGGCTGTGATGATTTTCCATTCAGCAAGATAACTGATTCAACTGAAAAGCACTTTAGAGGACCCAACTGATCGACACACCTCCTTTTCCCCTCTCTTCAAGATATGAAATCTTTGACCTCCAACAAACCTGCCCCATCAGATCAAACAATAGCTATCACAAATTATCAGTAAGATCATTACCATAGTCAATGGAGTCCAACCATGAAAGAATCCATATCGTCTGATTGATTCACCATCTGGAGACTTGGTGGTACTGGCCAACAAGCACAGGCTTCCAACGATGGACATTTCTACAGTCATCAAGTACGATGAGTGCTTCTTAACCTGTTACAAAAGATGAAGTCTAAGAGCAGGATAAGAAACTCACAAGAGCCAACAACATACAAGTTTCACAAACCTGAGAAGCCCATTGACACAAAGCTGAAGCAAGGCCAGAAAGAACAGAAGCAGCCAGCACGGGGACAATCCCATAAAATAAAATTTGATCAGGGTTACTACTACTGGTTCCCTTGCTAGAGCCTTCACCAACACTTAGAAGAACAGCTGCCATGATCAACAAGAACAGAGCACCAATTTGTTGAATCGACTGCTTCTGCCTACACATTAAGGCTAGGGAAGTTAGGTAAAACTCTAAAGGAGCTTCCACATGATACAGAAATCCTAAAATTTATTGTAACCAGTTTTATATACAGATAAATACTTTTCATGTCTTTCTTCCTGACAAGGAGAAAATTAAAACCAAATGAAAAGGGAAAAGGGGCAAAAACATACAATGTTTCAGTCAAAAGTTGCCAATAAAAATAAAATCCATTTGTTTTCTGATGCATATCAACTTTATGGTTCATTTCTAAGATGATTTACCCCTCTGCTGCTGCAGTTACTTTACAATGAAAACTAGGTCTTCTAGAAATAGACAAAGCCATATGTTTCATTGCGTGTTATTTGTATGGAAAATAAATCATAATTACTTGTCTTTCTTAAACTGATTTGCAAAGAGTAAGATGGATATCAACAATTAGAGGAAAAATTGGCTAATAGATTAGAAAATTTGAAATCAACAAACCTGTCGTTAAGTGTATAAAAGCCCAAAACCAAGAACAAAACAGAGCATTAAAACAAAATCAGTTTCTTGCTTTCATAATATTGGATACTTGAGCTATGAGCACCATCATTTTAGGCCAAAAACCATCCAAAACCGGTAAAGAAAGGATAAAGATGAAATTAGGAAACATACCTCAATATTATAAATGTAAAGAATGCAGTGAAAAAAATTTTTGTCTGGTTCAGCATAGAAAACGTGAGTGAGTCAAGATTTCTGTAAGATATCTGCAGCAAGCTGTTTTGCAGTGCATAAATAGCTGCGGGAAGTCCTGATGCAGTGAGAGAACCAACTAAAGTCCACTCATTGGATAATTTCTTCAAACTACCATCTTTTGCCATGAGAATTAAGGCGCATATTACCTAAGTTGCACATGTAAAATATTTTAAAAGTTATTTATCGGGTAAAGCACAAATGTTTTTTAAGATATGGTAAATAGCAATAAAGGAAAAGAAAATTCATGTGTAAGGAGAAAGAATTACCTTTGCTATCTCACATGTCAATACAGATGTTGTCACTATAACTTCTCGTCTACATGAAAACCAATAATGAGTTGATGATTAGAACTTCATAGAATTGCACATCAATTATTCGTTATTGACATGAAATAGATTGAAATGAGCATCACAAATTTCATTACTAAATGCACAGAACTGAATCGTGGATAAGAGGAGAGGAAACAGCCTAAAGATAAAGAATGAAAAATGCACATAATTCTGCATATGGGATGTGGCAAACCCAAACACACACCCCCCCCCCCCCCCCCCCAAACACACACCCCCCCCCCCCCCCCCCCCCCCCAACCCCCCCAAACAACGAAAAAAAAAAAATAAATAAAGTGTTTGAGGAAACTTGATAACCTATAGCAGTAGGTCTCAGGGCCACTGGTCAAACACTGAAATTGCAGAACCTCAAACAGTAGATTAAAATGCAAAAGCAAGCATAAAAATATCTCTCTTTGCCAAGCACTAATGCGAGATGTCTAACACGGTGAATGTAGCTTTACTTTAGCGTTTTCATCCACAAGAAGATGCCAGGGTGGTTATGATTAAGAATAAATATGTATAACCGATGTTGGGAATGTATATGAAAGTCAAGCTTCCACCTGTCCATATTTTAGTTTCATTCTTCTGTAAAGGACGACATCATCTTGAGGCAGGTGAAAAATGTCTAGATAAGTGGTACTAAAATAATAATTGTGCTCCCAGACCACCTAGCATTAAGCACATACTACTCGTTAAGACCCAACTGAATTGCCTGCTAGATGTCCACCAGTTAACTGTCCCATAGCATATAGATATAGCTTATCTTGAAAACAACCCATCAGTCATCTGCCATGCCAGCAAGCCGAAAGTAATGATACTCTAGAATAAATAGAAAAAGAGCTGTATTTAGTCCTTTTCAAATGGTCTTTCATGCTGCAAATTGGAAACAAACATCCATCTGCAAAATATGCAATGCCCAGTTATTCTCCTTGAAAAATCCACCAGCTCTTTTATCTCCCTTCAAAAACCGAGTCAAACTGCCATAATGAATTTTTCATCGTGAAACTCGCTTCCTTTGTCCTTTCTTTCCCTATCTCAACCAAACACATTCATCTGTCAAAGGGAGGGTTCCTTTCATTTCTTTCCCAAGATGAAGTTTTTCCTTTCCATCAATACTCATTTTCTCATACCAAATAGTATGAATTAAATATCATATATACATAACATAAGAAAACAAATGATTAAAAAAAATCAACAATGGCAAATTTCAAATCCCTGCTATAATTTCCATGGCCATCTAATTCCATAAGAGAGCAGATAACTTTTTTTCCCTTTTTGTAGCAAAAATTGCAGATCATTTTAAAAGCAATATGAATAATAGAAGATAAAAAAAAAAAAAATTTAATTAGTTAAAAAGAAGGAAATTTACCCGGTAAAGCGTTTAGAGATCAGAGGCTGAGCCCCGTATTGAAGAGTGAGTAAAATGGAATAGAACCAAACCCTTGTGTTCATTCCGTCGGAGCTTGAGTTGGTTCGTTTTTGCTTCGTCGCCGTCGTAGCCGCCATTATTGGCGAGCTTAGAAGAGGAGACCAGTTGGTCCTCTTGATTTCTTTTCTTGTCCGTTGTGATGTTTGTTGATGGAAACCTATTTCAGGGACCAAGGGAATAAGGGATCGCTCATTTTACACTTTAGCAGCGCGGGTACGGAAAGTCGGAAAAGTGTACAACGACGTCGTATTCACTAAACAGTTAAAAGGCGCAAACGGCAGCTTTAGTTAGACCTAGAGCCTGTTGCAATTCTAGCGGTTAGCTTTGTTTATCCTGCAGTTTAAATTAAAAGTGGCCATAAACATAACTATTTAATTAACCCTTACCTTAAAATGATAAAAAAAGATGTTAAGCTAGGTATGAATACAATGTTAAACCTTAGAATGTTTCATACTTGATAAAAATTTAATTTTTATTTTTACTAAATAGATTTGATCATAAGGATTTTTATTTTTACGAAATATTAGAAGAAACTAAACAAATTGCAAATTGTTTTAATTCCCTTCAATTTTCACATACAACGTCTACAGTAAGATTTCCACTCCTCTCCCACATTATTGCCTTAGGTAAAGAATTTGTTGGTGTGGTGCATCAAGCAAAACCACAATCAGGCATTTAGTGACGAAGAAAAGCAAATAAAAAAACCCGATAAATAAATAATTAATTTGGGTTCACGAACACAAAAAAGTCAATATGGCCCAAAAATAACCCAATGGGCCTATGGCTAACAGATTGTTGGGATTAGGAAAAAAATTGTTATCACTACAGCAGTCATCCAAGAGACAGTAGTCAGACTCTGGAAGGCAAAGACAAATATTGCTTTTTCTTTTCTTATTTTTAAAATCCGGCCTGGCCGGAGACAAAACTTTGTGTTTCATCCCGTGATTCTCGCGCGCAAAATAAGAAATTAAAGAAAACGCGCTATAGCATTCCCACGTGTAATATCTCTGTTTTCAAAAAAAAAAAAAAAAATTTAAATCTATATATACTTACTTCGTTTTAGCAAAAAAAAAAAAAAAAGTTTGTTTATTGAAAAATCTAATGATACTTACTTCGTTTTTAGGACAAAAAGAATAAATAATAGATTATGTAAAAAAAAAAAAAAAGAACTTCGTAGGGTTTAATAATTAATTAATGAAAAAATTACTATGTTATTCTTGTCTTTCTCAAAATTAATTAACTTATCTTAGTATTTTTAAAAATACATGTCCCTTATATATTGTCTCAGTTAAACTATTAGAGCATCTCCAATGATAAAATGTGGATTGTAATTGATGTGTCATGTGAAATAGAATGTGTGAATGACGATGTCATTGAATATCTATATATGAACGTTAAAAATTAAAATTTTATTTTCAATACGCTAGTTTTGAATTATCTTCCATCATCCTTTTTTTTTTCCCTTTTCGGGCTCACAATTTAATATGCAATCAATCAATATACAGCAATAAATGTTTACATTGGCTATGATACCCCCTTAAAAATAGGAGATGTGGTAGAAAATATCTATTTATTGTACCGACGCATCAACTTGACATGCAAAATAGATATTATTATTGGAGAACATTTTTAAAAAATCTTCTCATTCATATGACATGACAATTAAATAAGAGTAATTCATGTTAGCATCGGAAACGCTCTTATACCATTCGTCCACTTTTCAATGGTTTTATCACTTGTTAACCATCAAAATAAGAGTTAAAGATGAGAGATAAAATTTTTATACTAAAATTTACCTTAAGGATTTACTCTATGTAAAATTTGATTTGAAATAACAAAGAAATATGAAGATTATTGTATCATCAAATCCATTATTAAATATGAAGTAGGAATAAGTTATTGCAAATGCTTCACTCGTCACTATCATTGCATTGGTTAAAATTGTAGAAATTGCTAAAAGTTATCTTACTAAGAACAAATCAAATATCCGTATAAAAAAAAGCGAGCAACGACTTAGCTTTGTTCATCCTAATAAAAGAGAGAATAAATTACTCTTTATCGTCACACTCTTCTCTTGGTAGGGTATTTTTCCCTAATCCCAAAATCCCCAAATTACGAATTTCGGATTTGAAATTCAAGAGAGAACTTTCTAACACCCCAAAAAAGAAGGAAATTCTTAAGCCCATATTACAGAGTTAAAAACTTAGCATTAATTTCAAAAAAATATTCACAGCTCAATATATTTGAGCTTTGCAAAATAAAAAACTCAACAAGTTTGACTTTAGTAAATTCTTTCATCCAAAATCTCCAAATTACAAACTCAACAAAATTTGAAAACTTAGCATGAAACATCTAAACAATTTCTATAAACTTTGAGCTAGTCAATCTTTTTGTTTCCACTTTCCATTTTACACTGTAATCATTGCATTCTTCATTGTTGTATCTCTATTGTGCATTTTATCAAATAGCTTATAGACATAATTCAAATGCCCCATCTTATTTCTCTTTAATAACAATATCACAAATACACATTTGGATTTTCAATTTCATCAAAAACCCACTTAATAGAGACAATATTTTTTGCTTTTGCTATAAGAGGGGCAACATAAAAAAAAAATTATGAAGTTGGACTGAGTGGCATGGGCGAAGGTGTGGAGCTTGTTGCCAAATTTGATGTTAAGTATATAGGCATAAGCAGTGAGTGTTCTGAAGAGCGTGCATTGGACTGATTTAAGATGGAGATAGAGAAGAAAGAGATGAAAGAGAGAAAAAGAAAGAGAAGAAAGGATTCATGGCATTGTTAATTACAAGGAAGAGATCAATATATGATCCTCTTAAAATAAGAATATTTTTATTTTTCTATAACATATTTAACAGAAAAGGTACAAAATTTTAATGGACGCATATGACAGTTTAATGGAGGTAAAATATAGAAAATAAATAGTGTACTTTTAAAAATTGAAGTGTAAACAAGTTAATTTTGACAAAACAGAGAGATAAAATCGTAATTTTTCCTTAATTATTTGTACATCCTAAAAATATCTCATTTTATAATCCATAATTGGAAATAAAAGATACTAAATATTTTTATATATGGTATGTTTTTTTTAATTTTGCTGATAGCTCAATGTATAAATTCATTCATATACTTTAGGTAAAAAATTTAATTGCGTTCTTAACTTTTACTTTGATATACTAAATTGAGGTGAATATTTGATCGGTTTGGTTAACTGTTTGCCGATTTGCTGATTGAGTATTTACCAAATTTACCGTTTATCGATTAATCGATAGAGCTTTACCAATTAATTAATTTACCATATAAGAATTGACTTTAAAAAAAAAAAAACACAAAAACGACAAAAGTATGTCATTGTCTATAAATCAAAAAATTGAGAATTTCAAATTTTTTGAATACTTTATTGAACTATTTACCGAATAACCTCGGTTCGGTTCGGTAAATCGGTAATTACTATAGTTTATTCACCCCTAATACTAAACATTTCAATTTATAAAATTTATTCATTAAATATCTCAGTTTAAAAAAATTATTTTGTTAAATACTCGAACTATGTTACATTGATCAAACACTCATTCGATAGTTGAAAATCTTAAAATTATTAAAATATTAAGACATAGTCTAATGGTAAGTGCATATATGGTTTGGTAATAGATCCAGATTCGAATCCACTTCCTTCAAAACTCAAAAAAATAAAAATCTCAAAAATTATCAAATAAATATTATATATATAAAAGATAAAAACAATAAAAGAAAATGTTATTACTAATATAAAAAGGATACAATATTATCAAAATATAGCACAACAACATGTCCCGAACAAATTTGGAGTGCGACAATATTTTTTCTGTAGAATATAAGAATAAATTTATAGATTTGCCATATAAAATGTAATTAAAAGAAATTCCATACATGTTTGTTGTAGCATACGCTTGGCTTAAGTTATCAAATGTAAAATAAATATGAATTATATTTTTATTTAAAAAATTATAAATTATAATCTTAATTATTATCTTTATTCCATAATATTTGTCACATTGAAATTTCACATCTTTTAAAAAATTATTAAAAAATTATTTAAATTACAATAAATTATTATGTAAATTAATTATATTAATCTTAATTAATTCTTTAGAAAAACTACTAAATTGAAGTAATAATTATTAGCCATATATAAAATGTAAATATAAATAAAAATATTTATTATTTATTTAAACTACAAATGTGATAAATATTTTAGAATAAATTATTTCCTCCAATACCACAAATACAGTAAAACAGAGATAATATATACTATGCATTGATATAATTAATTTTTTATTTTAAATCAACGACTTAAATAGTCAATGCGATACCGAAACAAACTAGATCCCAGACAGGGCCCCACTGCGCCAACCTAACGACGCGAATCTTTAAAACAAGGGATGTGATTCCAACACCGAAACCCTAGAAAAAATAATTAAAAAGAAAATAAAAACAAGCACGGAATCTTTTTTAAAAAAAATGGTCAGAATCAACGGCCGTGATTAATAATCCACTGATAAAGCCATCCTATTCAGCAGCCTCCATTGTCTTTCTTTCTCGCGCTTTCTTCTGCTCTTCAGCTCCTCTCTGTAAGGCTGATACACCGCGGGAAAGAGAGTCAGAGCTGCCGATTCCATTTACCTGCCACCATGTGTGGAATACTCGCAGTCTTTGGTTGCATAGACAACTCTCAAGCAAAACGTTCCCGTATCATCGAGTTGTCTCGAAGGTAGGTTCATTTCTTGATTTTGCATCTTATCTTTCTCCATTCTGCTTCTTTTAAGCTGTTATAAATTTATGTTAATGGTCTAAAACTGTTAGTTGTTTAATGTCATCCAGCATACTTATATTTTGTCCATTTCTATTGCATTTGTCTTTCTTGGGAACTCTGTTTGGATCATTCAAACTATGGATATTGGATAATTATCAATTTGAATACCAAAAACCAGCTTAATTTCAGAATAGATTTATTTAATTGGAGTGATTTTATGTGTTTTGTTGATTCTGGAAGTATAGGTTGAGACATAGAGGTCCTGATTGGAGTGGCTTGCATTGTCATGAAGATTGTTATCTTGCTCATCAACGATTGGCTATTGTAGACCCCACTTCAGGGGATCAGCCACTTTATAATGAAGACAAGACTGTT